TAGCGTCTCGACTTATCACTCTTTAATACAATTGGAGTACTTGTTATATATCATATAGATACTGGTTTCGTAGTGTGTTCTTATATGGGAAATAATTCCAGCGCATAGGCACCAAGCTGCTGACTTCTTAAGGGGAAACAAGATGCTATAATTACATTGTGGATAATTCATTGAGCTCTAATTTAATAACCTAGTCGTTGCATCCGTTGGTCACCAACGCTCCCTTCGCTCGAAAGGTCAACCCACAATACTGAAAAATAATCAACGCTTAGAAGTTCAATCAAGACGGCATAAGACATCAAACTGTGGAAATTCGTGTTTCATAATTCGCTCCGATGGCAGCAGATCGCTATTATACTCGCAAAATCTACCGCGTTAATTTTGCAGGACTGTCCGAGAAAATTTCCCACCGATATGCCAACATTGACATGCGTCTTTAAATGTATTTTAACACTAAAAGGTCTGCATATTTGCGCACGGACATTATGGCTAATAATGGTGAGGGGAAACGAGGCGTGGCGTTGTGTTGGTCTACAGCGTAATCTGTACGCAGTGACGTTACCTTTAGGGCCATCCTACGATTTTTAGCTCGGCGTGCTTGACATTTTCTGTTCTGGAGCGAGGTCGAACGTCGACGAGGGTCCAAAGTGCTTCATGTAACGGCTGACTGTTGACACAAAATGGAGATGCAAACACGGTTTGTAGAGTTTTGTAAGAACTCACAAATCACAACCAAGACGTTCGAGTATCTTTTCCAGAATTGGGGAAAATATAGCATTGGTTTAATCAATCCAAGACAGTGACGATAAAAATAATGTCTCGATAATTCTCGCTCATGATTTACGTATTTGGCTAAAATATTAAGAATAGACAAAACAAAATAACATATATTTCCTATGAAGCAGCCTATAATTCTTATCAGTTCAATAAATTCAACGTACAGAAAATGAAAATGTTTCAAAAAAAAATTCTCCCGAAAACCGGACTATAAGCAAACAAGTCCGTTACAAAAGGAATATTAACATCAGAAACGCGTGAGAGTTCAAACGCAGCCCCTTGAATTGCTTTCATATCATAAGCGGAAAATAATCACTCTGGAAAAGTAGCTGGCCCAACTGTTTAGGTATGCAACAAATATTAAGTAGACAGTGCTACGTTTGTTTGTTTTTAATTATGTACATGTGACAACAAATACCTCAAGGAGCTGTGGGAAAGGCATCATGTATTAAAAAAAAAAATTAATAATATCAATACATCGTCGGACCAACCAACCTCCGATGGTGTTGTCCAATACAGGATCAAGGGAAATGGTAAGGCACATTGGCGTTTCAGATAATTGCACTTGTCTGGTTTTATATCTGGGACGGATCCATTCTATTTAGTGACTACGACCGAGACAAATCAAAATCTCATTTCGCTCTTACAACCCTTGTTAATTGCTACACCCGTTAGGAAGTATGCGAAGCGTCGGCGACAGTCTGCGACTGCTTGCTGATTCCTTACATTATGATTTGTGTGCACTGTAAATTTCATGGACATCACTTTTTTTTATATAATATACCGTACGTTGAACACCTTATGGTATAACATTAAATTACTATCACTACCGTGTCCAGAAGGCATTACTTCACAATATGCTATAAAAGCTGTTTCCAAACAAATTGCTTACATATAAAAAAAGATATACATGAAGCCTTAGAGACGGAAGTATTATAAATAATGGAATGTTTCATTAAAACAACCTAGTGAAAACAAATATTTACAGTCCTGTATACAAGTAATGCATGCAACTATACATTATTTGATAATACATGTATCAAAGTATAAGTACTGCAGCCAGAGTAAGGCAAGGACCATACCCAAAGGTATCAGGGGATTAAGTTGTCCACCTGACGGATCAAATGCTTAAAAAGACGTATATACAAAAACGACGTCAGAAGGAATAAGTATACTGATGAATATGTTACATTCCGTGCCTTGAATTAAGAGGGACACAATCGCGAATGTGAATGACCGGCAGAAAGCGAACATTTAGTCCCGAAGTCAGTGACTACTAAGTTAAAATGTATATTTTGTAGCCATGAAAATATGGTGTATACTATTCTTAAATGTTGAAGACTCCATTGTTTCTCTTCAACCAAACTCCTTCATTATTTGATGAAAGAACCATGAACCATATATTTTTTTATCTTTTCAAGTCGGATGGCAAGAAAATGTAATGCACCAAAATACCTTTAAAACTATGTACAATATAAGCATATTTAAGTAGCTGGTGTTTTCTGAGATATCACAATGGTCCCCATTCCTAAACATTATCTTTAAAGAATTCTCCAATTTCCCAAGTTTAATGAAAGCACAGTCGTTTCTCGATATTTCCGGTGTGATTCTCCACACACACATGATCGTCGATACGACTCGTTTACGCGTGATACAACATGCATGGATTCATGAGAGCTATAAGTAAATGAAATATGTATTTTATAGTTATCAACGGGTCTATGGGTATAAGCAAAACAAAAATAACAAATTATATCTTTAAAAATCAGTCTCAGACGTCTCCAGCCTCTATCTCCATACAAATAATTCATAAAATGCAAATAATTGATTCGAGATATCAAATTTAAACATCATTAATATCTTCAGCCATTCCTCCTTAAAAACAACCTCTGGATAAAGGTATCGCGTATAAAAAACATATATCCGTAGGGAATACATACTAACAAAAGAACCCATTAATTCCTGTAGCGGAATAATGCCGCCATTCAAAATTTGCCAAAGTACGCTACATAATGTATGTTATAAAAGAAATAGTATAAAGTATCAGATTAAAAACAAGAATTCATTATTGCTACAAAAAGTATAGAACATTTCAGCTTACGCACGTACTATATTCTGCCGGGAAGTTTAACTTTATTCCCAAGAAATGTATCAACAAAGTACAAATCGGTGATCGCAAACGACCAAACAAATGAGTTACAAAAGCTAATATACATGTATTTATATTTCTACTGAAAAATGTACATTCTTATAGGTTAGCTATTTTTAATATGTAATACAAAAACAAAGCAGGCTTTCACGGTCATGATTTCATATTTCCTGTTTCTCACACCATATCAGCGTGATAACCTTTGACTTCAACGTATTAATCATGATAAAATGCAAACTTGCACTGCGGTGTCGCGTTCTGTGTTCAACTTGAGTATTCGTTTATTCTACTTTACTGACACGTTTTAGCGAACAACTCGTTCCACACTCGCAGCATATTCAGCCCAGAATTCGTTTAACTGCGAAAAGGGTTCAAGATGTAAAATAAAATATAAAGGTGGTTTACGCAGACGCTGTGAAATTAAGGCCAAGCCTGTCGGGCAAAAATCCTTGTAATACTCGTGTTACGGTCTACAAAATGTCTATAAATCGATTTTGCGTGCGAGTCGAGTTCATAGTTACGTCAGAGCTCACCTTTCTAATTTCATATCTGACCGATCTCCGTGCAGGCCTATACAGTTTCCCAAAAAAAGAAAAATGTGATATTTTTAGAATATAAATATGATATCCTTACACAAGCAAGGGCTTGTTAGCCTGCTTCCCAATGAACTCTTGGGCAAAGGGAGTTATTAAAATCGCAGGCTGAGTCTATTTTTGGTGTGAATCTCTGTGGATACATCTGCATGCTGTGTTCATGGTATAAAATGATATTAACAGCTGGATCTCAAAAGCCACTGGGAATCTGCTGTGAAGTGTTTTGAGCCGCAAAACCTTTCACAAATTTTCTGAAAGATACAAAAAGCCCATGCTTATGCAGAATTCATAATCGATTTCAATGTTATCTGCCTTCACTCAGTATCTGCCTTCATAGCGAACTGTGTGTAAAGTTCCGTGACCTCCCCAGATACTATGACTACGTGTCTTAATGCTAAAGTGTTAATTCCTGCACTTAATGGACACCATTTGCAAACATTCAAAACTGAAATTGTCAAAATATCATGAAATATCCTACTTGATTGTAAGTCAATAATAGGATCATGCATTCTGTGAAATCATAGCGCGTAGTATGCGGTCATTTTCGAGAAACGAGGAATTACCTATGATTATTTTGTCGAAAAGAAAAGATGATGATGCATTTTTCAGTTTTCTCAAAACGTATGTTATCTACTGCGCTGAAATTTCGACAGGCTAGTTTCTGAATAACCTACTTCCGATTTATTGTGTTCTTGTTCCTTGAATCGACAAAGATACAGTTTTTGCAAATGGTGTCAATTTACCTGTAGTTGACACCAACAGGGCGAGTATTATATTGCATTGGTTCATATCTAGTCAAGTTCAGGCATTGAAAACATGCAATACAGGAAAATAGACTGGTACCTGAAACAACCAGTCCAACAACCCTTCAGTACTGCATCTATCAACTGTGCCAAAAGAAACATCTGGCAGGTCCGGTACTAGTCTCTATTAGTCAGCCACCAGACTAATGACAGTGAATGAAGAGGTCAGACTTTTCAAAACGTTGGACCATGGTTGGGCATGTACCAGTCTAGTCTTTAGCCTCATTTTGATATAACTTGACTTCCCTCTTAGGTGTAAAATAGTGAAGAAAAGTCTCCCTTAAAAATTGAATTGAGACTTAAAACTTGGTTGGTGAAATACTGAGGACCTTGTCTTTCCATCATGAAAACTTTGAACAATTTTGTCGGCTAAAGAGCGAGTTAAGCTGGCTCGGGAGTTTGTTTGCATGTTTTTCAGCACTCGAAGTCCGAGTCTGGTTCATATGCTACACACACATTCAATCCTGAACTGGTACCACGACTTCAATTTCTTCTTCCAACTTAAATCACTACACTCTTGTGTGTCTCATATATCAAAGTTTCCTTTAGCAGGATTTTATAGACCTACAAGGGCTAGTAGTGCTTTGAGGAATTCCTTACTCCGAAACACAAAGCAACAGCAACAATCAGCCCTATAATAATTTAACATGAGAATCTTACCCCCCCCCCAAAAAAAAAAAATACGACAAAAACCCGAGAATGGTCATAAATAGGCATTGTTCATTTTTGTACAAATTTCTATATACACATCTGCCCCGGTGTGTCAGCCAAAACTAAATGAGCCTTGACGAATCCTGAAACAAGTCGTCCGAGTTAATTAGCGTAATGGCATCACCACAACACCATGTGGACGTAATAAACAAGGCAGTCTGCCTCAAAAGCCTGTTGGTCAGTTTCGCAAGGTAAGGCATGCAACGCTGGCAGCCATTGCATGGCTACATACAGTGAGAATTGATTTACTTGTCGTCATGACAAACAACTCATGCGCAGCCACTCTCCGGCCTACCTTTTTGCCATAACAGCAACGGAAATGTGTGTATTGTTTGAACACTGATATATTTCAAGCAAAAATATAATACCTGTGCCTTAAAAGCAAAAGGTGCCGACAGTCTTAAAATCCATTAGCAGAGCTGAGTAACAGTGAAACCCATCATCTTTCGATGGAAGACAAAAAGGGAGGCAGAGTGTTATTCTATTCTCTGTGGGCGATAAATTCCCGAAGGATACTGGGAGGAAGGTAATTAAGATGAAACTGACAACCCCGTCCATTATTTTTCACACCTCCGCTATATCTGGCTTTCAGCAATCGAATGTACAAACAAACTGCACGAATTGATGGAGGCATGGATCTATAAACCCCATGATGGTGGTATTTTAAAAAGGCTTTAACTAAATCACCACTGTGCACATCAAACACAGGTTTTAAGTCTATTTATCGGATGCTGGTCCAAATGTTCCATTATGCCTACACAAGTACAACAGCTGTCAAAATCTTTGTTTGCATACCATTTTTGATACAGTTGACTTCTATATCACTTATTATTTTTTATATAAGGCTTCCACGTTCAAAAATAAATCAGCGTATTGTACGGTGATCGGAACAAGTACCCAGATGACTGCAATATTATGTCAGTAAAACCGCCCGGATGACTTCAATATTATTTTTGATATCGTCTTCATCCACACCATCAAGACCGTAGCAACTCACAGTTGTCAACTATTCAACAGAGCGTAGCGTGCGGTACCATCACACGCAGGCCAATTTCAAAGAACGTGCTAAATACGTAACTTTGCTAAGCACTGAAAATAGTTGATTAGGAAAAAAAAAAGGTTAAACGTCATGCAACGTACGCTGCTCAGGATGGGTTCAGCTGATTTGTGCCTAGAAGCAGAAAAAAATGCTAAACAATATTTTCTGCTTGGCAGTGCCAAGAAATCGGTCCAAGAGATGTTCAATAAATGATTAGCAGTGGAGTCTAGATTTGAAGAGGTTTCTTCATCTGCAGATCATTTTTTCTTGAACAGACCTCCAAAGATCTTGTTCCTCTTGAGCTTGGGGGAATCTTGGCCCGAGGACTTGAGAGGCACCTGGTGGTGGTGGTGGCTCCCCTTCATCAGATTTGTGAGTTGGATGGGTGGAGGAGGCTGTGCTGTGATGACCCTGTCCACCTCATGATGGGTCCTGGGTGTGAGCTGGGGTGCTGCCCGACGGGGCTGGCTTGGGGAAGACTCCACTTGGGGTAAGGGTGAAGGCGGGGCTGGGCGCTTGGGTTGCTGGGGTTGGGTTGTGTGGGACCTGGGTGACGGGTGCAGCTGCAGAGGTAGGGTAGGGTGGGTTCGGGTTCTGGGTGTTGCTCAGATAGGATGGGTTGGGAGATGGATACCCTGGGTTGGTTGGGAGGTCTTTGATGGGAACTGGGTACAGTGCTTGGGATGAGATGAGAACTGGGTGACTGGGAATGACCGAGGGTATGTTGGTTACCGGGTACCCGGGGGGATGAAGATGGTGCATGGTAAGTATCTGAGGGTGCAGGTCTAGTGGGATGAGGGGGAAACAGTGGAGGATCTGATGGGCGGTCATGGAGGGCTGTGGATGGGTGAGGTTTGGGTACTGTGCTGCTTTGATGATCGGGCTGCCGAGGAGTTGATGGGCTTCCCTTCTTGTGATCAATAGAGGAGGCTCGCGAGCGTCGCCTCTGGGGAGGAGTGGGAGTTGGAGGGGAACTAGGAGGCTGTGAGGATGATGCGACCTGAGGAGTGCAATGAAAGCAGTGGTATATGAGATGATGGTTGGCAATCCAATGAATGGACAATGGTACCCATAACAATGAAGGCCCCAAAACTGAAGGGACACCAACCAATGAAAACAAAATACCTAAACCGGATGGTTGTTCTTTAATACTTCCATTTTCTCCAAACTTTTGAACTGTTATTTAAAGAAGTGATGTAAGTCACATGCTTATTAATTTATCCTGGTTTTAGATTTTATGACTTAGGATTTGTAGGCCGTCACATCCGCAGAGAAAAATCGAGGAGAGTGTCCAGGAACCTCTAAAAATATTTCTTTTTTTTGAATTGATGAGGCTGGCTATATGGAGGAATGATATGACATTTTTTCTCCATCCATGGTTGGCTCTAAAATGATTGATAAGATGTTGATGTATGTGTTTGACTATAAAAGCACCTCGTCTGGGGAGGAGTCCTCAAGATCAAAGAGTGGAGGAGGAACAGAGACTGGCAGAGGGGGTGGCTCGGCATCTGACTGATCTGTAAAGACAGAAAAAAAACCAATAAACAAATGATCAGATATTGACCAATATTTGACCAGCATATACACATTACTTCAAATGAAATACGAAAAAAAGAAAAGTGGTAGAATACAGATGTCATTATAAATACACATGGGGAAACTGGATATTGCCGTATATCATCATCTCAGAATTCTGAGTGTCTTAAGCCGTGTTCCCATTGGACTTTTTCTTCAGCGGCCACGCGGAAAGTTACCGTGACTGGCTTTGGTGTAATTCTACCGTGCGTTCCCACCTGGACTTATATTCCGCGACGGAACGGTTCATTCGCTGTTCGAGACTAGCAGAATGTCACACATTGCGGGCGCTGTGCACAGTCACCTTTGACCTATGCGGGATATGACGTGCCTGTGACGTATTTTTCGCGCGCTGAATTTAGTCGGCCACGTCATTTCTCCTGTGCCTTCATCAGCATTTTCACGTTCATCTAGCCCAATTAAACTCCTCACAAAATCGATCAAATCTGCCATGTTTCTAACTAGTAAAGTAGCGAAACTGCAGCAGCTGGACGAGATTGAAAAAAGCTCTGCAGCTGAGCGTAGTGCATGCTACACACGCTGTGTACGGTACGATGATAATATCACACCGCCATCAGTGCAAACGAGACAGGGAACCATACTACCATTTTCGCGCGAATTCTGTGTATACAGGAAGTGTTGTTGTTTGCATAGCGTTTTACCGTTTTACAGCGTGGACACGGTAGGTTTACAGCGCGGAGCGTTCCCATTGGACTTTTTAGCGGCCCTGTTAAGTTACCGTGGCTGCGCGGAAGTCTTCCGCGTCCTCTTTCGGCCTGTTAGTTTTACATCACGGTCGCGGTAAGTTGACAGGGACGTCAGTTTACCGTGTGTCCCCATTGGATTTAATTTTGTCATTCTACAGAAAAGTCGCGGTACTTTAACCAAAAACAGTCCAATGGGAACACGGCTTTATTGAAAATTGCAGCCAAAATTCCTTATTAAAAAAAATTTGTTTCAATTGTAAACATAACCAGTTCGCGCCAGGATTATTTTTGCCGAAAATTGGGATTTTTTCGAAAAAAGGCAAAATATAGCAGCCAACTTTTGATATACAGCCAAACGCCACAAATACTGATTCGCAAGAGTCATTTCAACAGTATTTGTACGATATTTCTTACCGCAACCTCATATTTTTCAACACTCTGAGGTGTGCCCACGGAGCACCAGTAAATTGTACAACAGGCCATGCCTTGTTCAAGTTCAACACACGGTCTGCCTCCACAGACTGATCGGACTCTGTGTGTGTGTGTGTACGAAACAAATGGGGGATTAGCATGTTCAGACGTCATCCGGAGGCAAATCGAGGCACGCTTGACGTTTTAACCCGTCAGCCGTGCCTGTGTATAAAAACAGCCAGATTGTGTAAACACGTCATTCAACTAGAACTGGTTAAATGGAAATAACCAAATTGCAAAGAAAGCAATACATTTTTTTGACTGGAAATGAAACATTTTTGAAGCTTAAAATCAGAGGTATAAGAGTGTTTGCCAGTACACTTGCATGACTGCTCTGGGATCTTTAACAGGGTTCCTGCACCTTCAGGACAATAACATTCTGTGACTTTTCCCATGACTTTTCCATGACCAAATTATGAAAATCTATGAATTACATGTACCGGTAGTTCATCAAAATGCGGATCAAAACTGTAAAACTTGTTTCTGTGGTTTATCACATTTTTAATGGGGATATCACGGGGCAAACATTTGAAATCAAATTGCTTGTATCAATGAAATTTGTCACATTTTGTTGGGTAGAAAAATCAGATTTCCCATGCTAAATTATATACAAAGTTTAAAATTTTAAAAGAATATTATGTAATTCCATGACTTTTGGCATTTTTACAAATTTCCATGAATTTCCAGGACTGAAAATTAACGATAAGATTTCACGACTTTTCCAGTTATTTTCAGGCCAAGGGCACCCTGTTTAACAACAAACCGATCACCTCAATTGGCCAGCTGAATTGTGATCAATACTGAATGGATCCTATGAGCTATTTCCACATGCCCATCACAACGTAATTAATGAATAGACCACTGACATATTGTAAAACATGATACATGTGTGTATTTGCTAACATGCCCCATTACAAACAAGCACATGACTTGTCTGCAAGTTATATGCAGGCTCCAATATTGGAGCGGTGGGGGTAATTTGCTTGTAATAAAATGGAAATGATAATACATGGACCATGGCGGCGGATGCTAGATGTTGCAGCGAGTGCGCTGGGCCAAATTACGTGGCTCTGCTATTCGCAGAAATTTGCGCTAACTACGATTACCATTCAGACATTCTGTACCTACCCTGCTATCAGAAAATTTCTTGACGCGGGGTGTACGCATAATGTGCAAAAGCCAAAACGCCATGCAAAAATTCCTTCTGCATTGAATTTCTACTATCGTTAAGGCCAAAAAAAAAAAATATTCGGTCTCTGGTCAGACCAAAGTTCCGGAATTGACGCGGGGACGCGGCTTTTGTTTTTTGTTTTGCTTTTTTTTTTTCTTCAAGCTTGGATTGTATAGACAAGGTGGGGTACTTTTTTGCTTTTTTTGGTGTCCTCGTGTACATTGGTGTCTTCCATAATTTGCCTTGGTGCTCTCGATCATTTGCCTTGGTGCAATTTCCCATTCCTTGGTGCTCTTTGGTAAAAAAAAATTGAGGAGGTGCGGCAATAGAGGGCGCTGTTGGAGCTACCGCAGAACATTTTGGAAAAAAACGATTGACGCGCATGATTAAAATCGACGCGCGCGCTGACCAGAGACCGACTCATTGTTTTTTTTGGCATAACTAGAGGAGATTTTTTGTTTTCCCTACGGTAAAGAGCCATTAAATAGTGCCCAGATCTCACTCTGTATTTTCAGAGAACTCATTGGAGTGTTTCATAAGAGGAATGTAATTAGTGTTTCTATATTTAAGCAGCCATTATCTAATTACTTGTGTATGCCGTGATGGATGGAATAGGAAATGTAACCTTTAGTTAAGATGCATGTGTGTACTTAAGCTCTGCCAAGCAAGCACAAAACAAGGCCATCTTCAACCATTAAGTCTAAGTAAATCCCAGCTGTCAGTAAGCACCTGTGCCTACAGAAAATGCACAAAGCCAATTAGGTGATATCAATCAATCCATAAATATTAGTGCTGTTGGAAATCTAGCCTCAACATCACTGAGTCTTAATGAAGAGCAGTTTAACCCTTTAGCCCTAACTCCCTACTGTCTTTTACTAAGTACTGGACCAAGTCCGCCAACATCCATCAATCACACTGCTTCCAATGCAGGCTTTGCTTCAGGCCTCCGGAGCCCAAGTCCATCATACTCCATCAATATTAAGTCAAACCAAGCCTGCAGGACCAAGTCCCCCAAAATCCACCAAAATGGGGGGATGGATTTTGATGGAGTTGGCGAGGTTTGGGTTAATCACAGTATCGTCCGAAAGTGCCCTGCCTATTACTCACTGTAGAGCCCAAAACCACTGGAGCACTCTATGGTTTTATTGATTTTTCAGTGAATCAACACAATGTAATACAGGTGTTGACAGGTTAGGGGGAAAAACCACTTCTGTATCTCTGAAGTGTTCTGTTTATTACATCAGTGTGTAACAGTAACATGTAAAATGTTCTCCCATCATTTATACCAGAGTAAGTAAATCGGCTGATGCATGTAGTATACCTTTCACGTGCAAATAAATTTGACATTTATTTTTTATAAAAAAACATTGAGTCACAAAAGTAGTAAACTGTAGTAAATTCTACGTAGTAGTAAATTAGTAAATTCTACGCAGCAACAAAAGATGGTTCCCGTCGTGCACTCGTCCGGATTATCTAATTTAATTGTGTAGCCAACCAGCGTGTGGAATAGTCTTATAAGAAGATCGTTTGATTGTGTACATGGGGAGAAGAAAACCTGTTTCTACAATACAGTGGAACGGCCGCTGTAACGAACATCGCGGGATCCACAAATTTTTTTTGCGATCGCGTAATGGCGATCATTCAGTATAGCGATTTTAAGCTGCCAGTGCTCCGATAATCACTCTTCAATAAATAGCCCATTCAGAACTTCACCCTGCATGCCCTGGTAGTTACGGAAAGATGACTTTGAACACTTGCCGATTATTTGATCATGTACAGTTTTGAGCTTATTACCTACAATAATGGGTGGCTTTCCCCTTCTTTTCCTTGGGGATATATTAGCCACTTCTCGCTTTCTTTTGAAATTTTTCAACAACAATGTCCGCATGTTTTGCACACAAAAATCGGGAGCCAAGGACGATGTTTGGTATAGCTGAATGTTTGGTATAGCGGTGTTCAGTATAGCGATGTGGATAAAGAATTTTCGAACAGAAACTTGCCAAAAGAAAATCTCTAACGGAGCTGATGGAGGCACTTAATAACAGAGTTATTTGAGTAAAATCCCACTCACTTATGGGAGCGACTTTTCAGAATCTGATTGCAAACAACAAATGTTACAATTTATGATCCTTTAGATAGAAAAATAAAATAGAGCTAAACAGTTTGAAACACCTTCCGTCGTCAACATGTGCGTCACCACTTTGAACAAGTCATGTGGTCACGTCTGTGCCACGGAATCGTCCTCGTGTCAAGATCAGCATGGTTGCGATTATTCTGTGTCAAGATGCCGCTTGCTCCATGACAATCACACGATTTCTCAGTTTTGTGACCCAAGCATGACCATTGTGACTGATGCCAACGGTTCCATCGCAGCGCAAGCAAATCGCAGGGCGGCTTTACTTTGCGAAACCAGAGGGCCGGCGTGCACAGACGAAATAGGGGAATGACGTGGACATTACTTAGTAACCGCTTGATCACGTATAACTCCAACTATGACCGGTGCCCGCAGTCTCACAGAAACTCACCATGTGAATAACCAACTCAGCCGCAACAATCAATAAATCAAACAATTACTAGAACATGGCCCAGCGAGTAAGAACCAGCAATTAAAAAACAAAGAGATCAATACCACCAGCTTGCAATACTTGTAAAAACAAATCAAACAGCGTTGCAGATGTAAAGCCATTCACAGCACTGGTAATATTATTATTAACTTCGTTGTTTCAGGCACAGTTTCTGAGCACATGGTCTATATGGTTTTATGGCTTCTGACTATTACAACACCCTAAAGCAAAGCAAAGTGAAAACTTCCAACTTAGGCCTGGAAGGCTCAGTTGGGAGGAAAACCAGTGTAGTGCTCCTACACAGGGTGGTCCAAACAAAAACAACGAAACCTCATACTTCCACTACCCTGAGACTCAATAATTTCACCAATAATTTTGTCAGTTACTTTTTAGATACCGGTAGCTGCAAATGATATACTCTACATTTACTCTAATTTAAAACTTGCAAGTTTAATCATGCGGACACAAGTCTAGAGAACTACATTATATATATTCCTTTAAAAAAACAAGGGATCAAAAAGTTAATGTTTTTCTTAAACCCTCTCCTCACATAGTTAAGGTACTTTGCAACGTTTAGTACATATCGTCCTGTGCCAAGGAAAGGACGTTAGCAGCCCAGGCATGCAAAAAAAAACCCACACTTTTGAAGATAATCGAGTTGAAAGGTTTTGTGCTCCCATTTCTAAATTAAAAATCACATAATGCTGAAATTTTGACTCATGAAATTGGTTAATAATTGAAATAGTAGTGTGCATTTTTATTTGAAAGTATTACTTAATTTTGAAGTTATTAACATTTTATGCTAACAACCTTTTACCGGGAACTCCCCCTGCCTTAAACATGTTCTAATTATAAAGTGGAATGTTAAATCATAATGTCCTTTTGCATACCTACTTCAGCGGGAAGTTAGCGCACTTGGAACATATTTTATTACATTAGTATTATATGCTAACGTCCTTTTGCCAGGAAAAAATAATGAAAAATCTCCTTCCGTCTTTTTCCTACTGTTAATTACGTCAAAATGATGTAGCCCCTTGAGACAAAATGTATATCAAATGAAAGATATTTCCATGCTCCATCGATTACCCGAAAAATCTGAATTTGACCTTTTCAACAATTGTTTGCCCTAACGGCCTTCTTCCACGCACCCGACGATATGTACATGTATTTGAGACAGTCATAGCACAAACAAAAATGCAATATAACTTTGAAAAAGAAATTGAACTAGAGTTGAATTTGAACATGTGGCCTTGATAAACACCATACAGACACTCTTATGACTGAATTTTCCAGCCATATATGTTGGTGGTTCTCCAATATCATGCAGCATTAAACCAAAGCCTTGAACCTGTGTAATGCAACGTGGCCAGGGATCACACCAACTGTCGTGATGCTAGCAACATAAGCCATGCTACACACGTGGAATAGTACACTTGGGATCACTCAGATAGAAAACATTGCCTTTTTTTTTACAATAGGACAGTGAAAACATCACAAGATATCAACACATCTAAAATCCTAGTTGAAGCAGTACTTACCACTTTTCCAAGACAACTCCGGGGAATCTTTCTCAATGGTGTGCCTTGTTGTCAACGAAGGATCTGATTCGTCGGGTAAGGAAAGCAATGAGCTCACACTCAAATTCTCATCGCCTGATAGGCTGTCGGGGGTCAGTAGCTCCTCCCCCTCATCTCTCGCCCAATCAGCAACAAGCTCCGGCGAGGGAATCTGGTAAGCTTCCCTGCTCTTGTGATTGTTATTGCTGTTCAGAATGGCCGTGTTTGTCCTTGAAGGCTGGGTTCTTTGATTACTTGGGCTTTGTCGAGGATTGCGGTTGTTGTCTAAGACGAGAGGACTAGGATGGAAGGGTTTGGAGGTCTGCCGTTTCCTGGGTCCCTGAGAGGGAGAAGTTAAACCAGGCTGTATCCTCCCGAGAGTACTGGGGCTTCGCGGAGAGGTCCTGTGCTGGCTGCTCTCGTCAGAGCTAAGGTCTGAGTCATAAGATCTATTCCTAGAAAACTGAGGCTTTGATCTTGGACTCGGGTGTCGTGGGCTGACATTGGGGGCTGATTGGCTAAGTCCTGGATCTGGTGTTGATCGCCTAGAGCTTTGCGACTCTGATGTGGTCCGCTGCCCAGCACTCTGTTGAAATGATAAGGGTGCAGGCATCTGTGGTCTGTGAGAGTCTGTGGTCTTTGAAGGAACTCTCGCAGACTCTTCTAGGATCTCAGCTTGATGGATGAGGTCTGTTGTGTCCGCATCGTCTTCAGACAGTAACTCGTCGATGGAGGTAACTGGAGAGCCGATATCCACTGAGTTGTTGTTAAGTCTTGGTGATTGCTTCTTTGCATCTCTAAGCAGTTCCGCGTCTCTAAGGAGTTCCGCTTCACTCAGGTTCTCAGTTCTCAACACAGGACTAACCCCTGTCTGCTTCTCAGTTTTATGTCCATTCGCAACTGAACTCTTGGGGGTTGAAAACCCAGTCTTGGTTCTAGGAGACATATCTGCTCTCCTGGATTGCACAGGGAAGACCTGCAAAAACATTAAAAAAATACACGGCTAAGTTAATGCACCTGTATTTGCAGATTAGGAACACCGCATTCGGCTGAAAACGTCTACAGACGGTGCAAATTGAATTTTAAATAATCGTTTACCTTTTCTGGTACCAGGGTCATTTCGTTGTCGGGCAGGACAGCTTGTAGTTTTTCCTGCAGTTCTTCCTCCATTAATTCCTCTTCTATCTGGGCCACAAGGGCAGCCTGGGTATTAATCACAATAGAAATTGTTGTCACAACCTCTTGAGGACTGTATCCCTAATTTGGCAAAGGCTGGCACGGTTAATTTAAACTTGTACTGATTACAATTAATAAAAGGTGTCAGGGATGAGATTGTCAATTTAAAAAAAAGTCTGAAAAAAAATTGGATGTCATTTTAGCACCTTGTTTTTACATGCATAATGGAAATGTTTTTGTGAGTGTCTGTTTTCAAGGCAGAGAGACAGGTTCATATTTTATGCCAAAAGAGTTTTTTGTTTGATGATTACTTTCTTGTATGTTTTAACTTGTTTCAAAGATGAGTTACCATAACGTGAGTTACCGAAATATATCCCTCTAGGGATTTTATGATCGTTTTTTTTTTTTTTTTTTTTAATTAATTGTAATGGTAACATTTGACTTACAACTAATGATGTAAGGGTACATAAAAAAATTGTCCATCAGTGCACAGTATGCAGAAACTTTCAAATGCAGGGTATTTTAATTTTTACCGTACCCTTTTCTTGTAACGTGAGTTACCGATAAAAAATGTATATTGCCAAACCAACTGAAGTTTATTTCGTTAATTTTTTTAAAAGCTCTGGCAGGAGCCTCTTCATGTCACTTGGTGGGCGGTCTGTCAGTTGGTGGATTGGTCGGTCGGTCTGTCAGTCGTTCCCCAAAAATTGACCAAACATAATTGACTAATTGACCAAATGCCATGCCGTAGTCATAAAATGCACTCTTGCTGATAGTTTTCAGAACAGCGATTTTATTTCAATCAATGCGCATGCGCGTTTATTTTGCATATGAAGTGAGACATTCCCAAACCGGGCCAGAGCTTATTGTGCACTCGCACTTGTTATAGTTTAGTGACTTTACTTCAAAGGATCTTCTGTGCGAAATATGCAACCTCAATGCTTTGACTTTTACAGAATAATACCACAGAGTTGATTGAAGACCCCCTTCTAACTGTAACATGAGTTACCATGGAATTGCCCTGATGCACAGCATCACCTACCCTCTCATCTTCTCCTAGCGATTCAGGTAGGTGCTCATCATCTCTGATAGCTTCCACATCCTCAGCTACCAAGCCTTGCAGACCACCAGGTGCTTTGTTCACTTCCTCCAGGATGTTGTCCAGTTGCTTCTGGTGGCCATAGGACTGCTCTTCGCACTTTGATATCAAAGATTGAACGGAACTTGCGTTAATAAAAAAAACCCAAGGCAGACGTGCTGTCATGAGGCGTTTCATGCATGTTTCAATAGGCTAGAATTTTAGACCCAACTCTCATACAACTCTAACGAGTCAACAAATCTTTTAGGCTGTGCATTCTCAAACAAATTTAGTATTTGATTATTCCAACTTGGACTTGATTAAATATTCAAGTTAAACACGGGTCAGTCTGAACTTGCCACCAATCAGGATTTACATGCGCTTTTCAAAAATTGGCAAAAAGCTAATAGCAAAATAATGTAAGGAGCAGGAAGCGCTATGGTTGATATTTGACTGATTTCGAAGAACAAATTTGAGATGATATTCATTACAGAAGCTCTCAAAACATGCGCAAAAGCGCAGGCTTCCAACAAAAGTGTGGCATTTGACATAAAATAAAACCACGCAACTTAATACAAAAAAAAAAACATCATGGACGTTTTCAACACATTTTTAGAATATCTTAATCGAAAACATACTTTTCAGATATTGGTTGATGATCAAATATACGTGAATATTCGTTAAATATGTTTCGGCCCAGCTCTTATACCTTTAAAATTTAATAAATTGTTATCAGTAGCTTGACTGTTTGAACATATATTACCACTTCGTAACCACTCACTGGTTATCTCAATGCCATTGAAGGATAATCTGAGTACGGCAGATTTATCTGATAAAAAAGGGTTGGTTTTCAATAACACTGTGAATTGGGCATTCACAAAAAACTGGTTTTACACAGGCCTTGCTTACCAACTCTATCACTTCCGATATCACAACACAAACTTGTTCTACCTTATCTTAACATTCCAGAGAGCGATAATATTCATTGAAGATAAAAATTACACGTGTATATTTCCCACATGATTAGGTCCTTTTTGTTTTAGACCGCAGGGCTGATGCAAAAGCGAGAGTGAGAATTCACAACAGGGAGTGGAGCAAAATAAAGTGCAGTGGTATAATGTCCATCTCTCTGACCAGCAGTCCTGAATATCCACACAGAGTGTGCAACTGCGTTAACTACACGAGCACATTTGGAATTGGAAACAGTCTTCATTGACCAAATAGGGGTCATCTAGGGAGTTTTTGCCATTTTATTTTTAACTACTACTTTTAGGTAAAAAAAAAAGGCTCCGGTTTCTGGTATTGAGATGCCCAAAAAGTGGTGGGGAGACGTGGCTTTTATTTTTTACCGTTTTTTTCTTCTTCAATTGTCGGCTGATGACTGCAAATGGTGCCCGATTGAACTGAGTGCAAATATATGGGAGTCCAGAGAGGCCAGAGGCTTATACTCGATCGTTACCCCATCTAAAAACAGGTTGAAATTTAGCAGCAGCAGGATTCCAGTCAAACCAGTGAGTTTGGCGGTTTTGAGACATCATCTTTCATTGAAAAAAAAAACACTTTTTCATTTTGCCGACGCGCATAGCTACGGTGAGGCGGGCGCATACCAGAAACCGGAGTCCTTTTTTTTTTGGCCTTAACTAACTGGTTTACTTTTTATGTGGTTTTGATATTTTGTAAAGAATCTCGAGATTTTTATGTAAAATGCTATATTAAGAATAAATTATATTATTATTGTAAAATGCCATTTGTACTATTAGCTGTTTGTCTAACCATGCATGAAAACACTTCAAAATTTCTAATTTTTCATGAGAGTGTTAGAGCCTGTGGTGATGTTTGACACTAATTGTTCATGAGTGCGTGAGAATAGCTTAGGCAAGTGTGTGGGTTTTTTTGGCAGCCCTTAAATTACTGAGTACCGTGCTTCATCAGGGGTTTACAAACCCTTGGTTTCACCTCCGTCTTCGGCTACAGCTTTATAATCTGCAGTCCCCTGATGTGACAGACTCCAGTGCAATATTGGTCCAATATCTGCCATTCATAGATATACCAAATTGTGTCACACAGGGCCAGTGGTTGGTGTATTTTACATTGGGTTTGAACACCGCAGGATTCTTATGAATCTTGGGCTGAAGATGAAGATGAAGATATTACACACGAGTCTATGGGACGCAACTGCAGCCACTTCGCATAGACACGTGTGTAATTACAAACCGTAGCTAAGTTATTCGGACACAGCCAAAGACTAGGGTTTAGTAAACCCCCAGGCCGCGATTTTTTTCGCCCAAACGACATCCGCATACATGTTTTTTTTTAGCGCCCTCTACGATACTTTTATGATACGCACGCAGGTATATAATTATTTGTTTCTCCGCATTTTGGCGAGCAGTGCGACAGCTCAGTCGATAGAGAGTAGGATTTTGCACTGCGAGGTTGCGGGTTCGAATCTCGGTTTTGCACCCGAATTTGTTTCCTTTTCTAACCTGAGGCTTTGGAGGATTTCTATTAAAGGGAAATAAAGTCCGAATTTCGTAACGTTCAAATTCCCTTTTTTTCCTAATTTTATATTTTCTTCTCATGTTTTTATAAAAGTTAAGTCAAAAATGCCATAGCGTACCCCCATATGTGGATGTCGTTTGGGAGAAAAAAATCCGCCCCCAGGCCTCATTTTCCAAACCTTTACCTTGGTCTGCCTCTTGAGGGCAGCAAACTTCTCTTCCTGAGCAGCAATAGTCTTTTCAAAGTCCTCATGTCTCTTGATCATCTCCTCAATGTCCAGAGTATCCTCCTGCACAGGCAGTTGGACAAAAACACAAAATAAGTCAGAGGACTGATCTGAACACAGAAAGGTCTTCAGGAGGGTGTAGGTTTTAAAGTAGTTCCAATCATTTGGATGGGTTTTGTCATTTCTCCATTTAGTTTGTCAATCTTGTGTCATATCATTCTGCTACTTCTGTTCCAAGCCCTAAATTTGGACTACCTCCCATGAAATTGTATTTCCCGTGTATGCTTACATCTCTAACAACTTAAAAAGAAAGGGGAAGTTTATATGTAAAACATAACTTTAGTGACTTGGAAAGCAAATACCTCCAGAATAATGTATCGATTCAGTAACAACTGATTTTAGAGGAAATTTCAGGAAACTTTTGTCCAGCACGACACTTTACAATATTGAAAATACATTCATTTATTCCTTCAATATTCTTAAAAATCATGACTTGCAGCCAAAGTGAACATGATTTACATTAAAAGACCATTTTTAACAATATTACGATAATTCATTAGATGAATTTGCGTCATGGTGATGTAAATCAATCTTGCATTTTGCCCTTCACCGAATATTACCATTGAGCCGTACATCAAATGAGATGTTGCCATAAATGGAAAAAACAAGTGCTTGGTATCATACAATGCCTTGAAATGATGCACTGACATGCCAATCTGTTTAAACCAATAGCGTCTGAACTACATTGTATTACATTGTGTTTATTCACCAAAGAATCAATAAATCCATGGAGTGCTCGGGTGGTTTCGGGTGCTACAATGAGTAACAGGCAGGGCGGTCTAGGGCGCTACAGCGACTAAAGAGTTTAATTAACCATGTTTTTCTCACCAGGAATGACTGGTCCTCAAGTACAGGGTTCCTGGCAGCCAGCCAGGTCTCAGCCTGCTCCAGGTCTCGCTTGAAGAGCTGAGCATCCAGGTAGGTATCAAACAGGGCCTGCTTCTCATGCCAGGCAGCTAGGAGGCCGTCCCAGGTATGATGAAGCTGCTCAACCTTCTCCGAGATCTGATTGTCAAAGAAAAGAAAATCGACAAGACATTAGCAAACTTTAAATCACTAAGACAATGGCTGATTTTTAGACACAGTTGTAACCAATTCATCACAAGTCTGCATAAGTAAATCACATGTGCGTTAAAAGTCATCCAGTCTCAAGACAAGCTATTATCTTCAAAGTGACAAAGTCATTCCTTTTGACATTATTCATACCCGTTGCATGTGACCCAACTTGTGATTGACTTATGATTGACTTGTGATTGACTTGTGACTGACTTATGATTGACTTGTGTTTGACTTATGATTGACTTGTGATTGACTTGTGATTGACTTGTGATTGACTTGTGACTGACTTGTGACTGACTTATGATTGACTTGTGATTGACTTATGATTGACTTGTGACTGACTTATGATTGACCTGTGACTGACTTGTGATTGACTTGTGACTGACTTGTTATTGACTTGTGATTGACTTACGATTGACATGTGATTGACTTGTGATTGACTTGTGATTGACATGTGATTGACTTGTGATAAACTAGATTACAACTGGGGTGCCTTGCCTCATCCGCTTTGCAGGCGATCAACCGGGAACAACTTGTGAACACACACACATAGTCCCTTTGCGTTTTGTAATATAGCGGTGATTATTTTTAAACCAATGCTCTGCGCATAAAGTGCATTAAACCAAAGCTCTGTGATAAAAAATGCAAAACCTTAAATTTTACTAACAATTCAGTGCCATATCTGCTACATACTTTAACTCCGGAACATTATTCCATGCTAAACACTAAGGTTTTGTGCATATTATGTTCCAACATGGTAACACACTGTCCACACTATTCACACATACAACATGACGGGTTGTTTATTGGCAAATAATGATATGACAAAACAGAGCCGGCCAGAGTTGCTACACAGATTGGAGCCTAGGTTTACTATACCCCTTGAAAGAGGTTAATATTTGCAAACTATATCCCTACCTCGTCAGACAGGAAATGGCCGTTGTCAATCAGCTCCTTGCCAGCGTTGGTAAACTGCAGCAGGCCGTCGGTCCTGCCGTCAATCTCAGCCTTGTGCTCGGCATGGCGACTGAGCAGGGATTCGGCACTGCGTACGTCGTGGGGTGTCTCGTGGGTTGTGATTAGGGCCATCATCTCACTCATCCAGGCACTGCATTGGAAATGAGGCAATGATTGATTCAAAATTTTCTATAAACTGCTAAAAAAAGGTTTTAGACCCACCTCTAAAACTGACCATTTCTTCTCTATTTAGATTTGTTCTAGCAGAATATTTGCTGTTGCTTTCAAGGTATTTTCAGCCCCTTTAGTTGTCAAAGTTCTTTGAATTATTCTTTGCTTACCGAAGCGAATCTCCCGCCGATCGAAGCTGCCATTTTTGTTTTCGACAAACAGTGCGTGCATCCTGCGTGCACGTGCAGCTGTACTGCACACAACGGTCTGTTGACTGGTTTACAACTGTGAGTTTTCTACGCTCTTGATTAAGCGGGAACCAGCGAAATGGGCATTGATACCGTGAAATGCCCAGATGACTTTACAATATCAAAAATGATACTGTATAGTCATTCAGGTACTTTTTCCAAAAGACTACAATAGACCCTTATCATGCTGCCACCATTTTCAGTCATGTTCCCTGTATCCAATAACAGTACTGAATAATAATGTTTTTAGTGCAAAAAGGAACCAGACTATTTTTCCTTCCAGCCTCACTTTGGTTACGTTGATTTGAATGGGAGAAATCCAAATGGCTGCAACATGATAATGGTCTATAAACTGATTTATTTTCACCACTTGGAAGTCTGATACAAATAACAATACAAAATATTACATAGTCATCCGGGTACTTTTCCGAAGGTATGCACTGCACTGATTTATTGTTACTACTTGGAAGCCTGGTATAAAGAAGAATTTAGAAAAACAAAAATAAAAAAATCAGCCAGATTTGGCACTGGGCCTGACCTCATCTCCCTGTAGTCATTGAAGTAGGTCTGGAGCTGCTCGGCTTGCATCAATCGGTCCTTGCGCGTGGCAGCTTCCTCCAGGAGCTGGTTCCAGGCTTCCACCACAGTGTCGTTCTTGCTGCTGATGTGATCGAAGGCGTGGGGGAATTGCTCTACGAGATGGGCAGCGTTGGTGGAGACCGAGGCAACTTGCTCCTCTAGGGCAGCCAGATCTCTCTACAAACCACAAATCATTGTTTTATCTTTAGCAAATCTTGTCAAAACTTACTCCTTTATTTCTTATACGTAGTCACCACCATATGTGGCCCTTGGCTTTGCAGTTAGTGAGTCCCATTTTAATAAAAGTCTACGATCATTTACAAATATGCATGCAAAACCCTAACACCAACTTAGTTGGTCATCTCGTGGAGAACCATGACCCAAACTATAATGTTTGTACTTCAGAATGCACTGTGCTTGTTTTTGCCCAAACTTTTTCTTTTCCTTTTCAGTTATATTTGTTACACCTTGGTTAACCTGTAATGATTATTTGAACTTATAAATTTGGTTTGTAGTATTAGTTTAAAAAAACCCTCATTTATGGAAACAATAAGAAATCTTCAGAATTTAAGATGGGGGGAAGGGAATAGGAAAATGGTGGTGATTTTAGGGAAATTTGCATGGATTTTTGGAGGGATGTAGACAAAATTGGAAATTTGGAAAATTTTAAATAAAATTCAGAAAAACTTTCATTTTAACCAAAAAGAACTTTGAGAAGCATTCACTTCAACAGAAACTGGCAAAAATGACCCCTTAAGGCCAAAAAAAAAAAGTCTCCGGTTTCTGGTATGGAGCTTGCCCAAAAAGTGGTGCGGCGACGCGGCTTTATTTTTTTTTTACCTGATTTTTTTGCTTCAAATGTCGGGTGATGACTGCAAATGGTGCCCGACTAAACTTTGTGCAAATATATGGGAGTCCAGAGAGGCCACATAAAGCTTATTCTCGACCATAACCCAATCTAAAAACACGTTAAAATTGTGCAGCAGCAGGATTCCAGTCAAACCAGTGAGTTTGGCGGTTTTGAGACATCATCTTTCATTGAAAAAAACTTTTTCATTTTGCCGACGCGCATGGCTACGGCGACGCGCGCGAATACCAGAAACCGGAGACTTTTTTTTTTGGCCTATAAGGCCCCTCCTCACTTTCACCATTTCCAAACATTACTAACATGCCCTTAAAACCGACCTCCAGTCCGTTGTGTCGTCTAATAAAAGCCTGCACGCTGGCCAAGTCATGTCCGTAGTCTTCAGATGACACGGATGTCTCTTTCTCTTGTATCCAACTCCTGGTCTCGTCCGAGTCACGGTCAAAAGTGTGAATCAGTTTGGCTGCTGCCAGGGCCTGTGACAAGGGTTCATACCAGAGACAAAGTCAGTGTTATTAAACTGCTACGGTACTGTTTACTGTGGTGGACACTCAGCCCTTGAATTCTGCCACTCCTTTGTATTAGACACCACCCTTTCATTGTCTTAACCCTAACAGAACTCAACCAATCAAACCCCAACGGTTTTGTTGGAATCTGTCAGGATGGGTACAGTACCTCTAAACTGACAGTCTTTTACATCGGGTTGGCACACCTCCAGAATCAGAAATATGTGTGTGCAGTTCCCCACATGGTGTTGGAATATGCCAGGATGGGTATGGTTCCTAGTAAATCATGCTAGGGAGTTAGGGTTAAATGCTTCCTGGAAAGGCCTAATTGGGCTACAAAATGTGTTTTTCATTGGATAAGATCTTAAAAGTAGAATATGAACGTCCACTCAACCATATTTTAAAAATTAGCATGAATATTCCTTTGCTGAGTCTTAGTGGATTCTTTTTTTCACCAGCACTTACAGGTAAGTTCTTTCAGAGATTTCGGTAACCATCCGGTTGCCTTTTTAAATGCGACATTATGACTCCAGTTCCTTTGAAAACATTCATTAAACCGTGTGTGTAGGCATCTGTTTGGTAAATAGATCGGCTAATTTACATTGAAACCACCTGCAATATATATTTTGCAAACTGTCATTATATTGTCTTTCCATTTGTTTCCAACAAAATTTTAGAGATATGTAGAAATAGTTACGGCTCCTTTGGACACAATTTTATATCAGCAAAGAGTCAAGAAAATGATAGAATCCATCCGCCATCTTGGAAAATCCGCCATCTTGGGGGGAAAAAAGGCGGGGGAAGTACAAGCCTTTTTCGTTTTTTCAAAAAGCAAAGACGATAAACAATTTGTTTTTTTGTGCCTTTTTGAAAGGAAAGTTAAGAATACCTCAGTCCTGGCATTGGTGAGTTCCTTGAGTTGTTCCCACATCTCCTCCGCGTGATGACAGCGTTCTAGTACCTCTTTCTCTTCTCCAATGGATTGGTCCACCAGATGCAGGCTCTTGGTGCCAATGTTGGTGATGCGGTACTCGTTGGCCAGGAGGTCACGGGTGAAGTCCCCAAACTTGACTTGCAGAATCTAGCATTGCAATAATATTCCCAAGTGTTTATTATGCATGGCAAGAAACACAACAAAGGCATCACCATTTTCAGAAGTTCTGTGGGTATATGGATAACTTGGAGTAAGAGGTATTGGACACAATTTGCAAATATTTTGCTGGGTAAATGAATGACGCTGGATCTAATATAATCAAGTCTGTGTTTGCTTGTTCACAAGTAACGTCTATGACAATCGGGAAAGACTTCCATACTGGGCCACCAACTCAGACCTCCTGCACAAAGTCTATGGGCCATGGCTTAAAAAGTTAAGTATTTAAAAGAATTTTTGCACTCCTTAAATAGTGTTTCTTCATCAGATTTACAACTTTTGGTACTTTTCAGGTCATATTAAGGAATATGAGTGGTGGCCAAGTATGGAATTCTTTCCGACAATCGTATCCATGCAAACAGAGAGATTAACCTAGCAAGAATTGTAGTCAATTCCTCTCAAGTTCTAATGCGTCTTCACAAGTCATGCTTTGTCATTGTGAATCCTCTGTTTCTTTGTGAAATTTCATGAGATCAACTTATGACAGACTTGACTCTAACACTAGGCCACATAAAAATTTTTTTTTTTTTACTGCCCACCTCATACTGCCCATTTTACTGCCCATTCATACATGTCTTTTTATTTGTTTCCAGCAAGATTGTAGCTATGTACAAAGGTGACGCCTCCTCTGGACACAATTTTGTACCAGCAAGAGTTGAGAAAATGGAAAAATCCATCCACTTCTTTGGAAAATACGCCATCTTGGAAAAAAAGGGGGGGGGGCAGGAGGAGGCGCCTCATTCATTTTTCTAAAAGCCCCAAAGAGAAACTGTTGTTTTTTTACTCGGGCTAAACCTGGCTGAAGGCAAGACCTACCTCAACGTGCTCCAGATCCTTCCCATAATCCTCAGAGGATGCCAGCGTTTCTTTGTCTTGAATCCAATCCAGTGTCTCCTCAGTCTCACTGTAGAACTCATACAGCTGCTTGTGATCTGTCAAGGCTTTCCTACGATGGCTTGATAAGTCAAGTAACTCCTTGTACGATGCTTCAACTTCGTTCTGCAGTACAGGAGAAAGTGTTCATGTTTCATTATATATTTCACAACTAGATTTGCTGTCACCCCCAACAAGATGCCTGAGTTTGATAATATAATTTCATTTGAATGTAATTATATTTATTTATTTCTGATATTTAATCAGGGTAGCCCATTCACAATAATGTGGTCTCCCACGGGGCCCTGAGAATTAACTTACAAGGAAGATAATTTTTTTTATTATTAGCAATTAGTCGATTAAAAGTATTAAAATATAGTCAAACAAACAGGAGATATAAAAAAAATATGGTTGTCAATTCTTCATTGTCCAAGATTTCATTACAGTCGACTCTCGTTAGTACAAACACTGTTAATTCAAATTCTGGTTATACCAAATATAAAGCCTTGGTCCCGAGTGTGCATTTATGCTCACAATGAATTGGAGTGATGTTCCTCTTAATACAAAATTCTGATATAACAAACGATTTGGCTAGGTCTGAACGAGTTTGTATTAGAGTCGACTGTATTTATCATAATAAAATGATAATAATGCAAATTTATAAAGCTCCGGTATCAGCCGCAACAGCGCTCATGGCGCTTCACTGCATTACAACCAATGTAACAATGAAATCATATGCAGAAAAGTATCAGAAAGTCAAATTCTGAATCAAGTTAAACTTACATATGGAGGTTCACCTGAAAACAAAAAAATCGACCACCCTTTGAAATTTTGGCTTTGCCTCACTGTACTGCAAAATGGCACTTTCCAACTTTAAGCTCATTTTGTAGTGACAGGTCACATTCGTTTACCTGTCTGCATTCAATATCTGTGCTGTCAAAGTGTCCCCTGGTGATGAGACCACTACTCAGGCTCTTCAGGTTGCTGATATTCTTCTGGAAGCTCTCCAAGTCCAGATCCAGGGCATCAAGCCTCTTGAGCAATGACGCCACCGAATCCTCGTCCCTGCCGTAGTCAGGACTGGTCAAGAGAGGGCGCTTCTCCTTCATCCAGGACTGGGCCTCCTGAACCTCTGAGTAAAACTGTTTGGCATAAAAGTTTACAAGGTTTATTGCATGTTTTGTCTTTGGCAACCTTTTCAATTCTTGTGTACATGTGTAATATTTTTGAAATTGTACAATGACTCTGTCCATGTTTAATCTATATTAATTTTTTTTTAATGAAGCTTAACTTTTTATTGTTAATTTTGTTTTACTCATTGTGAATTCAATGCAATTTTGCCTCTGGCAACCAAATTGAATTTTTAATAAACCATGAAATCAAACCAAACCAAACCAAACCAAACCAAGGTGTAGACATTAACATGAGCGACGATTTGATGCCATGTTGTTGTAAATATCACCAGCTCCATGTGTGCTGTTTATTCTTTACATTTTGTGAATCAATTAGGGCTGTGAATCAGAACCAGGTACCCGAGTTCCCTACCGCTGATGTCAGGAACCAGTTCCAGATTATGGGATCGGGTACCCGTAACCATCTTTACAAATTACTTGAAGTAACTTCTCAGACAATGATAAAGAAAGGTTTTGAATGCCATTTGTGGGGATTTTTTAAAATGAAAAACAAGCTATATGGAAACCAACACAGATTTCACGTTTACGTATATTTTAACATGCGACAGATGACACTCGCGAAAGCTGTAAAGCCCTTCAGACACCGCCAAAATTCACATTGCTAAGTTTTGTATAGGACTAGAGTTTCTCAGGAAATTTACCAGGTTGCGTTTTTTGTCGTCTGTTGATAAGACCATCTTTTACGGGTACCAGGTTTACTTCATAGGATACCCGGTTCCCAGATTACCCGTAAATGCACATTACTAGATGCCATCCCCTATAGTCTTCCTTTGTTTTTCTGCTTCCTGATTCTTTTAACCTTTAACCCTGAGCAGCTCCTAGCTAAGTGCGGGATGATTTCAGGGAAGCCTACCGTCTGGGACTCCAAGGCATCCAGTAGTTTCCTCTTCCTGTCTTCGGCTGCCTCTTGCAGGTGATACCACATGGTTTGTAACTGGCTGAGTTCAGTGTTGATGTCCTCCATGGCGTAATGGTTTCCCTGTATCAGCTGTTTGCCCGTCGAGATGACGGCACTGATGAGCGGCTCATGGGCTGATAGCTCTGCTTCCAATGCCTGAAAGGCCAGGGAAAGGATTATTACACCTCATATATTCATGAGTCAAACAGGCTTTTTTCTTTGGTTGATATTCCAATGTGTCTGGGATGTAATACAGGAGTGAGATTGAAAAATCTGTGAAGTAATTGGCAGAGGGCCCCAGAGCAATGTAGGGTCTATTGTATAAGTTTTTTTTTTGTCTAAAAGGCGCCCCTTAAAACACATATTTCTTTTTTATATATACCTTTAGAGGTAAAGAGACCTTTATGGTAAAATCTCACAAGTCCAGGTTTCAAAAGGGAGCTTTGAAATACCCTGTACTCAGGAAAAATCCTGACAAATTTCACCGAGGACACAAAATGCACCGTTCATTAATTACGCTAATTATACCAAGTGGCAAATGTGCAGCAACTCAGTTTTTTGTTTTGACAAAGTGACAGATTTTGATTCGTCACTTCATCTCAGAGATTTTACACTTGTGCTAGTGCTAGTGTTTTGACAAAAGAGACAAATCTGCACTCTACCCGATGTGTGGTTTATAATGTACAAATTTGACATACGAGTGCATGGCGAATTTGTGTACAAACACATGCTACGTATGCGTGACAAATATGCGCATGCTCTACTTTTCCATTTTGACAAAGAGGCAAATCTATTTAGTAATTAGTATCTCTTCAATCAAACATGTTTTTGATGAAATTGGCTATTTAACTACTGGGCTATTGCATCACTTATATATTTTTCAATTTTGTGGACAGATTTGTCACTTTGTCAAAACGGAGACGAAGTGACTGTCCAACTCTCCCTTTGCTACCGTACTTTTGCACAAAGTGTTTGAGGCCACCAAGGGCATATGAGCCCAATACACTGACCTGATGTTTCTTGTACAAGCTCTGTACAGCATGTAGGCTGGTGCCCAGGTCATTCGAGGCAATCCAGGGCTGCTTCTGGCCGATCCAAGAGATCTCATCTTCGACGTCGCGGTGGAACTGGTACAGGAGGAGGGCGTCTTCTAGGTTGTCACGCCGCAGGTGGAGTGGTTCTCTCAGAGCTTCATACCTAGTGATGTAACAAACCATGAATGCCATTACATTCAAGAGCCCATCAAATAATTAAACATTAAAACATATTTTAACAAATAAACTGAGGGTCGGAGGTTTCAATCCATTTCCACTTAATTTCTTAAAGGCTGTAGATTTTACGTCACCACAATTGCCACTGATTGCAGCGTTTGTCTCCCCCATCTGTGACTAACCTGTCAAAAATCTGGTCAGTTTTCTTCGACAGCTCTTCCTTTAAGAAATGGTTTGCTTCTCGGAAGGAGTCTGCCATGGTCTTGGCATCGGCAACTTTCTCCTCGTGGGCAGTCATCTGGGATTCCATGACCTGTGGGCAAAAAGGTCAAAGGTCATTCGATTTTTACAGTTTCAACATCATTACGAGATCCACTGTCGCACAAAGTCATTGATAAGATAATTTTGAAAGAAATTTAAAGTCAAAGATGGGGCAACAAAAATCAAAAGTTAGAAGTTTGGAGGGGATGTGGCAAGAAGGACAAAACAACTTGAAAGAACAGCACTGAGCATGAAAACAAGGTCAAACAAGCTGTGCAGAAAACAAAACAAGAAGAAACAATAATGGGCACATTTTGTAGTATTTGATGAGTAGGGGCTGACAACCAAATCCCTTTTAAGTGTTAGGGAAACTAAATAAAATAAAAACAGTGTTGTTACATCTTAAGAGCGAGCCATGTTAAAACTATTTAACATCAATTACAAACTGGCACTCACCGTGTGCTTCTTGAGCAGCTTGTTGACACTGCTCAGGTCTCGGCCCAGATCCTTGGAGGCCAGCTGAGATTCCATCTCAGTCAGCCATGTCAGGAGGTCATCCAAGGAACGATGGAACACCTGGGCCTGCATGAGGGTAATAACAGACAACAAAATTCTTAACCCTAACCCCATGGTAATACTGGTAAAACCTTCTTGGATCTTTCACAACCATCCACTGAGCAGGAAACCAACGGCAAATATTTTGTACTAAACTCCTCGACTAAGGAAAATGTAATATTGGGATTTTTATTTGTTTGCCCTTCACCAATATAAACACTGCATAATCAGTGTTGTCTAGGATTATGCTTGTTAGGATCTTACAAGTACCTGGTAAGCATCGTTCAGCAGATCTCTTTTCTTTGTAGATGACGCAATAAGTTGCTGCCATTTTTCTTCCATGAGAGTGAGCTTCAGTTGGACATCGTCTGCTGCAAAATGGTTGGCACTGATCATGTCTGTCCCTTCCTATAAAACACAAGGTTAATTTGCTTACCACAGGAAAACTGTTTTTAGCAACAAGAGGTTACCAGCAAAATCATACAATTATGCATTGTTTGTGATTCCTTCCTAGCTGATTTTTGACTTAGCAAGGAAATTTTCTAAACAATAGTTTTAGCAATGTAGAATTTGGGCCCAGTTAGATAGCAAATTCCATACATTAAAGTGATTGTTGAAGTCACAACATATGATACTGCTTTTTAGCTTAAATGTAAATGCAACCCTCTCTATACAGCAGAATATTAAAAAAATTACGTTTAGCTCGATGAAATGATAAAAAAAGAAATCTAAATGTTGTATGTTTTTTGGCTATTGCTTGAGATTTTCAACTGATGGACCAAGGTGAATGGCCACAGCCATAGACGTCAATACCTGTTTGAGACACACTCTTACAGCGCTTCACATACATGTAAGTTCTACTTATCTGCTACTATCAAGTCATACAAATAATTAAATGGTGTTTCTGAAAAGCAGTACTGATACTCTTACTCCACCGTGCAACCCCAAAATCTTATCCAAGTTGTGTCGGGAATTACGGATGTCCAGAGCAACGGCTATGTCGATTGTTAGCATTTACCCACGTAGTTGTAGCTTTGGCAGAGCTAGACAGTAGCTGCAGACAGGAGATTTGGACCTTGCCAAAATGTAACATTGTTTCAAAATGGTGGCCTAGCCATTGGCCATAGCCACTCACGACAGATCCAGACTAATGCTGTGCATCAGGTCGGGTTGACCTGGCCAAAGTGACCCGAAACATTATATATAAAATCTGACCCGACCTGACCCAACAAAAATTCAAGCAAAAACCAACCTGAACAGACCCGAAACTGATACGGACCGAAAAAACCCAATATCTGGCTTTGACAACTGTGTCCGCTTTTTGTGCTTGAACTTTCCCACGGCAAGTGAAAATTGTTGTCTCTCAGTAAAGAATCATATCGTACCGTATAGTGAAGTATAACTTAAACTACTGCAGTCACGTGGTGGGCCTACACGTTATAGACTGTGCGTGATAGACAGCAAACCACATGCACAATTGCGTGGTGGGTTGACGTTGGTCCAACTGGTCACAGTAACTCTGCAATAATATTGCACCGCGTGAATTTCCCAACCGTTTCATTCTTGGGGGGGGGGGGGGTGGTATTTCGGTTTCTTTCGGGTTTTTCACAAGATGGCTTAACCGCAACCGACCCGAACTGACTGAAATGATGGAAAAACTTACCTGACCTGAAGTCGGTTTCAGAACGGGTTGGTTTTGGTTTGGGGTTTGCACAACATTAATCCAGACACATCCTTATTACCTGTGTTATAGCATCAATCCTGTCCTTGTTAGCCATCAGCTCAGCCTCAAATGCCTGATGTTTCTGTATCTTCCCCTGCAGGTTGGTAGGGTCTCGGTAAGACTCGTCCTGGGCTATCTGGAGCTTCTCAGCAATCCAGGCCAACATCTCGTAGATGTCCTGCAGGAACTGATGCAACTGCTTGGACTCGGTCAGCTTGCGGTGTCGGGCGTTGGCCTGAGACCACAGACGGTCACGTCTGTGATAAAAGGTGGTCACAATTTCCAGAACATGGTGGTTAAAATAGCAAAAAGTGGCAATTCACTATCAAAGTGATTACAAAAGATCTGCCAAAACCTGTCGTTGGAACAGCAAAGGGATCACGCCGATGCAAACATGACCACCACTCACTACAGACTCATATATTTTCTGATCATTTTTTTGTGTTATTTCGTTAGGAAATTGGAAAAAACTCTACAGGACTTTTATTTGTATAATTATGGTCCGCAGCGAAACAGTTGACCATTGTGAAGTAACATTTATTGGCCAATTTTCCAAAAAGATTTTACTTGGCTTCGAATGCACATGCGGTACCAATGGCTATATCAGTTGCCATAATGTGAACGTTCGATAGTGAATACACATTTTTTTGTAGTCAAAAAGTGTTCAAATGGTAAATATTGGAGAAATGGCTACATCTGTATAGACTTTGTTATGGCATGTATGGTGAATAGTTGTCAACTGGAAAAAAGTCTCTTAAATTTGGATACCAGGGAACATTAATCTCACCACAAAAAAATTCAGGACTCAAATCCTGCTTTTTACTGAGGTATCTGTTTGCGCATGGATATTATTCACTCCCACTAGGAACCAGGAATGTCTGAAATGCTTGTTATGGACAAAATGACTGAAACATGAACAATTTGGGCACCATTTCTGATATTTCATGTAAACCTATAAAAACCACTATCAAAAAACTGGCAATGCTAAGTTCCAGACATTTCCAGACATTTCCAGGTGACTGACAGGCCAGTTTCTTGATAGGCTTATATTTCAGATATTTTGAGGCTAACAAAATGTCTGACACGTAAAGCGGTTTTAACAGGTTTGTGTTTCAGACATCTATGTCTGAACCGGTTACCAAATGTCTGAAATATAATCGTCACTGTTCAGGTTTCAGACGTTTTGTCCAGAACAAAGCGTTTCAAACATGTCTGGTTCATAGTGTTCACAGCTGTACTCCTGTCAATCACAATTCAAAACCACAAGTAAGGGGTCCAAGTAACAGAGGATGAATAAAGACAAAGGAATGCCTTTGTCACAGTTCGCTTGGATAGCTTGTTATCTGAGACTTTTGATGGACTTGTGCTCACTAGTGGGGACTTGAATACAAGGCTGATCCACTTAATGTTTTCTTACCTCTCCAAGACATTGCGGCATCTGTTGTTGATGTTGTTTATGTCATAGTGGCTACCTTGGACTAACTCAGAGGCAAAGGTCTGTAACTCTTCAATCTTCTCTGCTTGGGTCTGCAAAGTCTTCTCAAAACCCTCGTGTTTCTTTACAAGTGTATCAGCACTGGTCAGTGTATCCTAAATCACAAGATCAGAATCAAGGAGTCAAAGGTCAGATTGAAAGACGTCGGTCGTATTTTAAGATATTGTAGGTCGTATTCGACAATATCAAAGGTCATGTTCGAAAATGTCAAAGGTCAGAGTGAAAGACGTCACAAAGAAAGAGGTCATTTACATGTCGGAGGAAATAATACGGGATGTCAAAGGTCATAGTTAAAGATTTCAAAGGTCATATTAAAATATGTCAAAGGTCATTTCCATGTCAAAGGACATATTAATTGATGTCAACGGTCATACGTATTCAAATGTCATACTTAATGAAGTCAGATAATGTTTAAGGCCCATTTCAGCACGCAAAATTGGAAAGTAAAGAAGACATTTTTGGAATGGTTTGATTTTGGTTGGTTTGAACAAAGAATTATTGAAGCAAAATTTGGAATATCATGCCAGTGATATTACAAATCATCAGATAGACTACAAGGGGAAGCTATGTAGTTAGTCCACTTCCCACCATGGTTTCACCGGATGTATTCACAGATATAACAAACTCACCCCAATGTCTTCATTGTGAAGAATTGCTTCTTTTGATGCCAGCCACACCTCAGCCTGTTCAACATAGTCCTCAAACACCTGCGGAGCATGAACAAGTACAGAACGCACATGGCGCAAGAGTTGTGAGATGTAAAGTAGCAGTGTTGTAGTACTCGTATCCGAGTACATTTTTTTGGTACACGTACTTGTACTCATGAAAATGTACTCATACTCGCCAGAAAAAATGTTCCATACTCGTTTTCATATGGCTCTTGGGCCCCCCTCCCCGGAAAATTGCTGTTAATTTAATGGGTTGGGGGGGGGGGCAAATGTCCCTGCCCACCCTCGAAAAATGATAAATCGAGAATAAAAGTACAGGGATTTCGGGGGAAAAATGTGCTTGTCCCCCTCTAGAAAAAATCCTGGCGACGCCCATGACAATGTGCACACCACCCTTGATCACATCCAGGTCCATATAATCCCAGCCAACGCAAGAAAGTGCCACAATACTAACAGCACTAACTAACTGGAGGGCTTCAAGTCTAGCGGAGAGTAACCCTTTCATAACCATGGCGGTCAAAAGAGACCGGAAGAGAAATGCCCGTAGTGGTTAATGACAGGGGTGAGATCAGGAGAAAATGAAAAATACACAAAATAATTGAAAGAGGGTTTGAGAGTTGCCGAGGGCCCAGAGCATTGTAGGGTCTACGGTATATACTTGTACTTGCCTAAAGGTACCCCTCCAAACACCCATTTCTGGGGTTTTTCTGAATACACTGTTATAGGTATTGACACCTTAATGGACAAACCTATGGGAATTCCAGACTTCAAACGGGATTCTTTAAAATCCCAAAATTAAAAAAAAATCTTGATAAAAAAATCCTGAAATCAGGAAAAATCCTGATCAATTTCGCCCCTCAATAATGGCTGAAATTTTCAGACTTCTGCTTTTAAACTTTCATGAACATTACAATATCCGATCATAAAGTTGAAGATGCAATACCAAAAGTGCAGAACACCAACTGAACACCTTTCTTTTTCAAGTATTATTCACCTGCAGATCCAGGCACTGTGCCAGCAGCTCTTTGCGTTCCTTCCAGACGCTGTTGACGTGCTCCTTGGTATCCTGTAATCGCTTCAGCGATGCTCGCAGGTCTTCCTTGGCATAGTGGTCCTGCTGAATGAGCCTCTCGCCAAAGCCCCTCAGATACTGGAACATGCCATCACGGCCGTCAATCTCAACCTAAAGAACAAAGGAGGAATAACATATCAATAAAAACTTAGCTGTGTACAGGCAAAGCAGACAACATGCTTTCAACTTGGAGTGAAAACCTGTGGGATAACTTGACAGAAAAAAGTTTCCAGTGTACTACAAACATTATTGTGTTAGGGCTGGGGCATTTCACTGCTTCTACCCTTCTGGCTGGGGGTATGGAATTGAAACGTGGTAAGCATGTAAACACTGTCAAACATCTGCAAAGTATCAGGCCAAACACACAATGGGTTTTGTAATTATCACTGTATTACCTCCACACTAAAATCTATATAGACTAATTCGGTGACAGCCATTTTTTGCAGTGGCGCGCTCAGGTACAACGCATGCACTACAGGCTCCTTAGACCAATAGGGTTGCCAAAATGCACAAGCGCCTTGTCTTTAAGAACGCCTGCGGCATGCGCGCAGACGTAGTGCCACCTCAAAAATGGTTTCTAATTTTGTTCGCCGGATTAGTCTATAAAAGAACATTTTGTAAAGCACTGTCAATGAGCAACTCTAAATTTTACTCTATTCTGCATTTCAAAACTTGCAATTCTCAAGATGGTACATGCAATTTAAAAACAAAATTGTTGTCAAAATGGGCACATAAATCAATTGAAACTCATTAAAAGGGCTAGCAACACCCCCTTCCCACTGTCCTGTTTGAGTTAAACAAATTTTGCCTCTGAAGTTAATATGCTCTTTGCCTAACTTTCTGCAAAGCCTGCGGCCCATCTCAATTCATATCCGGGACGAGTTCCGGACATTAGTTGCAGACATTGTATCGGGTATAAGTTGCAGGATTCTGAACAACTTCCCAGCAATCTTCTCGTAATAAAATGATCAGTATTGTTATGCTCATGAACATTTCCTCGGAACATGCCCTGGACAAATGCAGAGCTTCAGACAAAGTGAATGATTCTACCTGCAACTTGTCCGGAACTCGTCTCGGATATGAATTGAGATGGGCCCTTATGGTCTCATCATTATGGGCATAGATTCCTTAATCTGTCTGACTGAACTGGCTATTAACTGAAAAGCTTTTCAGAGAGTTCCAGTCAAACAACCAGTTTCCCCCCATTTGAATAGGTGGTGCTATCAAAGGAACCCTGTGTATTTTCAGCTACAATACCTTTCTCTCCTTGTGAAGCTCACACATGTTCTCTGCTTCGGAGACACTCTTGGCCAACTCCCCCGACGTCATCCGAGTCACAATATCATTGGCCCAATTATCCTAATGAGAACGAAACAAAATAGGCGTGACATCCAGATTGGACATTGACAATTTTCTGACCACTCACCATAGCTATCCAAACTAAAATGGATGTGCTCAGTTCATTTTGTACACACTGAAAGTGCATATAAAGTTATTGAAGCAATGTGAAAATCATGCATGTAACAGTTCAAAACAGACTGCGTTAGTTTCATTTTGTCTAGGCAGATTTGTGTCTAACTGCACCCTCGATAAGAGCTCTTTTAATCCACATACTATTCAGTTTGTCTTAATTTCACATTTCGGGGTGAAAAAAAGAAGAATGCAGTTTACCATCTCCCTGAAGTCTTTGTTGAACTTCTGCAGGTTGTAGGCGTCGTCCAGCCGAGCTTGTCGGACTTTGGTCAGGTCCCGGAGAGCTTCCCAATTCTCAGTGGCCTCGCATTGCTTGGTTTGGATCTCCTTGATGTCGTCCGGGTGACTGGCTAACAGCTTCTGGCCTTCAGCATCAACATCCTTCACAATTTTCAAATATAAAAAAGGTATAACTATATAGGGAGTGTGGCCAAGTGGGTAGGGTCTGTGATTCATGATCAGAGGGTCAGTGATTCGAATCCAGCTGCTTGCGATATGTTGTGTCCTTGGGCAAATCACTTTACCCCAATTTGTCTCTTTAATTTTGGGAGTATAAACAGAGGACTAAGAGGTAGTAGTTAGGGTATGCAACTCAAGATAATAGGGTCAGGTTCTCCCATCCCACTGCTGGCAATACATGTTTTGTCCTTGGGCTAGCCACTTTACTGCATTAGCCCCTCTTAACCTAAGAATTTAATCCGAGGATTTAGGTTAACTACTGAAGGGCACTTGATTCCTGATCAGAGGGTCATACGCTCCAATTCTGCTTCTAGCCAAATGTAATGTCCTTAAACAAGCCACTTTACTACACAAGCTTTAGCTGGGAAGTAACCTGCGATGGACTGACATCCAATCCAGGAAGCAATAGAAATATTCTTGGTCATTTCATGCCACTGATATTAGATACCTCTTTGAGTGACAAATCTTTTTTTTTTGAAAATCTGAATGAAATACCGATGCTTGTCTAAGAAGAATCACTCAAAAATTGGACCTTAGTGTTTTGCAGCTTTGCTTGGCCATTGAGGACTTCAAAACTAACCTTGAGTTTGTTCTCGATTGCTGTCAAGTCCTGGATCATATCTTGATGTCGTCTCTGTAAGCTCTCCACACCAGGTAGATCCTTCCCTAGTTCCTCACTGCTCATGGCATTAGCCTGAAAAGAACAGATAATAGTCCAATTATTCCATTACAAGCTGTGCTAAGGGCCCATCTCAATTCATATCCAAGACGAATTCCGGACAAGTTGTGGACATTGTATCGGTATAAGTTGCAGGATTCTGAACAACTTCCCTGCAATCTTCCCGCAATGAAGTTATCAGTACTGGTGAGTCAAGCAGTTGCTGATGAAAATTTCCCCAGAACATGTCCGGGACAAATGCAGAGCTTGTTCCGGACAAAGTAAACGATTCTACCCGCAACTTGTCCGGAACTCGGCCTGGATATGAATTGAGATGTTTCATCGTATTGATTCCTTGATCAATCCATGAAACTATACAGTGTTTGGGCGGTTCGGGGCGGTGCAGGGAGTAATGGGTTAGTGGCTTGAACTGCAAGGATGTCAATGTCACACAGTGAAAAGAATGTATCTGGGACATTATTAGAATACTTTGGGAATGCTGTGCATTTTCTTTTGCACTTGCAATGTCAGCCATACAAACTTTACCATAAAACCAGTTTGGCAAAAATTATGATTCGGATGTAACAAATGAAAGGTCCATATTATGCTACAATGTACATCAACAGAGGTCCCAAACTCTGGACCCGACGGAGTGATCCACACCACAATGCGCACGGAATGCAACGCAAAATCTGGCACACCCCAAAAAAATGCTCAGGTCACAATTTGTCAGAGTTACAGTTTTGAGTTAATAGAATCAATGCATGTTGGGACACAAGATGTCAAACTGAGTGCTAAAATGAAGAGCAAATTCAGCACTTCCTACTACAATTGAAATACTAATATGTGAAAAAATTCAAATTGTTCTCACGGGATCCAGTCACAAATGATACTGCAGCCATCCCTCACCAATTGAATGCTAAAAAATTAAAGATGCGGAAATTGCTGTCTTACCTTTTCAATGATTCTCTCTTTGATCTCGTCTACATCCCTGTTGAAGGCGTGCACCTCCAAAGCCCCGGCTAGCTTGCTGCGGTAGTTAGCTAGACCATCCTGCATTTGCTGCCAACTAAATACGGGGAAAATACTTCACGTTTCATTGACTGCATTTCTGGACATTGCATGGTTTATGGACTGCGTGCCAGTGTTGTAGGACTCGAGTCGAGTTGGTAGTGAGCACTGAGCTGTTGATAATTCAATGTTTCATTTGTTTTGTAACAGCGACTGTCCATAGTTTTCATTTTGTTTTGTAACAGCGACTGTCCATAGTTTTCCCCTAACTGTAGTTGGCGAAAGCCACATCTGTGGTGTGGAAAAAAGAATTATACACAAGCGGCCAAGTGAAGATTTTCTTTGAGAGAAGACTTACGTCAAGGTGATGCTATCCCGTCTCTCCTTGATGATGTTGCTGTCCCCTGCAGCCTGGGACTGTTTAATTAATTTCTCTCCGACCACGTTGATCTGCCTGACAACTGACTCGTCCACTGACATATCCTGCAAACAATAATCCAATGTGGACAGTCATTTGTAGGCAGGGTTCCACCTTCACTTTTTTTTTCACTAGCCAGCCGGGCTACTGAAACAGACTCTTAACTAGCCCACTAGCATTTTCACTAGCCTGCACGTTTCAGAAACAATGTGCATACATGTAAAACGTGTATCCTGAGGCAATCTTGTCAGTGTTTTTAATAAACAGATCTAATAATTTGACCCTAAACAGTTAATAAAATTAGACACAAATTGATACAGGTTTGCTTTCTGAATGTAGTGATTTATTTTTTCCTGTCCTTTCATCTTTGCTGTAGCCCAATAATTTTTTGACTCGCCAGCCGGGCTACTTAAGGAATAGTTTGACTAGCCCGCTGCTGTTTTGACTAGCATTTGGCTAGCGGGCTACCGCTAGTTTCGAACCCTGGTAGGTAGAATGACCAGCATGCAATTTCTAAACCAAAACTATACAGCAAGCGCAATGCAAGTAAAAGATCAGGTTGAAAACTTACAGCTCCCAGATCGTCCAGTTTCTTCTGCAGCTCAAAGCAATGCTCATAGTCTCTCCCACAGTCACTGGCAAGGACCATCAACTCCTGTCGAGGTATATGCAATAATTGAATTATTAGCAGACTTACGGGCTATTAAACTTGGCATGCAATAAAATGTCATGATGTTTCATCTGATAAAATGTTCAGAAGTTGCTTTTCCTTAGAGTTGAGGTTTCCGAAGCTAAAAGTATTGTCTGATGGCATCTACCACCATCTAAAGTTCATATCAGAATATCTTCTTTTTTAAAACATTTTCATCATTTTTCCAACTAAATTTTAAAAGTTGAACTGGAGAAGAAATTGACTGGAGCGGGATTTGAACCTGCGACCTCCAGGTTGCTGTTCCGGTGCTCTACCAACTGAGCTATCCAGCGCTGTGTTGGTGTTTCCCCATTTTGTCAATGTCTTTGTTCAAAGGGCGCTAGTCATCCTGTAAATGCCATGTAGTCAGTGATCACGCCCAAAGTCACAATGCTAGCAACATTAACAATGTTGCAAACCTTGGAAATAGTCACACTTAGTTTGACATTAAAAATGACTTTAACCTTATCATGTTAGAGGAAGATGTGAACTTGAACATGGTTGCAAAATCTTTCACTCATATATGGAGTCTGAAAACGGCCAGTGTGTTTATCCTTATGACCAGACAAGGTGCACATCAGCCAAAACAATTTCAAAAACTTTAATGGTGCCTGCCTGTCCTCATTTCCAGTCTATGAGTAAGAATGCTAAAGACCCTCATCTCTGATTCCCACCTTTTCCTTAATCCAGGTCTCCACCTTCTCAGCCTGACGATTGAACTCCAACAGATCCTTGACCTCGTCCAGCTGTTGGCTACGTCTCGCCGACGCCTTGCGTAATGCCTCCCAGTGCTCCAGCAACTCCTCCACGTCATGCTGGATGTTGCTGGAGTCTGGGTGCCGCTCTGAGATGAGGGAGTCACCAGCCTAATCAAGAAACGGCAATAGATAGTTTGTACATAGTAAACAATTCAGGGGCTGTAAGGTTGGAACAGTCATCTTTTCCTTGTCTTCCACTCCTGTGACTTCGGTTTGACATCCACCCAAGCCAACATGTGGATGTTCAATTTAGTTTTGAATATCTGATTTAGTTTTGAATTTCAAAAAAACTCCTGACTTGGAGATACAAGCACTCTGTTTCAACGATACCTACTGAATAGGGCTGTGAAGAGGACCGATTTCCTTTACAATGTGTGACCGTTGTCTGCGTGATTTCTCATTACTTGCAATTTTATTTTTTTTCATTTGATTACTCCTTAAAGTAGGTCTAAGTACTCATCACCTTTAACAAGGTTCCTGGGAAGTCAAGAGGCAGTTGCAGAAGAGCAACTATTAAAGACACTGATAATTTTCAGAGTGGCGGGAAACCCTGATAAGTTGGACTTAGAGTCCGTCCTTCTTACCTTTTTGACTTCAGCGATGAGGTTCTCGTTGGCGACAATCTCAGCCTCAAACGCCTGATGTTTCTGCAGTTTCTTCATCTTGTCCTGCAGGTTGCTCATATCCTGCAGGGATTTACAGTCCTCTGTAAGAAGCTTGTGCTTCTCATCAATCCAAGAGTCAGCCTATGGAAGGCAAATGGTACAAAATAAACAGGTTTACTGATTGAAACTTCAGGGTCAACAATAATGCGCAAGCCAACCTATGGAAGGTAAATGGTACAAAATAATATCAGCCAAAATATAAATATATTGAAAGAATACTTGCTTTAAAGTTACGTTCACTGTGCTTTTCAACAAATTCAATTTTTGTTTCTATAGATAAATTTTCTATTTTTATTCCAAACAAAAACCCTCCCTTTTTCCTTTTTTTTTGGACGTCTGAAAGTGAAACCCTCTGATAAAATTGTTTTTGTTTTGGCTGGAAACTGATCTGCTTTGCGAGCAGACTGGTTCCTAGTCTGCAAATTATCGATACTGACTGTGGGGTGGGAACTGGCCCAACCCGCGAGAACCAAATTATTGTCTGGCAGAAATCAAATTTTGTGAAGAAATAATTCAATTACTTAAGTTTGGTGGGTTTTTTGTTTCAACATCTCATTCAAAAATTCAAAAATGAATATATTTTATATTGCTAGGAAAATAGCAAATGAAATAACAAATCTACTTTTCGAGGTGAAACTCGAAAACGGCACGGGGAATGCATCTTTAAGGTTAATGAGGAATTTTATGTCTGACTCACCTCTGCTAAGTCTCGTTTGAACTGTGCGTACATCTTAGCAGTAGTTAGGGCCTGCTTCTTCTGATCACTGACTTCTTTCACCTTGGCACGTCTACTCACAGAAAATAAAACAATTTGTAAATTTCAAAGTAATACTCAGAGAAAAATAAAAACTTTGTTAATTTACAAATACACATCTCCTCAAATGCAAAACTGATCTCATCTACTCCATAACTTTTACACTTCACAGTCTTTAATCAATGCGTACTAAGGGAATAAATGTGTGCTTGGGAAGTTTTAATCACTCTGTTTAAGACCGCTTGGAGTCTGGGAGCTGATAATTATCAGCACCCAGACTCCAACCAATCTTAAACAGAGTGATTTATACCGACCAAGCACATATTTATTCCCATTCATAAATACCTTTTCGATCAAAAAAATCAAAGCTTTTTGGACAAAAAAAACCTGATTTTGGTCAACAAGTTCACTAATGTTTTTGAAACACCCATTTAGCTAAATAATGGAGTGTCTAGCTCGCGAGTAAGATGTAAACAACTCCTTTTACGGAGATTGGAGCGCGCGTACTGCGCGATGTCGCGCAGAATGCACCTGGGGCGTTGCACTTTCGATAAAATTCTGACTCACCGCGCGCCTACGTGAGGATTGTGAACGTTCAACCTATAAAACGGTACGAGGCACTGGATTTTTAAGAGTCCAAATTGCATGTGACACTGGAAAAGTTTCTGAATGTAATGTCCGTAACGATGGAATTTCCCATATATGCAACCTAAATATAGGTTGTTAAAAAATTCAATACAGATTATTACATACCTCTGCAGCACTTCATTGAATTTGTTCCTGATAGCTGGTGCATCAAAGTGTTCTTGGGCAATCAACTTGTGTGCAAACTCCTCTAAAGCTGTGCCCTGTTTACGAAATAAACAATGCATGAATACATAAAACATATCAAACTGTTGAGTATTTAAGTACGAATTAACTTGATTTTCCCATTAAGCAATTTTATGTAAATTGTGATTTTGTTTTAAATTTGTATTGCTCTTACTATTTTGTAAACTAAATACTTGATTACATTATTATTTTACAATTCATAAAAAGTGAAAACTGTATTTGATTGCAATTCTAACATGACATGAAATACTGTCAACTTCAGTCACATTTGTGTAAGGTTAGAAAAAATCATTTCAAAATTGTTTAAATAGTTTACACTACTTATAAACAAAACAAAAACAAAAACTCAAATTGCACGCTTGACTTTGGCAAAGGGTAAAACTACAAATTGTCTTTTTATAATTAGGTTCCTACATCATAGCTACCTTTTCTTCCTGCGTGGCTATCAATTTATCCAAGTCGTCGTGTTTCTTAATGAGTCCATCAACTTCCTCTACCGTTGTGGCAAGTCCTGGGCCAGCCAGATATGTCTATCAAGAATCAGATTGTTAGAGTAAGCGTCTTACAATGAATTACAAACCTTACATCAATCTGCCTTGATATGAAAATGGTAAGGTGGTTAACACCTAAATGCTGCTTCAAATACTCAGGATGAAACCGAACTTGTGATGTCATGTTGTTGGAACAAATATTGACTCAGCACAGATTTACAACATTACAACTCCAGCAAATTTATGGACAAATGTTTTATGGTGTCAAATATGTTTCTGTTTCACATGACATATTAACGAGCCCTAAAAAAAAAGAGAGCCATTGCAAAGTACATACACGTACATCCATGACTGTAACATTTCAAGGAGTACCACAGTCAAGCATTCTGGAGGTCTGTTGGTCCATGATGTTTTGTATACACAAGAGGAACTCATAGTTACAGAGAAAAACTAAACAATGGGTGCCATTCACCTCCAAGGCAAATGTGTCGAGAGTTGAAACAAGTGGTCCAAATTGACACAAGTGTGAGTCCACACTAACACATGCAAGCCCCAGGTAAGTAATAATAATGATGGATACTTATATATACTGCACTTTAAACTAAGATCAAAGCACTTTACATTACGATTACCCCTGATAATTGGGCCAATGAAACATTCCAAATACAATCTCAGCTTCCTGGGGAGTATACAGCTCGATGCTGCCACTTCAGCACAAAGCAGCTAAAACCCATTACTCCTGGGTTGGGAGAAGCAATGAGTGACAAAGTGCCTTGCCCAAGGGCACACGCACCATAACCCCAGGCTGGACTCGAACCCACAACCTGCAGAATTACCTGCAGACCATGAGTTCAATGCTCCAGCGGGGCTAACAATACACGAAGTCAAGAGGATGAACAAAGCAATACATCCAGAATATACAAGAGATGTATTCTGTGCTAGGGGACCCATGCTCAAACGGTTTGGAAAATGAGGCACATCCAAAGGAACTTTAGGTTTGAATTTTCACCTCTTGCTGGCTGCTGAGTGTTTCCAATTGTTTGGCATCTCTCAGGAACACCTGTTGCTCAGCGATCTGTTCCAGACGTTCCTTCTTGGCTTGCCAGCTGGTGTGCAACTGCTCTCTCGCCTGCATGGCTGAATCAAGCTTCTCTTGAATCTAACAAACAAATGACACAGATGGGTAATTATTATCTTGAATGACTTTAAGACACTTCTTACCACATTACTGTTCACATTTACTAGTTGAAAACACAACTGATGTGTGAAAGTAAGTCGGATGTCATGACACTTACTTTGGGGTTGATTTCTTCATTTTGAAGTATGTGAAAAAGAGCGTTTAAGTCAAGTAATCTGATTTTCACTTTTTTGTAACCATCAGACGGTATTCTTTGACGTTTTAAGACCTTAAGATACAGGGATTCATCAGTTTTGACAATTTCTGTCGTTTCTGTAGGCAGAAAGGGACCATCTCGCAGCCGTCAAACCTGGAAGCTTGAGCTCAAAAGACAAATCCATGAACGAAGCCAATATATGAAAAGATGGCTTTTGTTATCACCCAATTTCAATGTGCATTGCTGACTGACATGAAGTTAAAGTCCAAATTTCACAAATCTAACTGATACAGTTTCAAAAATATATACTTTTCTCCTAATGAATTTGAATGTTTTGTTTTTACGATAAAAAACCTTTATTCCGGCTTTTGGACGTCTACAACCCTCTGAAAACGGCTTTGATTTTGCACACAAATGAACCTGCCCTGTGAGAGCCAAATTATTGCCTGGAAGCCAATAATTCAATCTATTGTGAAGAAATAATTCAATAACTAAATGTAGTTGTATTTTTCATTCAATGTCTCATTCCAAAGTGAACTGTTATATTGCTAGGAAAATAGCAATTGAAAAAATAATCTTTTTTTTCCAGGTGAAACTTGGAAATAGCACGGGGAACACATCTTTAAAAAGATGAATTAAATCAAAAGGCAATTTACTAAATGAACTTAATGCATTGTATATTGACAGGACCCACCTCCTCACTAGCGTAGTGCTGCTGCTTGATCAGCATCTGTCCTGCCTCCACTAACGAGGAGAAGTTCTCCTCCCTAGCGTCTATCTCAGCATGGCACTGCGTGTGTTGGCTGAGAGCTGCCGACGCCCCAGCCACGTCACGGATCGGTTCCTCTGTCTGGATCTCGGTCATCATCTCGTTGGTCCAGTTGATCAAGTCCCGACACTAGTCGACAGGGATTCACAACACACAAAGTCAGGTTGGCGCAGCGGTTCTTTTCTTGCCTTCCACCGCTGTGACCCAGGTTCGAATCCTGACTGGGCCAATATGTGGATTGGGTTTTCAGTCCCTACCTGATTCCATGGGTTTTCACCAGAATACTTTTCTGGAGTTTTTCTCCCACCTCTAAAACAGTATTTCTTCTCACTGTTTTCCCTCTACAGGTTTCTTCAGGCTTGTGAGCTACAGTGCCTGGGGCACTTTTGAGGAATCCTTGGTTTCATTACCAGAAATAATTAATAATAAAAATAATAATAGCTTTTTTTTGAGTGGCCTCCATCAAAGACCATTGATTTTTCCCTTCCTTAACACATTTCAGATATGTTTCGAAAAATGATTTTAGATAATGATAATTGATGGACAATAATACATGATAAACTTGCACATGTAAGGCCTGCAATGCTGACTGTGCAACAATGGGAACAATAAGTAGCAATGCTATTTTCTTAAGGACACAGTTTCAGGTTCCACACAAGCGCAGAAGCAAACAAATACCAAACAGGATCTAGATTAATTGGATGTTAGGATGTTGAGGATGTTGAGGATGTCTGTTTCAAACTGGTGCGGAACTCTACATTATGTGCAATCTGCATGTACATATACAGTAATCCAAGTTAACACGGTTAACATTGAAATAAGTTTGGGGGTTTTTTTGTTGAGAAGTAGTTTGCTTGAACAATTGGACATCAGGCATAAAAGAAAAATTGATTTTTTTTTTTCTGCATATAAGTCCTGAGTCTTACAGTTGCCAGTAGACGTTGCCAGTCGTTAGCTGCCTGGAGTAACTCCCGCCGCTGTGTGGCATGCTCCTGCAGTGTGTTCCAATTAGCTACAATGACTTGCTGCTGTTCAACAATCTGTTCTGCATTTCCTGTAAAGATGAATATAAAAGTTCATATTTGGGTTCAGGAATTAATTAATAATTATAATATTATCCCTCTCTGCAGTGTCAGTACCATTTGCCGCAGTATGTATTAGTAATTTAATTTATTTCTCTGAAATTCGTGGGTTAATTTTTTCATTTTCAACTCTTCCTTCACTCGGAACCATGTATTCATCGGTTTTCAAGAATTCTCAACTTGGTTGTTGACTCAAAGAGTTACAATCTTTCTCCCTGTATCCCAATCAAGTCATTCTATCAATGTAGGGTCCAAAGTGTGACATTTTCCTGTCCCCATTACCTGTGAACTTTGTAATTTGCCATTCAAGTATCAGTAATAATGACTTTTTTATTAGTTGGGTAGGAAGTTTGCCATCAATTATCACTCTTGGAGGAAGATATCATTAAGGAGTGTATCCAGAATTATAAAATCATATATGTCAGATGTAACAGGAAAAGGAAAAAAGTGGACCCCAAATTTTTCGAATGACCCATTTGGATAACGCCCGCACTGTGTTACCAATGGACACAGTTCTTTATTCAAGGCTGAAAAGGAAATTTAAAGTGTTTGATGTATCAACGGAGTTTCCAGACACAAACCCATAATCTACCACAGCCATTCACACTTGACACACTTAAACAACGGCCAATTTTCCTCCTCAATCCTCATTTGGGATGAACTCCGTAATTGGGTCATTACCTCCAGGGTATTCCTCCTGCAGTTTTGCGGCGTCATTGACCAGGCTTTGCAGGTGACCCTCCATGGCCAGCAGGTCGTTCTCAAACGTCTCGTGCTTGCGGATCAGGGACTGGACTGAGTTGATGTCCTTGCCAAGATCCTCAGGCATGGAATGGTATTTCTCCTGTGGATGGAGCCAGAAGCATTAAAACCTTGTAAAGTGCCAAAACCTTGCTACAGACCCTAATAGGTACTAAGAGTATATAAAGCACTTTTAACACAGATCAATGAGTTTTACAAAAAAACACCCCACTCATCTGGCCCATAAATTTAACATTGCTTAAATTATTCCTTAAATTTCTTACATAATCTCAGCTCCACGAGGAGTATACATCTTGATGCGGCCATTTCTGCAAATCGGTTATTGACTTTTTTTCTTTTAAATGACCATCTCCACCCTCACATGCAACCACAATAACTAATCATGGAGAGGAACTCGTAAAGCAATGCAAGCTCTCATTTAAGAAGCACCAAGAACAGGAAAATTGATGGCTCTTTACAAATTCAGGACTTAATTGGGCTATTAAAGAAAACGTGAATATTCAAGGCATATAGGATAATTTTCATGCATTTTATTCGTTTCTAGTAATAACACCACTCAAAATCAAAAGCAGAGTGTTCAAACCTAGCCTGTTGAAGTCTCATCTCAGTGGATATTACACTTTTCGAGAAAACAGGGGAAAAAGCATATACAGTCTCTTGATCATGAAACACCACTTCGTCCACAGCACTCTTCATTTCCAAAAATCAGTCGTTGTAAAAGACCTACATTTCCTGATTTCTTCTAACAATTTCACGGGGTGTTTAGTAACAGTACGATCTTTAATCTAAGTAAGCTTTTTGATAATAATCTGGCAGGTTATTGTTGAGATAAACACTAACGATCCTACACGCCTTTAAGTCAATGCTAGATTACACAACGCTCTCATCAGTTGGCGCACACAGACTGTATCCTATAAGTTGCATATCGGTAATACTAACCTGAATCCTGGACATGGAATCCTCAAAGTCTCGGTTGAACTTGTGGATCTGTCCCGCTGCCTCTAGCTTCTGATTCCTCTCCTGGATCTGACCATGAAGCATCTCCAAAGCTTGCCTGAACACAAAACAAGGAATCAGCAGCTTGATTCAAAGTAACGTACCTCAGAAGTTCTTATTCAAATTCAAGTGGAACAGTTCAAGCAAATCTTCTATGGACTCCATGTACAAGTACCCCCTCAATGGTTACAAAGAGAGAGTTGGGACACGTGGATGCATTGCTAATGGTGCCTGACATTCATGCGAAGAGGCTACAGGTTTGTGCATATTTAAGATAAAATGTGATCATCCCTGCCATCTCCTGTGGAGCAGAAACCTGGACACTCGCATCAAAAAAATGGAAAGAAAAACTTGCAGCAGCCGAGCACAATATACAAGACAGGAGTAGATAAGAGAGCAGACAAGAGTAGAAGACATCTTAGCAGCAGTTAAATGTGGAAAAATTGAACTGGACTGGATACATTTGCCGTAGAACATCTGCTGTATAAAATTAACATACCAGCAACCACATAAGGGAAAAAGGAACTAGGGGACACCAGGGAAAGAGATGGAGAGATGAGCTGCAACAGTACTGGGGCAATGGTACATTGGTTCCATCTAGCAAGAAATAGAGACATTTGGCAACATCATGCTGCGGCCTTCATCCTGCAGTGGATTGACAACAGCTGAAATACACACACACAAAGTTGACTTGAGATTGGACTCGTATTTTTGTGATGTGACATGTGATTGACCGGCTAGCTAGAATACAATTTTGGTATGGTGAGATTTATGTACATGTACGTGTACTCATTTATACTCTTTGGTGGAGAGAGGTAAGTGGGGGTAAAGTGGCTTGCCCAAGGACCCAACCAATGGCTAGCGGCAGGAGACGAACCCCTGACCCTCTGATCATGAGTCACACTCCCCCGTCAAACTAACAGATAGACAGGTGCATAAATCATAACACTTGGCAGTCGCGTGGGTGTTTGAAGCCCTGAAAGTACTACAATTCTTACTTGAGACTGTCTTGTTTCTCTTGTATAGTGTCAGCCAGTGGATGCTTCTCGCTGATCAGTCTCTGGGCCTGTGCCTCGCATGCCTTAAATTTGTCGTTCCCAGTATCAACTCTGCGTTGAAATTCCTCATGTTTATTTTTCAACCGCTGGGGGAAAAATATTTAAAAGGTTATTAAAACTTACTCAAATTTACTACTCTCAGATTTACGAAAAACATGTCAGCCCTTTTCATGTTCTGCCTGCAAATATGATGTGTCAAGTTTGATGGAACAACTCATGCATAGGCCTAACAAATGTGAAATTCAAAATAGTTCAAACTTTTGAACTCTGTCAAAAAAATGTGAAACTGAAATGTTTTTTCACGTAACTTTTGTAATAATTATAAGACCTCAGGCTGTACTTTTAACAGTGGCTTGTGCAAAGTCAGAATTCAAAGAGGTCGTAATGTGTTTTAATTTGTAACACACATGTGACATGTAACACATTTTATTTAACAGAGAGTTACTTTTAACATTTAATCAGTACAACATGCAAACAATTCTGCTATATCATTCACTGTAATGTTTAAACAATAGGGGCTATTCTTAAATTTAAAAATCTTACGAAATTACAAGTTTGGAGATTAATTTTCTTATATGGAAACAAAACTCATTTGTCTTCAACAATGGTGTTTTTCAAAAATATATGAATTTTTTCAGCATTGTGACATTAACTTGTTCACTCAAAATCCAAAGAAGAATGTTCAAAACCTAAGCTGTTGAAGTTTCAGCTCAGAGGATATTACACTTTTTGAGAAAACAGTGAAAAACCAATGCACAACTATTCGATCACGAAACATGATTTCGTTAATATTACTCTTTATCTCTAATGATCAGTCAATTGACTGATTGTTGGAAATCACCTACATTTCTTGATTTCTTCTGAAAGAAAGCAAGCCAGATGGAATAATTTCACGGGGTGTTTAGCACCAGTATGATCTTTAATCCAAATGAGCTTTTTGATAATAATTCGCAAGGCTAACTTTGGGATAAATGCAAATAATGTTATATTTCTCAATGATCCCATATTTCTAAAAAAAGCTTGACTATTGTTCTTACTTCCAGATGCTCAAAATCTTCTCCAAATTCTTGAGAGCTTGCTGCCTGGTACTGCACCTCAATCCATTCCCCTAACTCGTCACTCTCATGGACATACTCATGCAGGCGCTTGGCTCGCTCTAGCTCTGTGGTTCTCTCTGACACTGCATTCTGGAGGCTCGTCAACCTTTTCTTGAGTTTATCCTGAAAGCAAATTGTTTAAAAAGACAGCAACTTGCCAGTATGAGACTGAGCGGTTGCAATTCTCAGTCACAAGCATGTGGGCAGGCCCTACATGCGTGCTCAACGTGTGCAATTTATACACAGTGCAGTGTATCTGAGGTTCATTTCTATGGAACGCAGTTTGAGATAGCTTATTTGAAACGCAGCGTATAGCAAATGCTTACTTTTACAGAATGGGCACTTGGCGTTCTACAGTTATGTCCCAAAATAGTGTCCGTCTGACTATTTTTAAAATAACTACAAAACCATGAGGTAAATTTTGAAATTTGTTTGATTGTTCAGATACTCCTAAGCCTTGGCCTTGACCCCTATGAGTTTCATTTAATTTCAGTCACGCATCACTACGCATTGTCGATTGAGCACAACAACATTTTTGGACACTGTGACCAAGTTCCTTGCCTTATTCAATTTCAATAGTGTGTTAAGTAAGGCGGACAGGCTAAATACCCCCTGTTCACTTACCGGGAGCCGCTTTCAATTGAGCCCCTCTTTTATCGGCTCCCGCTTGAAAAGAAAGCGGGTGACCTGTTTCTACAAACCGTCCCACGGTTGGCACTCCCGGCTCCCGCTACAAATAACCATTTTTATAACAATGAATCCTGCGGTTTCATACGCATCATTGGCGGCTTCTACTCACCGACCGCAAAGACCTGGTACATTGCTAATCCTCTGATCTTTTGTCTGCCCTAAACATACAAGCCCCACTGCAAACCGTCACCATGCACGGCTGTAACGTGTGCGTTCATGCGTGGACCGTCTCCCGCTTTGGCTTGAAGGGTCCCACACTTCCTCAATAACAATACCGTCCCACGGTAAATGAACAGGGGGTATTTAGCACGCCCGCCTAAGCTGTGTAAAATCCTGCATGTTGTGAAATGGGCTGCAGTTGGGATTGGAATTATTTGCCTGGCTATCAGTCATCATGACAAGACCTCAGTTCAATGCTTGAGGGCAAATGATTCCAATCCCAAACCACATCAGCATTTTTTTCACAACATGCAGAATTTTACACAGCTTACATAACACAGCACTGAAATTGATTAAGGCATGAAACTTGGTCAAATTGTCCAAAAATGTTGTTGTGATCAAATGACAATTGTGTAGCGATACGTGACTGAAATTACATGAAACTCATAGGGGTTGAGGCCAAGGCTTAGGTGTAGCTGCACAACCAAAACATTTGGAAATTGACCTAATGCTTTTGTAGTTATTTCAAAAACAGTCAAACGGACTCTTTTTTGTGACATACTGTAGACCAATGAAATAACAGTATCCAAGCACACGATATAACAATAATATTTGGAGCATTGAGGCTGACCTGTCTTGCCGTTAGCTCCTCAGCCTGTGGGTTGCTGCTTGCAATCATTGCCTCAGCTTTATCCATTAGCTCTTTTAGGACACTGTTGTAGTTATCTACATCTAATTTCAGGGCCTGGAAAAAGACAAAGAAAATATTACTTTTATTGCCAAATTACATCGCGACTAGAGCGATAAATGTCCATTAAAAGATCTTTCTGCACAATGAGGTTGACGTTGCATACTTAGTGGGGTAATAAAAGAGTAAGGTTTGTTGTTTGTTGTTACAAAAAAAAAACCCATCATTTCAGAGTGGACAGTACATATTAGCTCCCCTCGGTATTTGAAGTTGACAAAAGTGTTGAGGTTACTCGGAGAAGAACTAGTTTGTTATAACTTCCAATAAGGAGGGGCGCTTATATTGACTGGCCACCCGAAATAAACCATGTTATATTTGATTTGAGGAGTGCCATGGCCTCGTGGTCTGGGGCATTGAATTTGTGGTCTGCTGGTAATTCTGCAGCTTGTGGGTTCCAGTCCAGCCTGGGGTAATGGTGCATGTGCCCTTGGGCAAGGCACTTTGTCACTCATTGCATCTCTCCACCAAGGAGTAAATGGGTATCTGTCTGCCCAGACATGGTTATTGAAATTGACTGTAGCTGCCTTGCGCCGAAATGGCAGCATCGATCTTTATACTCCTCAGGGAGCTAAAATTGTATTTGGAATGTTTCATTGGCTCAATGATCAGTGGTAATAATAATCTTGATCTTAGTTAAATGTAAGAACCTGTTATTATTGTTATTATTTATCATTTCATCATACGTATTCAGTTACCCTTAACCTAGTCAAGGAAATGTCATGTCCGTGCATCAATGAGTCCAATCTGCTTCTATGCATTCCGTATGTAAGCGCACTACTCCACACCCTGTGGAATAATTCCAAGATTGCTCTGTAACGTGAATACGCAGAAAAGTATCGCAAGGTAACCCATGGAACAGTCAATTGGGCATGCGTATTTGACCGTCGTTGAATGACTGTGTATATGCCCGGTGCATAGCAAAACTAGCAACTGAACATGTGATGTATAATCGCCAGGTAGTTTGGCTCTGGCTCTGAATAAACTTGAGAGATATACATATTTATGAGCAACTGTACCTCCTCCTTTGGTCAACATATCAGGAAAGTAAGAATAGCTGACTCCTTGACACTCACTCTACTTGTTGTTTGGAGGTATTTGAATCAGCCATCCCATCCCGACTGGCAATATTACAAGACTTCCCCTTTAACCAAGTTGTACTGATAGAATCTTAAAGGCATAATGTTGACAGCTGACACAGCAGAGAGTGATAAAGGGACATACCTTATTCCTTGCAAGCAGCTTCTGAGTTGCATCTTCACTGTTGCCATAGTCCACGCTCGTTACTAAGCTCATCTTCTCACTAATCCAACTCTCTACTTCATTGGCTTCGGCAAAATACTGCAAAGGAATAATGACATACCATAAAACACTGGTAAACTAATCTCAAATCCTCACGTCAACAGAGGCAATGCTGGGTACCCAATTAAATCTACAAATGGTCAAGTAAGTGGCCAATCCAATAATGCTTCAATGTTGATCAGAAAGGCTCTTCAACTGACAATCCATGAACAACAGAGGGATCTCTTACCAGCCAACAATGACTTTTCTGAAGTACGGTCGTGTATATAAACCTACTTTTGCTACTTAATCCTTCTGGCATGTGATTATAATGAAATGAAATAATGAACAGAGCCGAATTATTGTCTGACAAATAATAATTTGAATGTTGTGAAGAAATAATTCAATAACTAAATGTTGGTGGATTTCTTCGTTTGATGTCTGATTCAAAAGTGAATAACTTTTATATTGCTAGGAAAAGAGCAACTGAAAAAAAAGAATCTATTTTTCAAGGGAAACGCATCTTTCAGTAGCAGAAATGGACCTGATACTCAGCCTCCGGATCTAAATCATCAAACTGGAGACTGAAGCCCAACTTGGCGACAAAGACGAGGTTCCCCCCCCCCTCCACTCTCTAAAGGGTTATGATAATCACCTGTTGAGCCTCAAATGCCATGTGCAGTCTCTTCTCCCTCTCATCAGCTGCATCAAACAGCTGTCCCCAGGCAAGTGACAACTCCTGACAATTCTCCTGGACGGTAGACGCTGCAAAGTGGCTGCCGTCAATCAGGGATTGACCTGCTTGGATGACCTTGTCAATGACAGGCTGATGGCCGGTCAGCTCCGCCCTCAGTTTCTAGAGCAGATTAAAGGCATAGGATCATTTGCTTTTTATGCATTTTGTGCATTACCAATAATAAAACCATTAAAAATCCAAAGAAAAATGTTCAAAACCTAGCCCGTTAAAATTTCAGCTCAGTGGATATAACATTTTTCAAGAAAACAGTTAAAATCAATGTACAACCTTTTGATCACAAAACATAATTTTGTCACTAGCACTCATTTTTCCAAAAATCAGTCAATTGACTGATTGTTGGAAATCACCTACATTTATTGATTTCTTCTAAATGACAGCAAGCTGTATTTCCATGCAAGGTTAAAGGTCACATGGACAACACTAATTCACTTTGTATAGACAGTTGTCCCCTGTGATGCCATGCCGACAGGCAACCGTACAGGCAACCCAAACATTTCAGCATCTTTTGCATGTTATTTTGCCCACATTAAACAGTTTATGGCGCCACTTTTACACCAATCATATTTCAAGAGATATACTTGCAGTGTGGAAGAGAAAAATTTGCTGAAAGTGGGCATCATGTGATCACAACATCCAATTTGTAAACAAATGTCACATGGTCCATCTGCTCCGTTCACAAGTACCCACTCAGCGGCAAAGAAAGTACAGTTGGGAGTGACCTTACGACGCCATCTTGCCTGACTGCAATATTTTGCCGCGAAGCGCGGCCACTGTGTGTACTTAGTACAAATCCCCTGGTGTACGTGCGTCACACACAAGGAAAGGTGCGCACGCGTCAACCAGCGAAATGTATGTGTCCCGCCCACGGGACGTCGCTGCTAGGTAAAAGGGCGCCCTCTTTTGTTGGCGCACGGAGCCCATAGGGTAACATACAGACTTTGTCAGAAATCAAGTCAAGGGACAGGCTATTTTGTCAACCCACCTTGTGTTTCTGTAGGTGGCTCTGGCAGGCGGTGAACGTCTTGCCGTAGTCAGTAGAGCTAGCTGTAGGGAGATGCTCCTTGATCCACTGCATCTCATTGTTGATATCGTGGAGGAAGACCTGCAGCTTGTGGGAATCAGCCAGGATGGACCGACGGCACTCGGACGGTGCTCCAAGCTTAGCAAACCTGTCCAGATAAAACGAGAGAAAACCCAGTAAATGGTGAAACAAAACTGATAGTTGTGAGACAATTGAAGCAAAGACGCCAGAGATTTTACACACACTTTGAAGGATTTTTACCTAAATTTTTTACCAAGTTTCTTGTGTTGAATTGGTACTTTAGTTTGTGACAATGACTGCCACTACAGAGACCAGTGTGGAGTGAAATTTGGACTCCATGAAATACAGACTCATCGGTTGTATTGCCCATGCCTTAGTTTAGATAATTAGGACAGTGACATGTCACGTGTGAGGGTTAGAGTCCATGTAAGGTGAAAGAGACCAGATCTCATGGGAGTCCAAATTTTACATGACACCGGCACAGCATTTCCTCTGCATGCCCAGTTAGGACCTTACCTGTCCGTCACTGTTGCTGTTTCTATGGCGATTCTCTCCGCATCAAAGTGGTCCTCCTCTGTCAGCATGTGAGCTTGTTCTACAATGTGTGTTATCTTGTCAGCTTGCACTGCCATGTCACTCTCAAGTAACTGAGTGACAAAAATAAGAAAATAGGAATTTATCCTTAACATAACGAACCCTGAGGGAAATTGGGGGTGGGGATGATTCCAAATTTTCTGTTGACATTTAAAATAAAGTGATAACACAGCATTTTGTTTTGAAATTTGCCACTTACCTTATCACAGTTTTTATCAAGTCAATCACAAAAGTATCACAAGTCCATCACAAGTCAGTTCACAAGTCATCCGTACATAATGATAATAGTCAAGAACAGGGCGTAAAAAAAATGTAGCTTTCAAACTACATTTTTTTCTGAGGAAACTAAATCTTTTGTTTTGTAAAAAAAAATACCATGAGATGTTTCAGTGTTTCGTTACCCTGGACAGGATTTTTGTTCTGTGTGATTTGGACCTTTTGTGTAAACATTACGGCAATGCTTGTAAAGACTGTCAAAATATGTTTGGGCCACTTTCTTCACTTTCTTGGTATGTGAATGCCTTTCATTAGATACCAAGTGGCCCAACTTGGAATTCAAGTCCTTTCATTTGATTAGCTGTATCTCTGGACTAGGGTGTCCAAATGAGATGGGATAAAGACCATTGTGTAGAGTGTTTACTGCACCTTAAGACTCTATAGCTACGTTTTTGCAAAAAGAGAGTGCTAGTATTTTTAATGTTTATGGATTGACTGCTAAATTTTCTTTTGGACACCCCTGTACATCAACAGTCCTCTCACAAGTCCTTTCACCAGTAAGAATGAACTATATCCCAAAATGCCTCTGTCACTGCGCATAGGAATAGTGTCTTACTTGACTCGTGAGACTGGATGACTTGTGATAAACATGTGATCGACTTGCGACTCTGTTGTGTTCGACTTGTGATGACTTGTGACTGACTTGTATCCGACTCGTGGTAACCTGTGATTTACCTGTCCTTTGACTAATGACTGACTTGTGATTGACAAATAAATAACTTGTTATGATCTGTGACATGCTAACAACTCTGCCTTGTACCCTTACCTGATGCTTCTTAATCAACCCTTTGACACTCCTCCGATCCTGGCCCAGGTCTTGAGAGGCCAGTGCTATCTCCATCTCAGCGATGCTTGTCGCTGCATCCTCCAGGGCTCGGTTCAGAGCTTGCTGCTGCGTGGCCTGCCGCAGCTTGACCCCTTTGTCTGAGGAGCGGTCATTCAGGTCAGCCCAGCGGTCATTCAGCGCAGAGAGAGTCGCCTGGACATCGGAGGCTTTGAAGTTCTTTTTCTGGATCAGTTCCTGACCAGTCTGAATATGAGACAGAGAGATGTAATATCACAAAATGCCAGAGTTTATGGAATTTCTATATTAAAGAGGGATTTGTAGAATTTATTTCCAAAACGTGACAAAGACAAAGATGTGTTTGAAAATATGGTCCCAAAGCCACATTTTGGTGAGGTCTGAACATTCAAGGTGGATTTCAAGTTTTTATTTCTTCTAAGTTGAACAGAAATTGACTGGAGCGGGGCTTGACTGCCAACATCAGGCTGGATAACTCGGTTGAGCGCCGGAACGGCAATCCGGATGTTGCAGGTTCAAATCCCGCTCCAGTCAATTTAACAATGAACTCTGTTTTAGCCTCTGAAGAAGAACTTGCTAAGTTCGCAACGTCAGGCCACATTAATTTTTAGATCCAGTCAATTTAACTTTGAAAAAGATTTTATTTTGATAAAAGCCTTTCCATGAAAATTGTCTCATTACAGTATGCCCTAAAAACCTCCACAGCCCTAAATCTGTCAAGTGTCTACAGCTTCTGTCCACTATTGAGGGAGTCAAGATCAATGAACTCTTTGAAAGGAGGCTAGCATACCTCATTCAGCTTGTCCAGACTGTCTTTATTGGCCGTCAGCTCAGCTTCAAATGCCTCATGTTTCTTGACTTTGCCCGGCAGGTTGGTCAGTTCACGGTAGGACTCGTCGCAAGCAATCTCATGCTTCTCGTAAATCCACTCCGACAACTGAAATTGTATTTACAAAGTAATACTTGATTAATACAGAAGAGAATATGGGAACAAAAATGTTTGTATTTGTATTAAACTGGGTGACAAGGACTTAGCATTTTTTTGTTTTGTTTTTTAGGATACAAGGGACGTAAGTGGACTGTAACATTTAAGAATAATAATTTAGGTACATGAAAAAAGGACAAAAGTTATAATGACACGAGAAAAGCAACAATTTTTTTTTTCAATTTTAGGAGGACTTTATTACACTCCTCGGTTAACTTTGATTATTAAGACTGCAACTTTTTCAGTGAGTGATTTTTTATTATTGTAGCTTCCAAATGATTTTTTTTAAATCAAACATGTAAAGGGACTGCACCTCATCTGCATCCCTGCAGAACTCCAAGAACTCCTTGGACTGGATCAGTTTCTGCCTCCGGAGGGCGCTGTTTTCTTTCACCTTCTGCCTGCGAGCAACCACCTCCTCACAACGATTCGAAATGCTGTTCACAAACAAATATTTGTTTAAAAACTTCAAAGTTTTTTGCTTCCGTTTTAATTCCTACAGGTAACGCTATGCGTTTTTTTAATTTCCAAAACTCTTAAAGATAAAGTTCTTTCAGAGAAAAGTTTCAAAGCATAAAAGTTACTGTATGTATGTAGCTTTAAATATTGCTCTTTTTTCTAGATGTCAGAATAAAAAAAAAAAACATGAAAACAATAAGCCTCTGTACTGATGACGTCACTCTTTGTTTACTTGTGCGCTTTTCTTTGGCGCTACGAAACCGTCGTCCCCACCAGGCTCTCATAAGAAAGCACACATGTATTACGTCATCAGTATTAGTGTGATGTCATCAGTACAGAGGCTTATTAAAAAGCAAGGAAAGACCTGTAGTGTGATATGGGAAAAGCCCTTGCCTGTTGCATGTGGATATGACAATGAATACAACTTTTTTCTTAAAGAGAGTTCACGGTGTGCTTTAACTTGATGCATTAAAATCTCCCTGAAAAAAATATAATAAAACAGATCTCATATCACCATACAGTGAAATCTCGATAAGTCAAACCTCAAGGGAACAGGTTCAAAATTTGACTTAAGCAGAGTTTTGAGATACGCACAGTTGTATGCCATTGTTATACTACTGAAGAGAATGGATTCTTTGTTTGATTTAACAGTCGTTTTGAGTTATCAGAGTTTGACTCATCGAGATTTCAGGTTTTGCTTAAACGGCATTTGCTCACATTGTTTTGGCATAATGATCATTGTTGACCAGTTTGGCAGCTATTTCCTTCAATCCTTGCAATCTCTCGTCCTGCACAGTCAGTGTGTTCTCAAAGTCATCCTGTCTCTTGATCAGACCGTACACAATCTCCACTGTGGCCTGGATTACAGAGAAATAAAAGTAGCATAATCAGATACAGTGTTATCAACTTACTTCGCTCGAATGCAGGATAGTTGGATTACTCTTGTCAATTATTTGGAAGCAAAGCCTTGGGCACGGTTGCATCGCTGGTTATCAATACTAGCCACGGGCATCATACAGCACAAAGGATAGCCAGGACTTTTAACCATCTTTGACTAAAGACATTGGCACATTGCTAATAGGTCTCTCTCAAAGACGGCCATCTCTGTAGGAAAACTGTAACTGCGTATTTTACGCAATCAAGTACGCATTGCGCAGTGTTGATAACGTTCCAAACACACGCGCTTGTTGCTCGAAATGTGTTCCGAATACGATGCAGCCGATGCACGTTAGGCAAGTTGATGCTCGAAATGCCGATGCACGTGGATGGTCGGCAGGAAATGACATCATTTGAGAGAGACCTATAGTGCACAGGTGTAATTACATCATAAATCAACAACTATTTGACTAATGGTCTTCGCCTGAACTTGCTCCATAAGATTGCCAAAAACAACTGACTTACTCCCAAATCTTCAAACTCCAAGAATGCTTCATGGCCACTGGTTGTCGCATCGATCTGGTCTGCTTCCCTGTTAAACAGCTGCAGTTGGCAACAGAAAAAGAAATGCGAAGAACAATGATAAAGAGACCACTTATTGTTTTCAAAGTGTTGTACTCTTGTTCAAGCAAGGCAAAGTTTGTGATACCAAGCCTATCACATGACAAGGATGTTGAGTCAATCACAAGTCCAACCAAGTCAAATCAAGTCAAATCAAAAGTCAGGCTACAAGCAACAGGGAGTGAAAAATGACAAAGGAATGCAAATAGTTAGTACGAATAGCTTTTCTTGGCGAGACTTGCATGCTCTATTGACTTATCACTGACTAGTGATGGCTAGTGAATAACTTGTGATGACTTAGTTATAAGCTCTGATACTAACATTTTTTTTTTTTTTTTTATAATAACAAACGAAACTAAATAGAACATTAACAGCGTATTTTATACTCACAGCTAGATCCAAGGCGTCTCTGAGTCGTTGGTTTCGCTTGTCCCAGCCTGCTTGGATCTCACACTGTGCTTCTGATAGCTTCCTTGTCTTTTGAGCAATCGTCACGGAGTCAGGCAGGGCTTTTAGTAGTTGCTTACCGAGTGCTTCCAGCTTGGTGAATCTGACCAACAATAAGAGGAAATTTACTCAAGGTACGTCTTAAAGGCACATAGGATCATTTGCAATGATTCCAAAAGTAACCAACTGAATTATTATCCAAACGCTTACTTGGAGTAATGATCGTACTGGTACTAAACACCCCGTGAAATTATTCCGTCTGGCTTGCTGTCATTTAGAAGAAATAAAGAAATGTAGGTGATTTCCAACTATCAGTCAACTGCATTTTGATTTCCAAGGGCCAGTCAAGACTGATCGTTGGAAATAAAGGATGTTATAGACGAAATCATGTTTTGTGATCACACGCTTGTGAATGATTTTTCACTGTATTCTCGAAAAGTGTAATATCCACTGAGCTGAAACTTCAACAGGTTAGGTTCTGAACTTTCTTCTTTGGATTTTGGGTGGTGTTATTATTGGAAACAAACAAAATGCATGAAAAGCAAATAATCCCATTTGCCTTTACTTTGTCATTAACTGCGGATTTATTTGACACAAATGCTTCACTCACACATCATCATGGCCCCTGATATCTTCCAGCAGGTCCTGGTGCTGTTTCAGAAGATTCTCAGAACCCATGACATCCCTGGCTAGCTCTGTATCCAGTAATAACCCTCGAACTTCATTACACCACATAGTCTGTGAAATGAATGAAGAAACAAAACACTCTCATCAAATAAAACAACAAAGAGCATGAAGAGTTGGACAAAATCTGCTAGGATGACAAGATAGGACTGGGTAGCTTAGTTGATGAAATGCCAGGACAAATTCAGAAAATTTTCAAATAATTTAGTATTTGGATATTTGAACTTGGATTCAAAAGGTCTCTCTCAAAGACGGCCATCTCTGTAAAACTGCAACTGCGTATTTTACGCAATCAAGCACGCATTGCGCAGCGTTGAAAATGCTTGTTGCTCGAAATGTGTTCGAAATACGACGCAGCCGATGCGCCTTATGCAAGTTGACGCTCAAAATAGCGATGCACGTGGATGGTCTGTAGGAAATGACGTCATTTGAGAGAGACCTATCGAGTCTCTGAATACTCGGAAACAAGCTGATCAAGTTTTACATGCGCTGGCCTAAATTGCGTGAGCTGGTCAGAAATCAAATGGGCCGCTTATCAGATTTTGCATGCGCATGTCGAAAATTGACAATGACCTTAATGAAACATTTAGAACATCATTTGTATGGACATATGTTTTGATGTAGTTTACCAGCTAATATTTGAATGATATTTGATGTACTGAATGCTGATGTGTAACTATTTCTTACCAGTTCCTTGGTGTCATTGTGAAACCTGCTGATATCACGGCTCTGCTCCAGCTGTGCCTTCCGCTCCGCCGCTTTAGCCTCCAGCGTATCCCATAAGTCCCTGATCTCATTCTGTCGCTGGTCAATGTGGTCCCCTTCATTGGGGTAGGAGGCTTTCACACTGGAAAGGATGGCATTCCATTTCAAGGATCCAAACCACCATTTTTGTCATTTATCATTTACAACAGAAAATAAATTTGTGACCCACATTTTGAAAATTAGCAGTGACATACCTGATATTCAAGAAAATAACTGAAAATACTTTGTCACATGATACAGCTCTTGAATTTTGCACCGGGTTTTTTTTATTCCGGATATAAAGGAGTGGCAGTGTGCCATGGCCGGGTTTATTCTGGCATGTGACTGGGTTCTTTAGAGTGCTCTTAAAAGTGGTTATACACACACACATTTAACAGGTCTACGTCCACAGCAACTCGCTATGACATTCAAATTTGCAGCCTAACCCAAACCAAATCATTGTTCGGATAACGAGTACTTGCAGCACCAGTTGAAAGCTAGTTGAAAGCACTAAATCACGTCAAGGCCATTTGCCTGCGTGATTTTGTTAGTATCTGGCTCATGTGAGTAACCAACAAAGTATCACGCAGTCTAGACATACATCTATATGCTGAGGAAGTGTGACATCACCTCCTCCCTGTGTCAGGCGCACTTTCTGGACAACGGTTCAAACACATCCCTGAACGATGCATTACATGTACGTTTATAAACATACATGATCACAGACAGCAATTTTACATACTACTTTCATGAACTTTTTCACAAGTTGGAACCTGAAAATGGTTCACTGCCTTTCAGCAGATTGTCACCACACCAGTTACAAGCACAGTTGCGCTTATTTTCGTTTTAAAGAGGAGAATCAGGCCAATTTTCATAACAGCCACAGCGAAACCACAGTGTTCACTGGGCCGTTGCAGTGCGCATGAACCAATAGGCATGGTTGCACAGAGTTGACCTCTGAGTGACGTCACGACTACGCCAGGGAATGGTAAGTGGATTTAGCCGCTTCCATAGGCCTATGTTTGGTTGTACATGTAAGTAATTCAGAAGCTACCCTAGGTTTGAGAAACTTACGCCTTGGCCAAGAGACCGAGTTTGCGGAGCTTTTCACCGACAGGAGCCAACTCCCTCTGCAGCATTTCATGCTTCCTCTGTAACTCCTGGACTGACTGGGTATCCTTGCCTGGATCGTAGGACGACAGGGCGTTGAACTTGTCCATGATCCACTCTTTGGCCTCGCCCCATGATTGGTTGTACAGTTCAATGCTGCAGGAATAAAATTTAAGCAATAAAAATAAATTTAAAAAAATAAAAAATTTAAGCAATGTAAAAAAAGAATCCCACAACGTATAAACAGTACTGGGTAAACTGCAAATATGAATATAAAGCACAAATCTGCATAATAACTGCTCAATTTATAGAACAATTTATTATGCTCAATTTATTATTTCAAAAAAGGATTCAGCAAATCTTACTCTTATATTAAATATATTGTCCTCTCCAAAGTCTGTTTTTTTATCACACTCTATTGTTTATTAATGGTTGAATATTCAAATACTTGAATATTCATGACAGCCTTTACCTGGATGCTCCCTCCAACATCTTCTCAGGTTCTTCATTCTGTTTCATCAGTCTCATTCTAATATTCAATAACTGATTGAATATTCAAATACGCAAATATTTGAACATTCATCCTAGCCTTATATCTGGATGCTCCCTCTAGCATCTTCTCCTTTTCTGCCTTCATTTTCATCAGTCTCTCCCAGTGGTCATCAACCTCTTTCTAATATTCAATAACCAACTAAATATTCAAATATGCAAAAATTTGAATATTCATCACAGCCTTTTATACCTGGATGCTCCCTCCAGCATCTTCTCCTTTTCCTCCTTCAGTTTCATCAGTCTTTCCCACTGGTCGTTGACCTCTTTCTGCCGGTTGCGTACGTCCGCCTGCTTGCTGTGGCCAGTCCGCACAAACTCGTCCGCCATCTTGTTGATGCGGTCGATCCGCCCCTGATTGGCCGCAAGGTCGGTCAGGAGGTTCTCAAACTTACGCCGGGAGGCCTCCACCCGCTCTGAGAGGGTCTCCTTCTTCTTGAGGATTTTCTCCTGTCGGGGCATTTTGACAGTTCATTAAAATGACGAAAATGAGCTTTTAGCATGAGCTTTTGTAACATTCTACTAGAGATTTTTTGTGTTGCAAGTGAGCAAATGGTGACAGAGTTAAAAACAAAACACCTGAACTTGTTGATTGTTATTTTTTTTCCAGATTTACTTACAAAGTAAAGACATTATTAACACGTCTTAAGTACTGTCAATGTTCAAAGTTGATGCGGCACAGGATCTATTGCAATTATCTGAGATTCAAATCCAATAAACTTTACTTACACTATGGGTTAGACTTGAGTAAGGGGAGAATGCAAAATTCAACAGGTGGTAACTTGAGGTAACTTGAGGTTTACCTTGAGGTTTTACCAGGTTTAACAGGGTTTTGTGGGTTACCTTGTGGTAAAACCTCAAGTTACCCCTTGGTTAATTTTGCGTTCTTCCTCAAAATGCCTTGATAAATTAATTTGTCTGACATTCTGTGAAATGGAAGACACTTGAATTTCACCCAAAAATTTAGCAGAGTTCTTGGATTTATATTGGCGTGTGGGTCTATCATAACAACCGTAACAGTTTCCATGTCACTTTTCAAATGTCATGTTTGAATTGACACTCTATGACCATGCAAGAGATGATATGATGTTTATTTACTGCACGGCCTTTTGTGATACTGCCGCTTTATACAAAATTGCTTTTTATGACAAAATAGTGCATGGAGTCTTTGTTGTTTTCTTGAAAGTACAGAGATCAGTAAACTGGATTTTTCGCAGGTCATGGTTACTCAATTACACTTAAAGTCCCAAAATACTCTTTTTTTTATGGCTCTAGTGTTTGCGAGGCTCTAGCGTCGCCGCGGAAACATGTACCGCCATTATTTTTATATCATTTTAAAGCTTGGAATCTTAACTTTATCCCAGGTAAGTATTGGTTGGATTTTCAAAAGGGTTTTGAAATTATTCGTGTTCAAACAAAGGCATGTCAAAAGCAAACTCAACTGATTTCAAGGGAAATCAATCATGTGCATTTTTTCTAATGTGGAAATGCTTCATCGTGTTCACGATGTGACGATCTTGTTGCCTTTTACTTTCGTGTTTCCTTTTCTGTTTGATCCACGTAGCCTACAACTTAAATAAATTCACAATATTGTTCTTTGTTTCAAGTTAAATGTATTTTTAAAATAAATCAACTGCTTTTTGTTTTGTTATTTCAACAGCTTGTTGACTCGAGTTTGCATCTGATGTACCGCATCATCAATTTTCCTTGAAATCGGTTGAGTTTGTTTTCAACTTGTCTTTATTTGAACACAAATAATTTTTAAACTCTTTTAAAAATCAAAGTACATGTAATACTTGCCAGGGATAAAATTAAGATTCCAAGCTTTAAAATGGTATTAAAAAAAAAAAGGCAATACGTGTTTCCGTGCTGACGCTAGTGCCTTGCAAAAAAAAGGTGCGGGTACTGTGTCAAAACTGAGGGGAATAAAACTACAAACTATCCAATGTTTTCTTCTTTTGAACATGCTCGCTTGTTCCAATTGTTTTGAGTTTCAACGAACCATTCTGAGAAAATGGCTCAATTATGTTTATTTGTGCAGACATAACAAGTGGTTAGTTTGGTTTTATCTTCTCATTAATAAATCTATACGGATAGAATATTTTGGAATATTACTCTGACATGTACATATGCATTAGCTTGACTGTGAGAAAATCATTCCGTGTTAGGCTTGATGTGTGTGACATTAATAATACTTCGCGTGCAATATTACTTGAATCACTCAGAATTTGTCATCAAGCATACATGTGTTCGAGTATGATGGAATGGACGCAAGGGGGGGGGGGGGGGGTCACTGCAATGACATGAAGCAAACCACAAACGTGCAATCCAAAAACAAGGCTCTGTTTTCCCAAACTATGCTTTCTGATGATGAACCGAAAACCAATGCAAAGTCAAAACTGCTTTTCTCCCTTCACAGCGTATTGTTTTGAATTATGCTGCTGAAGGGAAAAACCAAATATTTGTTTTAATTTATGAATCAAATATTATATATATGGTTTTCAGGTATAAAGAAAATGAATCATTCTGGAGATTCTTATTATTCTGGAGATATTTCACCAAATTCAAAGTAAAAACAAAATATAAACAGTGAATAACTAAATGCAAGGGTGTGTCCAAAGCCTTTGTCAGAGACTATTGACTGATGCAGCAGCTGCAGTTAACATCCTTTCATTGCCTTCAAATTCTACAAAAAGTCTATTTCACACATGACTCGGTTCGACTAGGAAAATGAATGTGCACATTGTTTTCTATACACCTAAGCAAATAATAGATGAGCAAACAGATGCATAAAATCAATGTTTTTCAGATCCAAAGCATGATGACTCACACATGATTTCCAAAAATAGGAATTAGTCCCTCACAATCAATGTTTGTAAACTGTTAGCTGCCAAAACATTAAATTTTGGAATTTAGGTTTTTTAAGAGTTTTTTTTGGCTGTGTCAAGTCTATATTAAGCATTGTCATTATATATTACTCCATTCTTCGATATTATTTTGATATCAATATTGAAATATCAACATTTTCGATATTGAGGAATCATATCACAAATATCGAAAATGCGTCAGATTATCGTCAAAATAAATCTCCCGTTTGTGCTTTTACTTTGTGTTTATCCTTTGCTGTATATAACTCGGCGGCAACTTGTGCTTGTGACTCAAAATAAAAACATCGCAAAATGCCAAGCGGCTTCGCTTTGTGCTGTGCTTTCACTGGAATTCGCAGTCTCCCCCAATGTAAAACTATAAAAAAAAAGGCCCATTCTGAACAAACTCTCAGTGCTGAGATTTGTTTTAAAAAGTTTGGGCAATATGCTCCTGAGAAAGCCGTGGAAAATTGGGACTTATTTAAATTGAGAATGATTTTTTTTTTATGGTAATACGTACTGCAAAAAAAAAAACCTTCGCTGCGAGGGTCAACATTTGTCCTGCCTAGAATGGCTACTGCTAAAATAGTCTAAGACAAGGATAAGTACACCCGTCTTTTATTGTACCAGTTTATCAAAAAGCATAGTTTGGGAATGGCCAGCATAGGATGTGCAACCTAGGGCACTGTACCTACCATTATACTGGTTTGAAAGGGGAAGGCTTTAGGCTTCAGGGTGGAGACAAATAAGGCGACAAAATAAATGTTATATAAATTCAAATAAAAATACTGTGTAATGGCGTGTCTTTGATTTGCTTTCCATCGTATCAAACTTCAAAGCACTTTACAATTATTCCCATGTTCATCAGTCCACAAGACCAAACGACAGCCGATATCAGCCCTCATTCTATTCTCTACCCTCACAGGTACTCATTCGTAGAAGCAATTGTAGTTAAGTGTCTTGCCCAAGGGCACAAACACCATGTTCCTGGCAGAGTTCGAACCCACGCACCATCGTGAGTCAAACATGAGTCAAACACTGTAACCACTGGACCACGGCATTCTACATGGCATTCTAAAGAGTCATCAAAACCTCCCAAATGTGCTGCAAGAGTTGTGACCATTTGTTTCAAAGATGTTCATTGGATTCAAAAAAGTAAAGAAGAAAAACAGTAATTGTATGCTAAATACTGCAAGATATTTAAAGACTCTAACAGGCTTTGCAATTTGTTGAATTCCTGTTGGATAAATTATAACCGCACAAAAGAGAAGGCAACAACAAATATACACCGGTTATCTTTAGGAGAAAAAAAAAACGGGAGGGATGGAACCAGCGAAGCATCATATTGCCAAAGAGTGAGGTACCGGTATTACATTGATCAGTAAATTGGTAAAAAAATGGGCAGGGGTGCGTTAGGAAACTCTAGAAATATTTCACAAAACCAAAGCAACCAGTTTAGGGAATGAACACAAATCCGTACGGACCAACAAAGTCTGATAAATATGCATCCAGGAACTACAAGAATAGCTGGGGAAAGTGCATTTTCAGGTTTCCCTCAGCAAACTTAGCCACTCTTAAACTACAATTACTGCACCAAAGCTAAAAAAAACTTTACCCTTAACCAAAACGCTTTAAGGTAGGCTGTGTTACCTTGATTATCATAACCAATTGGCTCGGGTACTTTAGAAAGTGTGCAAGGAAAACAATTGAAAAGGTATGTTAATGAATGTTTTTCAATGTCTCCAAAAGGAGGAAAGGTCATTGCATTACAGTATATCAACACTGATGGTCATATGTTTGAGAGCACAAATTTATAAATTTTGAGCGAATAATAAGCACTTCAATGAAATCAAAGACATTTGTCATAGAGGTAGTTAGAGACAAAAGATTTGATTTGGTAATGTCTGTGTTATTTTCCCCAGAATCCAGTAAAAAATAGAGTCGGGTCACAAGGTCATGTCACATACATGCCAGCAAAACTAGGTTAAATTCCCGTAATGGGCTCCGTGCGCGAACAACAGAGGGCACTTTTTTACCACTTTCGAGAGTTCAGTGAACGGGACTGCCATGTGCATGTACTGGTTCGCGCACGTATAGCAGAAAGTACGCACGACTTATTTTACTCCGAATATGCACAAAGTCATAGTGCCTTTGCATGAATGTTAGGCACGGCCGGCACTGCATTAGAATGTCTCTCCCAGTGGTCTCCCCCAACTCTCCCTTTCTTACCGTTGAGGGGGTACTTGTGCACGGAGCCCATCAAAACGGGAAGTCCCCCTTTTTAAGGTATTCATCCCACTGACCTTTTCCTTCATCCAAGCCTGAAACTCATCGCACTCTCGATAAAAGGAGAACAGTTTGATGGCATCCTCAAGATAGCGTTTGCGCGCCAGGGCGATTTTCTTGAGACGCTTGTATGTCCCATCGATGCCCTGCTGTCTCAACTCAATGTTCTCCTTGTCAAAATGATTGGTTCTCCTCACTAGATCAGAAATAAACATCCTCAGATGAAATTATGGTTCTTTTGAGGTCAAAAACTGTAATAGAGGGATATATCTGAACAGTTGATTATCCAGGTTTTGGGGTGAAAAAGAGAGTTATTCTGATAAAAAAATGGCCTCAATTTTGTTATGTCTTAAATGTTTAAAATGTCTTCATTGTGATTGGGTGAGTGTACAACATGTCCAGTTCTGAACAACTGATTCCAAGGTATGGTTGTATTGCGGGTGCCATGTGCTGCAACAAACTGACACCCATCCTCCTTCATTCCTCTTGCCATAAAACATCACAATCACATCACATCACAAGTATTATTTCACATTTTTATTCTTTAATATAGTTCAGATTAGTTTTATTTTAATTCTATTTTCAGGATATTTAATCCCCTTTAAATTGTGCAATTGTAATTTTAATTGTTTTTATAACGTTTTTAATGTTTTATTGTATGCTTTAATTACCCATACATGGGATGTACATGTAATAAAGATTACTTGACTTGACTTAACTTTGCTGGTGCTTGTAGTTCCCCAAATCACAGGGTAAGGTTTCTCTCATCACCTCCCCCCCCCCCCCATCACCCACCCCCGGAATGGTAATCGGAATCTGAACATTTTAAATAATAGCTTCCCTTCAAATCAATCAAGGTATTAACAATAATATAATATTAATCAAGGGAAAACAAACAAAAATATGGTGAGCAACCATCACACCATCTACAAAAGATTAACCCTAATCCCAAAAGAGTTCATTTTGGGTAAAGTACCACATACTACAAACATTATGTATGCAGGTACCAAATGCTAAAAAAATACTATGAGTGCTGCACCCACTTAAATGCTGAAGTACTGCATACTACAGTGCTGCATACTACAGTTTATTACTACAATGTAGTAGTATTTTGTAGCTTTAAGTGGGGTTAGGGTTTCAAAATTACAGGCTGAACTGGGGATAAATTATGAAAAAACTTATAAAAAAAACACTCAAACCCAAATCCACTGGAAAAAAACCAAACTTGCAAAGATGAAGAAAAAACTGTACATATCTTTTACATGTTGAACTGATGACACATTTGAATCATCCACAATACATAGGGCATCTTACGCCAGAAGAACAATTAGTAGGTTTATTTCACACCATGAATTTGCAAACTGTTTAAAAATGTGTCAAGAGAGCTGAACTCACGGCTGGACTTTCTCGTCAACGACGTTCCTTTCCCGGCCGATATCTTCCTCTTTCTCTTGACCATCTCCTGTCGCGTCTTGGTCTTCCGGACTTTCACCGTCTCTGGTACCCTGACTCGTTTCTGCACTTTCTTCTTGACAACCTTGGGCTGGGTCTCCTTGACGTAATTGGCAGGGACGAAGCCTTCCTGACCCGAGGCTTTGCGAATGTTCCACCACTCCGCATTGGTTTTTTCCACCAGGATCATGACCTAGACAAATTAAAATTTAAGGGCATATAGGATCGTTTGCATTCATCCAAAAAGTAATCTAACATATTTTTATCGAAAAAACTTACTTGGATTAAACACCCTGTGAAATTATTCCGTCTGGCTTAATGTCATTCGGAAGAAATCAAGAAATGTAGGCAATTTCAAAGATCAGTCAATTGACTGATTTCTGGAAATAAAGAGTGCTAGGTTTCGGCTAAAATTTGTCGGCTTGAAACAAAATGAAACCATTCAAATACAGGCCGACACTTTCAATTCTATCATCACCAAAAAAACAAAATTCAAGGGAACATGAGAAACAATGTGACATTTCAATTTATTTGAAATACAGGATTAATCTCTGAGATTTGAAAATCAAATACCTCTGTGCAATAACAAAAGACCTCGACAACAGATTTATTTTGCAAAAAAAAATGCAAAATTATCTCACCTCTCCCTTGGTAACTTTGAGCCCTTGCCCCGAGTACGTGTATGCTGCCTTGACCTGGGGATATGTCCTTTCTTCCAACACCTCCTTCAATTCTTCTTTCTCGACCACCTCCTCTTCTTCAACCTCATAAGGAACCTCAACAATTTCAGTCACATACTCCTCCCCTTCTGCTGGGATAGGCTCTGTGGTGTTATCGGTCTCTGGTGACATTTCGAGTGAAAACTGGGAAGAAAATAGACGATACTTTTAATAAAATTAGAGGCTAAACTGTGAGAAAAGATTCAATATTGGGTTTTGTCCTTCGCTGACGTATTTTTACAGGTATGAAAACTGTATACTCAGTCATGTCCAGAGTCACAAACTACTGGGTTGGGACTTCTACCCTCGACCTTCTGCTTACTAGTGCAGACGTCTTACCACTCGTCCACCGAGCTTGCCTGGGTCGCCTAGTTGGTTCGAATCTGATATAACAGCAGGTACCGCAACCAAACTATTCATAATATGGAATTTGCTTCGGGGTGATGTAAATTCGATTTTGGGTTCTGCTGCTCTTTACCGACGTATCTTACAAACACTGTATACTACAAACTGAATTTACATCAACCCATCAATCTTAATGAACAGTTTAGTTGCGGTACCTGTTGCTACATCAGATTCAAACCTGCCAGCCGACCCTGGCTAGCTCGGTGGTTGAGTGGTACGACGTCTGCAATAGTAAGCAGGAAGTAGAGTTGTTTGTGAATTTTTTCTCACAATCACTCGGGACAAAACTGAGTATACAGTGTTTATAAAATACGTCGGTGAAGGGCAAAACCCAATATTGAATGTACAACACCCCGTTACAAATTCCATCTTGTGGATTGTATCTTACGTTGTTGTTCATGTTCGCATCTACAATCTCCTTCAAATGTTACAATTCGGCTGTTTCCACTAAACTGATCTCCTCTGTGTTTAGCAGCTCCATTCGTGCTTAGCAGACAAAAGAATCAGCCCCTGATGCTTAACAGGTCCTCAACATTAACCCCCGATCTCAAGTCTAGACTCATGGTGATGACTGACCTTGTTGTTCAACTTAGCATCCACCATCTCCTTGGACTGTTGGCTGAGTTTCAGGATGTCATCCTCGTAAGCGTTGATGCTCTCCATCAGTGTCAGGTGTTTCTGGAGGAGCATCTTGGCTGACTCCGGATCCTTACCGTAGTCATCGCTGCAGGCTAGGGGCATCTTTTCTCGCATCCAAGACTCTGCCTCATTGGCATCAATGTAATACTGTGGGAGTAAAGGTGATAAGTGCATTTACATGAAAAATATACCAGTTTCAGTGGAAACCAAAAAATTATGATAATACTTTTACAAATCTGAATGTAAAGCAGTTATTTTTTATGTGCGTGCTACAAATGTCACAAAAGATAAGCACATCTCATCTTCGGGAAATTGTGGTCACAAAGTTTTAGAACATCAAAATATTTTTGCATCTAGATTTGTATTTAACACCGAAAGATCTCAATGCTCTTATGAGTTCATTAGCCTGTGTAACTTATTAAAATTCTCCATTGTTATCCTGTATTGGCAATGCCAAGGCCCTAAATACTTGGAGTGAAGAGGCTGTACAATAAACAGTGGTATATGCTGGATGCCTGCCCAAGCAGCTATCTATAAAGCAAGTTACATCCTGAATCATCAGAAATCATATTTTTGGCAAAACCAGCCAGAGCCTCAAACCTCCAATTTCAGTTGGGGCCTGCAAACATGGATCCTCCATTACCCTCCAGAGACAAAATCTTGTTATGTCAAAATTCCTTCGAATCCTTCAAAATCTTTCATTGTGCAAAGAGAATTTGGAGGACTTGGGAGGGTTAAGCTCAAAAATTTGCACGTAAGCATTCTTACCTGGTGTGACTGGGCAGCCTGTTCCAGCCGATACCTCCGAGCCTCAGCGTACTCATTTAGCCGTCCCCATTTCTCCTGTAGCTCGTCTATCTGGGCCAGGATGATGTTGTTGCTGCGGTGCCCCGCCCTGGCTAGCTCCTCCCCTGTCTGCATCACCCCTTCGATGGTATGCTGCCTGGCCGTGATCTCTAACTCTAATGCCTGGGTGCAGAAAATGGTACAACACCAATTGTCATATTGTGTCTTTGACTGGGTAGCACTAAGACTTCACATCAAATTTTTCACTGCTAAAAATAATTTTCTTGCATAAGAAAATAAATTTTGTTTCAAGAAATATTTCCTTGTCATACTCCCCAGACAATTTTCTAGGGAGTATGACAAGAAAATGTTTCTTGAAACAAGATTTATTTTCTTATATTAAGAAACGTAAGAAAATCATTTTTAGCAGTGGTGAAATACATGTCAGGAATGGTCTATAATGTTCTCAGCTAATTACTCGGGGGAAAAAATTAGAATCCTCACCAAATATGGCAACAATGTTGTGGCGTCCATGTTTCACCCTTAACCTGTCTGTTTTCAAATGTCATGTTCAAAAACATCCAAAACGTAAAGAAACTTTCTTAAACAAATTTAAAGAATCACTATCAAAATTAACAATAACAGTTTAGTTACACTGAGTGATCCCTTGTACGCTATCTCAAAATGTGTGAAAATCTTTAAAGGGAATGTACATCATTGGCTTTTGCTGTAATTTTCAGAAATGAACTATTTGAGGGGTTAGTATAATAGATCAAATATTGTTACACTGACTTGTTTGAAGTTTTGTGTTCGAAAATGCTGGAAAAACCAAGAAAAACAAAACTGTTCAAGTAGTCTGGTTCCCTGACTCCACTAAATATAAAATGGATCAATTTACAGATGCCAGAAAATTGTAAGATAAGGTTACCAGTCTAGCTGGCCTGCACCCGTTCATGAACATGTAACCAATAGCAAACAAAATTTGGACTGAATTAATGGTAAATTTGGAGCAGTAGTTGAAAAATAGTTAGGTTTTTCCAACGGTGATCGGCCGACTACTGCTGGAAATGTTTACAAAAATACCATTTTCTTGAAAATGACTTCACACAAGGTGCCATAATTTTACAGGATGCTTTAGACTGTCATTTACTAACATCCTATTAATTAAGGTATTTTGTAAAAACTTGGTAATTTTTTTTTCGATGTTTGCAAATGTTGTATATTCCCTTTAAAGCGTTTCCCAACTTCACGGAAAGACCCATACGAGTGTGTTACTGCCAGCCAGGCCCAAGTAATTCAAACACCGCGTAAATCTCAGTCTCTGGCTAATCAGCTCACTGCGTGTTTCTGCTGTGCGCTGATGACGCTCCTCAGGTCTCTCCCTGTCACCATGGACTTGGCAATGCGTTGCTTCTCCATCAGCCAGGATTCCTCCTCTTCGCTGTCTCGCAGGAACTCAAAGAACTTGAGCGACTCCTCCAACTGGGCCTTGCGCTTCATGCTCAGCTTCGTGATGCTGTAAAGGATGACATCAGGATGAATACTAAAAATCATCAGGTGTACACAGCAAATAGTACCACAATGAAAAACAAAATGTAAGCTAGAAGAAATTTCAAGCAAGAACTATGATTAATCATAGCCTGACTTGATAATTTATTTGAACCATTCTAGTCGATTATAGTTTGACAAGTCTAGTTGACTATTCAGGACCAACTTACCAAGATCGCATCCCTTGTTACAAATAGCTACGGGCATCATATTTTACAGTAGAGAGCCAGAACCAAGTCGTTTTGGGATGACTAGCTTTTAACTAGAGATGAGTAGCTCAACCGGGTCGACTCGGTAACGGCTCAAATGCAGGCCATCATAGTCCCTACATGACATCCATGTAGCCATTTACGAACTGAGTCTTACATTGAGATCTACTGCTTTTCGTCAATTGAAAAAGTAACAACGTCAGACTGTGATAACAGCCTCGAAGGTTGCAGTGAGATCGGTAAATGATTATGTTTAGACTTAAATTTTATGTTTAGACTTAAATTTATTTTTAGGTCTGTTTGGTCCCTGTTGTCCGGCCGCCATATTTGTCTGCCATACTTGTCCGCATGCGTGTGATGTATTTCCACCACTGATTCCGCTCCATGAGCAGGATCTGTGGTTGCTGCCCCAAGTGAGCCCCGAATGACATCAGAGCTAATCGAACGGCATGGTGCTAACTCGAGTCGACCTAGGTGAGCCATTGAAACACACCCATAGTATGCAGGTGTTAGATACGTCATGAGTCAACCACAACTTGACCAATAGTCCATGATCATAGTTTAGGATGCAGATCATCATGGACCAACTGGGTCCTGTATGGAAGCATGAAGTCATTACATCTTAGGTCATTGGTCTGTCCATGAGGGGTCAGTACTTACTGATCGTAGCCAACATTGAGTAGAGCCACTCTCTTCTTGATAGTGTCACTCTCCGAGTGGTTTTGGCTCAGGTAGATATCAGCCTTCTGGTTGACCTGATTGACCCGATAGCCCTGGGAGTTAATCTGGGTCTCCGTCAGGGCGTGGCGCTGTAGGAGGTCCTCTACGCCCAAGAGATGCTTGCCACAATCACCGGACTGTAGACCCACCTGACAATGGGAGAAATATGCAAAGGGCTCCCATAAAATGAATTTTAAAGACTGTTTTGATTTCCATTGTGCAGTAATCACAGGCAAGGTACTATAAATGTAGTTGTTTTGCTTGATTTTTTAATTACTCCGACATTTGTTGGTAAAAATATGTAATATTTCACCAGTTCCTCATTCAAACATAGGCAAATAAAGTTGTAAGAGCCCCTTTAACCAGAGTTGAACTATTGACCCTGAAAATCCTAGCCAAACACCAGCCCACCTGACAAGAACCGCATTTGTGTATTAAAATCCTTACAGTGAGTCTAGCCGGCCTCACCGCTAGGCATGAATAATCAATCATCCTGTCAACAAGACTTGTCAGTAAGCTCAAGTAATGGCTGTTTGCAGTCTTCTGACTACTTTACAACCTACATTTGAGGCGTTACAGATGATAATAATCTCACCTCAATTTCTTTCATCTCTGCCGTGACGCTCTCAATCTCCCTGAACATGCCCATCAGGTCAGTGAAGCCGTGTAGTACCTGCTGTCGCTTGGCCAGCAGGTCAATCAGTTTCTGCCAGTCCCGGGATATCTGGCGTTCCTTCTGGCCGACTCCCTGGCTGGTGTAGTGGTTCTCTGCGATCAGCTCCTTGGCCATGCGATTGAGGTCTTCAAAACGGTCTTTCTGCAATTTCGGAAACGTCATCAAATAGCAGTTGTGAACAAGTCACCACAAGTCAATCACAAGTCTAGTCTCAAGTGAAAAAGGGCATGCTCTTTCCTGTAAGACGAATTTCAGTAAAATAGATGTAAAATTATTTGCTTTATCAAAGTATATATCTTTTTTCAAACTTAAAATCCTTCAATTTCAGTAAAAACGATGTAAAATTATTTGCTTTATCAAGTTTTACAGGGTTTTTTTTCAAACTTCAAACTGGAAAAACTTTGAAGAATACATTTTCGAAAGCAGAAACTTATTGTCCTGATTCAGGGGCCATCTGTTTTCATGGCCGGTTTAAAAAACTTCTCAGCAGTGTTTAAACAGCAGTTTTATAGATGTTTCTATAAAAAATGTATGGAATCTGCCACTGTTTCCACAAAAATATAAGGCCAAACTACTATTAAAATGGGTATATTAACTCTATTTAGTCTAATCATTTACATTCTCACAGGGTTACAAGACTTACTGTCCTTTCTGGTTTAGTTTATTGTCTGATTGTATGTGTATTTAGCGTTTATACAATGTGTTCATGTAATTGTTAATTAATTTAATGGGGATCCCTACTCGACAAGCATTTGCTTTTTGGAGACCCCCATCCACATCTACTTTTCTTTTAGTATAATTATACATGTATTGCGCAGGCACCAATTATGTGGAAAATAAAAGAAATGAATGAATTAAAACCACCCGTGTGATGGGCTCTTGATCAGTAAAATGTCTCAAGGGAATTTATGAATGCACAATCTACTCCAAGCCAGGGCACCAATTGGAGCCATTACTCAATAATTAATGACTCGACTTCAGAGACGTATGACTGCCTTACCCTGGCCATTACGTCTGCAGTGATAGCCTCATGTCTCTTAGTGGCAGCTTCCACAGCAAAGATGTTGTTGCTGGGAATCACGCTTTCCTTCAGGACGCTGGTCATGTCGGCCAACCAAGACTCCCGCAACAGGGCCTGAACCAGAGAAAAAATCAGTAACTAACTTGTTGAATGAATGGGAGGTTAAGTCTCAAATAACTTGTTTTTTTCAAATTTGAGGTGACAGCTATCATGGTAGAGGATGCCCCAAAAACACCAAACCCAAAAATCACCCTTTTTTTCAAAACCTTTTTACAAATACATCGCAAATATTGCTACATATTTGACAAGTTTAACTTATTAGCTTTTCAACAACAACAAAATCTTTCCAATCGAAAAAATGTTTATTGAGATAGGGCCAATTCCATGAAGTGCCACGTTTTCATTGTGTCCACGGTCTTTCATAATTGTCACTTATTAGGAATGAATTGGCTTTGGGGAGACCATACTTTCACTTTCTTTAATTTTTTAATCTCTCTTTATTTGTTTTTTTTTAGTGTTACTTTTTGCAACAATGGTCATTTATTTTTTGGAAGAAATGGTAGTCCTGAAAACGACTGTTTTGTTTAACTTCTTAGATGTTTACTGTTCTACTCTGCCCTCTATTTTCAAGGATGCAAGTTTCGGCCCTTGTTCTTATTGCAGCAGTTAAAGCATCATCAGGCAGTCGCCAATGACAAAACGAAAAAGCGGCACTTTCTCTAATTGGCCATAACTCAATGGAACAATTTTTTTGTTGTTGAAATGCTAATGAACTATTCTTGTCAAATAGGTCCTTACCATCTCTAGTACTGACACAAAGTACCTCTTTTTGTGACAATAACCAGGCTCAACGATTTCATTTTGGCAATTTCGTTTTTGAGTGTTTGCAAATGATCCAATATTCCTTTTAGTTCATCACCTTTCTAGCAAACTTTTCAGCCAATCGTTCCAGCCTCTCCTGTCTGATCAGTTCTTCTCTCAGCGCTATCCCCCTGTCATGCTCAGCTTGCTCCAGCTTCCCCCAACGCCTCTCCACATCACTGACGAGTTTACCCTCAGGAGGGGTGTAGGGGCGGAGGTGGCAGGACCGGACCAGGGCCTGAACGTTGAAGATGGCTACCTCAATGTTGGCACGCTCAGCATACCTAGTAAAAGCATATTCAGCAAGGCATGCAGTTTTGATTTTATGATCTTAAAGAGCAACAATTTTGAACATTTTGAGTTGCAATTTCTTCATGTTCTTTGAAAATTAGAATATTTTGACTTTTGCCTTTGACAAAGGTCTTGCTTGAGACTGAAAAATCATGCCAACTAATTTTCTTAATTTGTATATTTCAGGTCAATTCAGTCTGTAGGCAGTTTGCAGCAGTTTTATTCATTTTCATGACTTTCATTTCCTGCAGTGTTTGGTATAAATGTGACTACTTGCTTTAGCCAGAGTTTATACCCGCAAATAATAGCTATTTGAAGACATTGCAAATGGTATTCATTTTGAAAAAAGTTACAAAAACTAAGGAGCTTTAACATCTGAAGTTAGAATCTTGTCAAGGAATAATAAATATCTGTTTGTAGACATTGCAAAATGGTATTTATTTTGAAAGTGACAAACACACAGGAGCTTTAACATCTGAAGTTAGAATCTTGTCGAGGAATAACAAAAATCTATTTGCAGGCATTGCAAAATGGTGTTCCTTTTGAAAAAGGTGACAAAAACAGAGGAGCTTTAACATCTGAAGTTAGAATCTTGTCAAGGAATAACAAATATCTATTTGTAGACATTGCAAAATGGTATTCATTTTAATGAAGTGACAAAAACAATGGAGCTTTAACATCTGAAGTTAGAATCTTGTCAAGGAATAATAAATATACTTGTAGTCATTGAAAAATGGTATTCATTTTGAAAAAGGTGACAAAAACAGAGGATAATAACATCTGAAGTTAGAATCTTGTCAAAGAATAACGATTGTTTGAAAAAGCTTCCAAATGCAGTCGTTTTTAAAACCCATTTGCATTGAGCAGCCTTCTTTGAGCTTTTTAATTTTGTGTTACTTTAATTCAGTAACAACGAATGCACAAAAAGTTGTTATTAGTCTATTTTAAATAACAAAACTTACTTGGGAGGCTTTTCCACAGTTCTGTATTCTTTGAATTTCTGCATGAGTGTCTGTATGCCGTCTAGCGAGTTAGGGAACTTGTGATCGGCCAGTTGTTGGATCTTGGCTTCGATCCATTCCAGGAGTTGAGACACCATCAGTTCATAGTCCTTCTGCATTTTGTCGACATCCATCAGCTGGCTCACAATCTACAGAAATACAAACAGTTATGGATAAAATAAGTTCCTTTAAGGCCAAAAAAAAGTCTAAGATTTCTGGTATGGAGCTTGCTCCAAAAGTGGTGCAGTGACACAGCTTTTTTTTTTTTTTTTTTTTTCTTCTTCAAATGTCGGCTGATGACTGCAAATGGTGCCCGACTAAATTTAGTGCAAAATATATGGGAGCCAAAAGAGATGCCACATAAAACTTATACTCGGTCGTAACCCCATCTTAAAACACGTTAAATTTTTGCAGCAGCAGGATTCCAGTCAAACCAGTGAGTTTGGCTGTTATTAGACATCATCTTACATTGAAGAAAAAACTTTTTCATTTTGCCGTCGCGCATGGCTAAAGCGACGCGCGCGCTACCAGAAACCGGAGACTTTTTTTTGGCCTAATGCCTACTCTTCTAGATACTTTGGAAATGCACAAGGTTTAGCAGGATGGAGGAAGGTAGTAGAACTCCGCCACTCTATCTTTACATGGGATTTTATTTGATTTATCAAATAAATATACTAATGTACATGTATGAAGAGCAAGGATTTTGTATGTGTACGTTTGCGTGTTCAGGAGTTGTTCACAAGTTGATTCACAAGTTGAGAAGGGTGACAGGCGGCAAACACGCCTTGCCCGCAAAGCGGCCGAGGTGAAGCCCTGTTAATAGATAACAGCTTGGTCCATTAACAGGATCACTGGATCCCGCAAGGGAAATCCAAGGGATCTGATGTAAAATACGATACATTCATGGGCGTTTTACACTGGTTGTGTACTGTGCATGAAAATGGCCAATAGTACATCCTGCTGCTCATATTCAATGACCTACATTTGTATTGTCAATTGTTAATGGTGGATCAAGCAGGACCGGGATCAAGAGTAAACGCAGCACAGTTCATTTGTGGTTAGCTTTCCAATGGTTTTGTTATCCTTGCAGGACCTGATCCCCTTTTGCAGGATTCAGCATGAATGCAGCAAATTCAAGTGGAAAACAGAGCAAGGCCGGATCCAGGACAATATTTTTGAGGGGCCAAGAAGGCTTAGGTCAAAAAAAAAAAAGTCTCCGGTTTCTGGTATGCGCGCGCGTAGCCGTAGCCATGTGCGTCGGCAAAATGAAAAAGTTTTTTTTTCAATGAAAGATGATGTCTCAAAACCGCCAAACTCACTGGTTTGACTGGAATCCTGCTGCTGCACAATTTTAACATGTTTTTAAATTGGGTTATGGTCGAGAATAAGCTTTATGTGGCCTCTCTGGACTCCCATATATTTGCACTAAGTTTAGTCGGGCACCATTTGCAGTTATCAGCACACATTTGAAGCAAAAAAATCAGGTAAAAAAAAAAAAAGCCGCGTCGTCGCACCACTTTTTGGGCAAGCTCCATACCAGAAACCGGAGACTTTTTTTTTTGGCCTTAAGTATTTTTTTTTTTCAAAAAGGGGAAGGGGATTAAATATGTGCACTTTTTCCACATTTTAATATTAAAACTAAGAGGTATGTGTGGCTGAAGGCTTGCGAGGGAGATACGTAAGATTTTAAATCATTTCCTGAAAATTTAAGACAAAAAAGTGTCTTCACTCCTCCGATTAAAATAAAATAATTGTTGGCGCCCCCCCCCCCCACCCACCAATGATACAGACTGAATACAAGCAAGCTTATTTGTCTCACCTTGGCTATTCTCTTGCCTCCTGTTTTCTCCGTCTTCATCTTTGCAAAGTAGTGGTAGTAAGATGCCACATAGGTCATGACGGACTTCTCATCGGGTTTCTCGACATCCACATCTGACGAAAATACGAAATTATTAATGTTATTGCATTTCTTTTTTGAGAAAAGGGTAACTCAGTGAAGAGGAATTGTAAATCAATTGCCAAAACAAACTGAGTGTTAGTACAAGACAGGACTTGAATTGTATTCCCCTAATACAGTACGGTTTTCAAGGTACTGCATGCGTGTAAGGTATGCTCGGATTTGCCTGGGTAATGCTGCCTAAGTTCCCAAGCCTGTACTTGATTCATGTCATGGATACTACACTTGTACATAAGGGGAACAAAATGCAAACCCAGTCTTGGACCAAGACTACAAGAAATCCAGAGAGAAAAAAATAGAGAGATGTTCAGTTTTAGAGTTGGAAGGAAAACCCTAGCATGTCGGTTTGTTTGTTGGTGTTGTTGTTGTTGTTGTTGTTGTTTTAACCTTAAAGCATCAGTTGATTTGGATGGGATTTGAATCTAGCAGAATATCTTTTAAACCACCTATTCTCAAATTCTCCATTCACTTCAAAGGATGTTAATTTCATTTAAAACACTTTGAGAAAAGAAATCTCTGCGTAAAAGTACCTATTCTTCACAGGTTTCATATATTTAATTTAGGTTCCCAAACATTTTAATGTCATTGTTGATGCTAGGTCCTCGTTTGTTTTGCCCTAACTATTTACCTTCAGCATCTAGGAGATCAGAAATGCCTAACTGTTGCTTAGCCACGGTGAAGGCTGTATTCAGGTTCTCCTCATTGCTCCTGCGAATCAGACTCTCAAAGGGCACTAGCTCCGGTCTGCGATTAAAACAAAAACAAGACAAGGCAAGCCTAGTCAAACTGGTCCAAGAATTCTCCTCAATTGGGTCAGAATGGCTCTTCATTGGAAGTCTGTCCATGCATCTGGGCCCAATTACATGGCTCTGCTAACCACAGAATTACGCACTTATGATCACCATATTGTGCTAACCGCGCTAGCATAAAAATTCTGTGCTAACCCTGTAAGCACATGATCCTTAGTTGCGCGATGCACGCATGGGCAGAAGCCAAAATTCCTTGCTAATCCATGAAATACGCTTACCGTAAGCACGGAACTTTCTGCTATAGTAAGCATGGATTTATCGCTAACGGTAGGCAGAGCCAAGAAATTGGGCCCTGGTCTATCATCAGTGCGCAGGAATTAGCCCATTCATTGATGTTACAGGTTGCACATTACAACAACGTGATCTTCTTTTGCTTACCGTAAGCAAAGAATTTTCTGCTATAGTAAGCATGGATTTATGGCTAACGGTAAGCAGAGCCAAGAAATTGGGTCCGGGTCTATACAGTGGGCAGGAATTAGCCCATATATTGGTGTTACAGGTTATACATTGTATAGAATCCCACATGATACATTTTAATAGCATATGCCAGGGTTCACAGGTGATAGTCAGTCAGTGAGTGAGAAGGAGTCCAGGCTGGGTCTCTGGGACCAGCAACAAGGAGAAACACCCTCATGTGCTTGTTTTCTATACAAGAGAGATTATCTTCCAACAAGTTGTCTTAAAAGAAATAAGGGAACATGCTAAATAATGGTCTGTTAAAACAAAGCATAAAAAATGAACACAAACGTCAGTTATGCCATCATATTGCAAGTGTTCCCACTTCAAATTGCAAAGGTTGAACACAAATTGGGAAATGATAAATTTAGAGGCAACTGTTTCTTAATATTAAATTTGCTTCACATTTGTGTGGAGTAGGAAGAAGCGTTGAAATGTAATAAACCATTACATAGATACACTAATGCCTTGGAGAGCATTTGATTCTGTGCCTCATTGTCATTTTTTCATACCCACGATCACACTGTCATACTCTAAACTGCAGGTCCAAATAAACTTCAACTCTTAGGTCTCTCTCAAATGACGTCACTTCTTACAGATTGTTATGTGCATCAACATTTGGGCGTCAAATTTCGAGCAACACGCACACATTTAGAACATTTTGCATGCTGCGTGCACACGCACCTGATGGCGTTGAATACGCAGCTGTAATTTTCCTACGAAAATGGCGTCCTATGAGAGATAGACTTGACTAGTCTTGTTGACAGGATGATTGATTATCCATGCCCTGCGACCAGGCCAGCTGGACTCACTATAAGAATTGTATTACAAAACATGTGGTTCTTGTCAAAGGGCTGGTGTTTGGCTTGGATTTTCAGGGTCAGTAGTTCAAGCTACCCCTGTACTTCAAAAGGTGCACTCACAATGTTTGAATTCAGGAACTTCTGAAATATTCAATTTTTTGACTGAAAAAAATTGATTTAAAACATTAAGAAAACCGAACTTGATTTTAGAACCCGATCTCACAGCGGAGGGACCAATCATCATGCAGAAGTTCATGCATGTCAGATTTTGTCAGACATTTGGCTATACACAATCACAGCTGTGATTGGTCAAAAACATCAAGGGGCGGAGCTTAATGGATTCATCAAGTAGACTGAAATATAAACTTCTACACATTAACACAGTCACCTTACCATTTCTGAACTTACAACTGAAGATACTTCTGAGGTTTCATACACATGTGAGTCACACGCACATTATTCTGTAGTTTCCTATTTCTGATACTGTGAAGATTAGCATGTTTGGATGACATGTCTTTCACTTTCATTTTCATTGAAGCAGTTTCAGCAGCGGCACTGGTAATCTGTAATTCCTTGTTTCTTTGTTGACAATGGACTCGGAACATTACATGTCATTCATTACCTCGGGACATACAGGTACATTTAGGCCACGAAGTTGCACTTTCACATTTCCTTAAACATTGTTAAATAATAAAAGGGCCTTGGGGAATCACATACATGTATCGATCTCATTGAAAAAAAAATTATCGGGTTATAAAATAAACAACTGGGACTTTTCACCCGATTAACACACTATACATGTAGCTCAATTAAGTTTCAAAATAACTATTTTGTAAAATAAATTTTCATCTGTTAAATAATCAATCTCAATCAAAGAAGTAATGAGAACAAAAAGTCAACATATAAGTAATATGGAAACAGATTCATCCAAAGAAAGTAGATTACAAAAAAGAAAATTATGTAACCTTGGATTTGGGGCCCAATTTATTAAAACCACCAAAAACTTTCACTAAATGTATGTATCTGATATTAATAGCCTGTACGCTGAATATTGCACCAAGTTTATTATTTAGGGTAAAGCGTTTTGTAAATAAAAAAGCTATGAAAATTGTCTAAGGGAACAGAAACACTTGTTAATTATTGAGAGCGGTTACAGTACATGTACTGTACTAATTGTTCATGTCTTGATTTGATCTATTTTTGTATTGGGTTTAAATTTGCCCTTCACTGATGTAACACTGTGTACTCAGTGTTGTGCGAGCGCTTGCCTGAATAAACTCACAAGCTTACTCGGTGGAGCTTGAACTCAAGACCTCCTGCTTACTAGTGCAGATGTAGATGAAAATAGTGTGAAAATATGAAAATTCAAGTGACGTCATCATGTGACATGTGACGTCACATTAAAAGTACATATTTTGAAGGCCTATATCTATAGAACAACATGTTCGATTGGGTTGAAAGTTGGTATGTACCTAGACCAGGATGTGTTATCATAGATGAAAATTGAAGTGAGGTCACGATGATGTCATCAAGTGACATGTGACGGCATATTAAAGTGCATATTTTGAAGGCTACAGAACTGCATTGGTCCTGATTACTCTACCGCACATGTCCTATTAGTCTTACATGACATAAAAATAATATAATAATAAAAATATAAAATTACCGGAACAGCTGTATGTTCATACACAAACGTAAGTAAATCTAGTTATGTCCTATGTTTCTGCTGGTCCTGGTATTGCATGTATATTCCTTTATTAAACTATAGTCTATGGAAAGGGAGATGGAGAGAAGCCCAAGGCTTAATTTTTTCAGTTACTCTCCATGCAACGGAAGATTGAATAGTTTATAGGCAATTACATATACATCTTTGTGTATTACTAATTAATTTTTGGAATTTTGTAATAGCCGTCAGAATTGATATTAGGGTTTTTGTAAAGATGAACAAGGAAATTGACTGGAGCAGGGTTTGAACCTGCGACCTCTGGATTGCCGTTCCGGTGACTCTACCAACTAAGCTATCCAGCCCTATGTTTTGTCAATATTCTTGTTCAAGGGGCGCCACAAACCATGTGCCATTAAATTAACCACACAATTCATTTACAAGAAAAAAGTTAAAGTGCACGTACCTGTGGACATGAATCAATGCATTAAACGCTAGTCCAGTTCTCCAACTAGTAGTGAAATTTTTTATGTTGACACCAGAGTACCTGTCAATCGGATTAAACAAGATGACATTTTCAAGGTATTGAATAATTTGTTGCAGTGACCTGATATGATGGCGTACACGTCAAGTTTATGGTGGTACTGTTTACTCTAGAGCTATCTTTACACTTAAGAATAATGTGCTCACTCAAATTGCAAACAAGAAATTTTATAAGTTTAGTGAAAGTGCAAGAAAAACCTGATGATAGATTACACAAGTAGAAGTCATACGTACAAGAAAAATATGACACCTTATAATGATCTAAGCGGGTTTAAGTTGCGTTCCCCACGCTATTTTCAAGTTCCATCCCGAAAAATACAATCCTTTTCTAAATTGATATTTTTCTAGCAGTACAAAACTTATTAACTTTTGAATGAGACATCGACCGAAAAAAAATCGGACCAAGTTTAGTTAAATTACTTTACAATTTGGAATTATTGGGGGCCAGCCAATAATTCCATTCTTGCAGGGCGTCGCTAATGTACGGACTGGGAGCCAGTCTGCTCGCAAAACAAATCTGTTTGTGCCCGAAACAATTTTTTTTTTCCAGAGGGTTGCAGACGTCCAAAAAAAGGGGGGGGGGAGAATGAGATTTTTGGTCAGAATAAAACATACCTGCACGGGTTGAAAATTTATTATTAGAAAAAAATTGAATTTGTTGAAGAGCACGGGAAACGCAACTTTAAGAACTGTGGCCACCATTGTCCCTTACCCTGCAGTCTTTCTCTGGCACCACAGCAATAATGCCTCCTTGGCTGAACGCTTCTCTGTACTGCCTTCGTCCTGATTAGGAAATTAAAAAATGACCAAAACATTTGTTACACCACCATAGTTTTAAGGGTACAGAAGTGGTGGGGGTAGGTAAGTGGTAGGGGTAGGTAAGTGGTGGGGGTAGGTAAGTGGTGGGGGTAGGTAAGTGGTGGGGGTAGGTAAGTGGTGGGGGTAGGTAAGTGGTGGGGGTAGGTAAGTGGTGGGGGTAGGTGGGTGGTGGGGGTAGGTGGGAGGGGGAGGTTTGCTGGCATTGGGGTATCATTTCATTTTGTTGCAGCCTTGCAATTCTGAGAAGCACTCCTTACTTGGAGCACAAACAAAATCATTTGAATTGCCACAGCAATTTTGGCAATTTTTTTGTGTACGATCATATGGAGGCGTCTGTGTGAAGTCAATGGTATAAGGTAGTAATTGATGGTTTTGGGTGGGTTTTTTTCCTCATATTTCCCATAAAAAAAATTAGGGTAGGGGCTGTCAGAATAGGGTAGGTAGGGAAACCGGAAGCAGAAATATCTTTTTTTGGCCTAATAAAAGTTGCTTTGAAATTGCATTGTATTACATTGTGTTTATTCACTGAAGAATCAACAAACCATAGAGTGCTCCAGCAGTTTCAGGTGCTACAGTGAGTTACAGGCTGGGCGGTTTCGCACGCCACAGTGACTAACAGGTTAAAATTATTGATGACAGGAGTTTTAAATACATTTATTTTATAGTTTTGTAAATTGCTGTAGAAACACTGGTGATTCTGGCTGTGATGCCTTCTCGGTAATAGAAAAGTGTTAAATTGTACTCAGTACACAACAAGACCATCCTGACTTTTTGGTCACAGAAATCACTTCAACACCACTGAATTATCTGTACTCAGTCACTATGTCGACTGGATGTTTCTGCCTCTGGCTTTCCTCCCAATTATTACAGGGGAGTCAGGTTGGCGTAGCAGTTCTTTCCTCGCCTTCCACTCCTGTGACCGGGTTTGAATGCCCCATGGGCCAATACATGGATTGGGTTTGTCATGTTTGTGGTCCCCTGATTCTGTGGGTTTTCCCAAGAACATAATTCTAGAACGTAATTTCTTCTCATTGTCTTCTCCCTACAGGTTTCTTCAGGCTTGCGAGCTACAGTGCCTAGGGAACTTTTGAAGAATCCTTGGTTTCATTACCAGAAATGATTAATAATAATAATAATAACGTAAGCACCCAATTGTGAAGGATTTGGTGGCTAGATTCACACCTCCAAAAACTATGCTTCGACACTACAGGAAACACTACATGTGATTTAAAAGCAGGCTTGTTTTCTACATCCTGTTTATAGACAACAGTTATCAATATATTATACAACGCCTGAATAAATCCCTGGCATCTGATTGCTCGGTCGTTGATCACATGTCATTGAATTATTCGTCCCAAATCCACGGGCCGGCCGCACTGCAAATATAGAAGTTCCGTTTCAGGGTAAATGAAAGTTCCATTGCACGGTCACACTTTCGGAAGCTCTGACCAATCGGATGACAAGGATTTATTCAGGTGTTGTATAAAACAAATACTGAATGTTTCACATTCGTGCAATGGAAAGAATAAATTCATTCGGTGACAGGCTTCCATCGTTCCATCTGTCACCTCATGAAATTATTCTTACCATTGCACTCATAATCGTTCATTATTTGTATATATTATCATTCTTGTGTGTATCAGTATATTCTATAGAATATCCCATTTTCATTAAAGGTATAGTCCATCATTTGTAATTTGTGCATTTTGTTCATTTGAAGCAACAAAAGTGCTCAAGATCTAAAGAAGGGTGCTGAACAGCTAACCTGATGAAGTTTCGAGAAAAATAACACTCTGTGATCTCGATTTCAAATCAAAAGTTGCTGAACCATGTTTTGAATTGGGCCTGAATTCAGCATCCGAGACACGTTGTCACTGAGCCGATTGCAGTTACGCGCTGTCGCGCACTGATCCGACGAATAATAGCAACCGCGCGTGCGTGTGCGTCGTGCCAATGCTTGCGCGCGCTTCGCCGAATAACAAAACGAACTACTAACTTGAATTTCCTACGGTGCTCCTCAAGAAGCGTTGGAAAGGCCTTCTTTCATTGATTTCTTCAAAATGACAGCTTGTCAGAAAGAATAATTTCACAGGGAGTTTAGTCCATTTACTATCTTTCAATTAAGTATGTTTTTCACCAATAATTACGCCAGTTACTTTTTGGATAGCTGCAAATGATGGACTCTGGCTTTAACCCTCTAAAAAATAAACATGCCTTTCAGTGGCAATGGCATATACATGTGCAATCCATGCACCTTACCTCAATTTGTATGTCCTGAATCTGAAAGCGAAGGATGATGGTCCACATCAGACCCAACGTCAGCCGTGGGTTGCCGTCCACAATATCCTCAGACCCAATGCTCTCCAAGCGTACCTTATATACACACAAAATGAAAGCGAATATAAAGCTAATGTAAACCACTCAAATGCTAAGTACGTGGCGATAGAAATTATTTTAAGTTCAATGATTCATGGACATGTGCGTCACATGTTTAAACTTAAGATTTTTTTTTGACACTTTGGTCCGATTCAATTTCTGTGACTGTTCAAATTATGTTTCTGTGCAGGTTTACCTCGAGAACAGTTCAAGGGAGCAAAACGAAAGGAAATTGGAACACTACATGTAGTTTTGTTACCTTACAACAGACCATGTGTATATTAAGCACTTAAAATGAAGAATGGAAGTTTACATATGAAGCCCTCATTTATCCAGGATAATTAAAGTTGGTTCATACTTGGTGCAGTAGCAAGTATAGATTGCACATTTGTGACACCAAGTTGAAGTTATGGCAGTATTCGCTGCGTGAACATTGCAAAAGTGTAGCTGTGAATGCATCAAATTTGCTTCGTATGCGTTCGCATGGAGGATTGATTTGCCTTATCCGTAAAGTTGCATTCCCATGCTATTTTTTTTTTTTTTAATGATTTGTTTTTTAAGCTCTGGCAGGAGTTTCTACATGTCACTTGGTGGTCGGTCGGTCGGTCGGAGAGTCTGTCTGTCTGTCTGTCCCCGGAAAATGGACCAAAAGTATGGTGTTCCATGTGTGCCATTGGCATCGCATTTTTCGGCGTCGCATTTTTCAGCTCTGGCAGGGATCGTTTTGATCGATTTCATGCAAGACTTCTTGCAACACAGCCAGGGCTAATTGTGCACTCGCACTTTTGATAATTTTCCTAGCAATGTCAAAGTTAAACATTTCTGAGTGAGACATCAAATAAAACTAGAACGGCGAAGCCGCCATGGCTCGCTGTCCAAGGCAGGAAGGGAGGCTGAAGGTAGGGTTGAGGATGGGCATGAAGGAAGGGGATCAGGATTCTTGTTGATGTGCCTAGGTGTAGGGGTCAGTTTTTAAATGTCAACATAAAAAGTTAGGCGAGCCATCAGATAACAGACCGTTCGGGTACCGGGTCCGGTATGCTAATTTCTTTCGCCCCAATCGGTATGAAGCCAGAAGCCACCCAGTCACTGAAGCGTGACGCCCCAATCAGTCCAAACTGGTGATTCAGTGTTTCACAATAGGCAAGTCTAGCCATTGGTCTAGCCATTGGTCCCAATCCCTTCAACATACTGGGCGGGCTCAACCCCGAACGGTCTGGGGAGGGATTCTAATTTGAGGGCTTGCCTTAACAGATTACCTAATAAAAACATATGTATATGTACAAACCCTAACTCCAACCCTATACCCCACCCCACCCCACCCCACCCCACCCCACCCCACCCCCCCCCCACCCCACCCCCCACCCCACCCCACCCCACCCCACCCCACCCCACCCCACCCCACCCCACCCCACCCCACCCCACCCCACCCCACCCCACCCCCCACCCCACCCCACCCCACCCCACCCCACCCCACCCCCCACCCCACCCCACCCACCCCACCCCACCCCACCCCACCCCACCCCACCCCACCCCACCCCACCCCACCCCACCCCACCCCACCCCACCCCACCCCACCCCACCCCACCCCACCCCACCCACCCCACCCCCACCCCACCCCACCCACCCCACCCCACCCCACCCCACCCCACCCCACCCCACCCCACCCCACCCACCCCACCCCACCCACCCACCCCCCACCCCACCCCACCCCACCCCACCCACCCCACCCCACCCCACCCCACCCCACCCCACCCCACCCCACCCCACCCCCCACCCCACCCCACCCCACCCCACCCACCCCACCCCACCCCACCCCACCCCACCCCACCCCACCCCACCCCACCCCACCCCACCCCACCCCACCCCACCCCACCCCACCCCACCCCACCCCACCCCACCCACCCCACCCCACCCCACCCCACCCCACCCCATCCCATCCCTACTCCAACCCCATAAACTAAACGATCAAACCAGAAGCTCATGCACATCCCCAAAATGCATAGTGTACATGTACATGTTATACCGGTATACACACACGTACATGTTTTACCAGTATACATGTACATGTAACAATTAAAAACTTTAACATTTCCTTGAATTAAAATTCCTCAATAAAGTCATAAAATTTACTGCAATGATATGAACCTAACTGAAGTTATAAAGATGATACATGACAACTGCATTTAATTTTTTTCCCCAAGTTAACTAGAACCAAAAACATCAACATTTTTATCTGAACGCGGACGGCCGGACAGACGGACGGACGGACGGACGGACGGACGGCCCCCCGACGGGCGCCCGGACAGACGGACGGAAATTGGTATTACATAGGCTCGCATCTGCTTCGCAGCTCGCCAAAAAATCCTCAGATGTTTAGTTCTTCGCAAACTTCAAATTATTGGCTGCCAGACAATAATTCGGCTCACGCAGGGCAGGTAATTTTGTGCGCCAAATGAAAGCCTGTTTTCAGAGTGTTTCCAACGTCCGAAATTGGAATAATGGAATAATAAAACAGAACATACAAATTGAAAATTCGTGAGAATAAAAATCCATTTTTGAAAAACACTGGATATGCAACTTAAAAACAAACGTTCATCGGTCTCACTTTTGTGGAGAGGAATGTAAGCGCTTTGCCAACGTTTTCCATCTTCTGCACCCTGAGGGCGCCCTTATTCGGTCGGCCCAGCTTCTCCCCGGAGATGATCTCCAGCAGCTTGAGGAGAACTTTGCCATCTTGTAGGTCCACAAAGAGATCCTTCACACGCAGGTTTGCCTTGGTTACGAGAAATCAAACAAGAATCATAATAATGTACTCATCCAGCACTCAACCGATCCCGCAAGCTCGGTGGTGGAGTGGTAAAACGTCTGCACTAGAAAGCAGGAGGTCGTGGGTTCGAGTCCCACCCGAGTGAGTTTTTCTCACTTTCAATCGGGAAGTAACACCCTGAGTATACAGTGATCATACGTCGGTTAAGGGCAAAACCTACATGTAATATTGATTTACATCACCCCGACGCAATTCCATCCTACACTCTATGTGTGTTCCAGTCAGTATTATACCACATCGCCCACAGATTCTGTATCTTGATTGGCAGAGAGCAAGTCATATGGTATCCCCTTTTTTTTTCTCTCTTGCTGTGCACGGCCAAAAGACTATTACGCATACCAACCAAAGTACTATATATATAGCAACCAGTATGCATGTGTGATGTGCGCATTGCACGTTGCGCATTTTTTCCCCAAGCGTTGGGTTCAAACATTTCGTGACGGGGTACTTTGGAAAAGCGCAAGTCAATGTTCAACAAATTTCATATTGAAATAGAAGTACATTTTAATTGTATTTAGATGAAATTAATCAGTGCTCTCTTAAACTCAAGCAGAATCTGTGGGAGAGGTGTTATAGACCAAATACTGACTGCTTTATCTCGTGGTGTGGTAAAACTAACCTCCCTCGGTGATCCACGGAGTGTTCCATTTCCCGCAGTTACGCCTCAGAAAAACCGAATGCTCCATGGATCACCTCGGGAGGCTTTACTTCATCACTTGAAGCAGTCAATATATGTAAACTACATGTACATACTCAGAGTACCAAAAAATCAGGGGAAACTGAGGATATGAGATTTGCAGGTTTGCATGGTGGAAAGATACTAAGACAAGATAAGTTTGCGGTAGCACCATGTGAATAAATCTCTTTTGTGAGTATGTATGGTTCTCTCTATAAAGATAGGGCTGAATTATAAGATATTTCAGAACCACACATACTCACAAAAGAGATTCATTCACATGGTGCTACCGCAAACTTATCTTGTCTTAAAACTGAGGATATGCCTTTTTTTTAACTTACCTTTTCTAAGTATGAGTTGACCCACTTAGTAAAGGTCTTCTTTTGTATCTTGACACGCTCTTCCTGTAAGGCCTGGATGCGACCCTTCTCAAAGGATGATGCAGCTTGAGCTGGAGACTGGTTGTTGGCCATTCTGCATTTGAGAGAAAAGGTACATGTAGTAAATACTGACAATACATTAATGTAAACTAGGAAATTTTACACCTGTTTCAAAGGTATTTACTCTTGACATGTTTCTGTACAAATTTATGAGCACTTTCCTTTTCCCAAAATACACTTTCAATTTCAAAGTGAAGGGCATGAACAAAGGCAGTTTTAAAACAAAAAAACAAACTATAGGCCTACCACCACGTCCATCAATTTTCCATGTGCTGTATTTTTTTAAACAACACCTAGCGGGAATTGATGGTTTCTTGGCAAAAGCGGAAAGGTTTGAGAAGAGTTTGTTCCACATTTTTCTATTCTGGATTGTACGATGTATGTATGTGAAAAGTGATGACTAAAACTACTTCAAAAAATAAGGGAAGTGATGGGCGACGAGGAAGGGGGGGGGTTAAGGTTTAACTCCCCCCACCCCCAGTATCCCCGTCCCAGACCCCCAAAATGTATCAAAAGAGGGGAAGCGAGGGGGAAGAAAGGGGGAGGGGGCGAAGTGGGGATGGGGCGAAGTAGTTAGGGGCGAAGTGACATGGGGCGAAGTGGAAATGGGGCGAAGTGTCCGACAAGCCTCTTAAACCATCAGACTCAGGCCGTTTCTCAAACATGGCTTTATCTCCATTTCACAATCGCCTGGCAAATTGAAATTTCAAACTATCAACCCTCGATACAAAAATGTATACAGTTAATTAACAGGCACGTATCGGCTTCTCTGAATATGTAACTTTGTAAAGCACCACCTCCATTTCAACATGTTTTTGTTCGACAAATAACTTTTAGGCAGTGAATATTTGACCGTGAACCGGTCTCCGATGTTTTGTGCCCTTTTTCCGACACGGCACTGAATGTGTAGGCCCTACAGTGAGTGTTTTTTTTTACTTAGAAATTTTGACCGTGGCAAATCTTCATCTTGTTCCATGCTTTCATTGTCGTTGTGACTTCGTATTCACGAGATGGGAATCAGACCTAATGCAATTTTGGACTCTATTTTCCTTTAATAAAAAAAAAAATCCTCCAGATTGATGAATCAAAAAAAGAAAATGACATAAATCTGCAATTAAATGTAGGATTCGATTTAAAACAATAAAATCGTACAATTCTTCTTTTTGGGACACAAAAAATAAAATTTAAAAAACAATGCCTAGGCAGGCTCGAGCTCGAGCAGTGTGCTTGTTACTGTTAGGGGGGCGGGCTGTCCACTGGCCACACGTTTGCTTTTGGCAATTTAATCACATGGTGTAAGCCCACTTGCATACACTAATGAGGGCGCTATACGATCTGCCGGCTTAAAGGGAATATACATCATTTGCTTTTGCTGTAATTTTCAGAAATGGATGGAATTGGGGGGGTTGGAAATATATACTGTAGCAAATATAGTTATACTGACTTTTTGAGGTTTTGGGTTCGAAAATGCTATAAAAAAAAAAAAAAAATCATTTTCCTGTAGTCTGGTTCCCTGACTCCATATAAGAAGAAACATAGCAGTTTACATACATTGGGGAATTGTAAGGTCAGGGAACCAGTCTAGCAGGATTGTACCCGTTCATAGGTGTGTAATCGATTGCAAACAAGTGCGATGGTCAATTGGGGCCAGTATATGAAAACAAGCCAGTTTTTTTCCAACGCTGGTCAGCCGACCAGCGTTGGAAATTGATGCAAAAATACCACTTTTCTTGAAAATGACAGTATACCAGGTGCCATGATTTTACAGGATGCTTTACACTGTCCTTCACTAACAGTCCAGCAAGGTATTTCAAAATGATTTGGTAGTTTTATTTTTTGATGTTTGCAAATGTTGTATTTTCCCTTTAAGAACGAAAAAAAGCAACACCGGTTCACCGCTATTTAAACAGTTAATCACTCCAACTAAAGTCCAAGTTATATTTTGCCAATATTTTTCACGTGCCAAATATATAGTCGTGTTCCTTAACGTGGCGCACTTCGAAGCTTACCCAACTTTCCTCGTGTAGTGTTGCCAAACCTCTTTGTTGATAAACCTCAAATTCATGCAGTGAAATACTGGTACTTTTACCTTTTTAATGCTTGCTATTTAACCTCTGTGACCAATTTCGGTTTCATAAAATTTAATCCGAAATGCAAAAACGGTCGCGTCCGGAAATTGGGCACAAATTGGCGGAGTGTTCCCTAACGTGGCGCACTTGAATAAATCTCGGAAAATTCCAAATTAACATTTAAGAATTTCTGTAAACTTGATAAATTCTGATAAATCATCATTATCTTTACTTACAAACCCAGCCAGATGTTTGTCAGAAAATTATTTTCTTATTTTTCGGGGCATTTTCAAAGGGTTCACTTTGCACTTGAAAATAAAATCGGAAAGTTTCGCCAAAATAATTTTTTCTTTTAACTTTGTAACGGGTAGGCCTAAATAAACTCGCGATTTATGAACGGGAGAACTTGATGAAATTTCACTTTCTGCGAGATTTCAGTTAAAACTTTTGCTCTAGCTAGGCGCTACAGGCGAAAAATCAAAGTGCGCCACGTTAGGGGCCGCGCCACGTTAGGATACATCAACAATACTTGATTAAGTACTGATCGTTCCCATCATGCTTCGTAAATTTACCTCCATCGCCAACAGGATTACACGATCGATCAACTTTTGTCATGATCGTACTTCTATTAGAAGCCACCCAGTGTGCCTTCTACTACTAGCACTATCATTTTTGGGGTCTTCGTAACGCATAGCCCATTGGATTTGGTTGAGCCCCGGCCGTGATAGAGGAATTACTTTCTGCGCAAATTCATCTTATAATAATATTTATAAATCTATAATTCCACTTTCACAAATAAAAATTTCCCCAAAAAGCTTCCCTGGTTAATTATAACTCGTCCATTCCATTACGGGACCCACTGGCACTATTTAGAATTAGAAGGCACCTCGTGTACTATGCCCACTAGTGTTGCGTAGGCCCCTACCAATACCAGCTGAGCTAGCCGGAGCCAGCCACACTGCACTGACCATGCACTGACTAAGTTTGAAATCCAACCAACATTGTGCGTCAAATTTGCGACCAAAACAGTATTTACAATACTACTTACTAGCCTAAATTCATCCCAGAAAAGCAAGTAGCCTTAAAATTACGAACCTCTTCACATGTCCTTTCCGATTCGTTGAAATCCCATTATATCCACTTTTCAATTTCAGATAAACAACTCAGTCCAACTCCAACACAGGCTGAACTTCAAACCTAAAGAATGTAAACACGCGAGATTCAACGTGCGTGTACTCGATCGCATAGTTCTCCCATTCAAAATGGCCGTCAGCCAAATTCTTCAGCAAACCCCTTTATTATGCAAATGAACCCAGGGAACCATCTAACAGGTGTTTCGCCTAAAATCGATATCCGAACAATTGGATCCCACATTGTCCTTAATCAAAAATTATTATTAATGCATTAATTGCTTCAGAAAGCCACAGATATAAACCGACAACTCCATGCATGTTGAACAAGTGCCGATTTACAGGAATTGCCGCTGCCATAGCAACGTGAAGCGTTAAGTGATATCGTTTGTATGCAGCGTTTTCATGTTCATTCAACCGTGGTCTTGTCATACAGCGCGGTGTATCGACCACAATGGTTGCATGGTGAATCATAGATGTTACTGATATTATTATTACTGTTAAGAGCGAATTACTCCATTCAATGCATATAATTATAATTCAGTTATCGTCTTCTTGAGAGGTGTGACTTTTCCCTTTCGGATTAAAACTTAGTCGAAATCATCTGGTGTTTCATAAGCCTGGGCGGCTATATAATTCTGTGTATGTGAATTATTTCAATGTATAACTTTAATCGCGATACCCGCGAATTATTCAATAATGGTTTTATAGGCTTTATTCTACTTCAATGTTCTACTGTCAATATTGTGATGTAGTTCGCTGCACAAGTATAATATAAATAAAGCTCTCACCGTGCGAGTTTCATCCACACAAAAATGGTTTTTAAATTGACATATTTCTAGTAATACAGATATTCCCTTTCTAATGAGACATCGAACAAACAAAATATGCCCACTTTTATTTATTGAATATTTAGTTTATACGTTTCCTTATCAATAAATATTTACTTCTGTTTGTGCAACAACAACCCGACATGAAATTTTTTTTCAGATGGTTGAAAACGTCGATTATAGAAAAAAAATAGCATTATCCATTTATTTGGAAAAAAAATGTAAAATTTGTTCGGACAAAAATGGAATATGTTGAAGAGCACGGTAGACAACTTTAATCATTTTACCGTCCGGGTCGCAATAGAATAAAATTTGTATTTAAAAATAAAAATATATCATATCCATCGTTATATTGCCTAAAACTTTTTTCTGATGTTTTTAATGAAAAACTTGCCCTATCCTCGCAGATTTTAGTAGAACTCGAGGCTTTCAAAAACTGACTTCAAAAATCTGCTCCATTCTGGACCTGCCACGCTCAGGCACCAAGAGGGCGCAAATCCATTTTATGGTCACCACCAGGACCGTGTTTTGCCGGCAGCCCTTGAACTGGAACATGTTTCTGGTTTGGAACCGTTGGGGCACTTCGGTTACGCTGAAATGACATCATTGTTCCGATCAGTTGAAGTTGAACTCGCTTACGTTTCAGTGGCGGAATGATCGACAGAGCCTCCCCCCTCTCCGTTTTCTCGAAAAAAAAAAGAAAATGTCGGTGGTGACAACATATATGACAACAATCCGTCACACCGTCCCCTCCGCTCTGCCGAAAAAAAAAAAATGTCGTAGATGACAACCTGGGGCTCGAACCACCAACCCCGCGATTAAAGATCTGAGAACGGTACTCTACCGACTCAACCTCGTCCCCAGTGCTTACTTTATTTCCAACCGCGTTTCCAATAGTAAACCCTGGATAGGAAACTTTCTTCCTGTATCCTGATTGGATACCGCAATTGGCTAGTAATGGATTTTTATCGTGTACTTGGTGCTATATATTCACAACGTGCAGTAAGTGTTTTCGCGATCATTCGTCCACGCCTTCTCGAAAATACTAATTTCCTTTCCAATTTGCTCATATTAATATGAAATATGATACTGCATGTTGTCTCGATAAGATCGTAACAGTTTGATTTCAAAAATCGTGTTTTCGTAACTCACGCCGTGCTCGCGCTGCTACGAATTGACTCTGTTTTTACCCCAGACACCGCATACAAAAACAAACGCTAATGTGTAACGCATATCCAGGCACCAGACTGTTCCTCATTTGCATACGTGTGCAAAAATTAATGATTATGCAAGGGTAATTACCTGAAGTATAATCGTGATTATACAAGTCCTCTGGAGGTGAGAATCAATAGGCGTTCTACTCTGACTACCGGCGGAGCACCAGGCTTGAAAACTTATGACCTCCACTTCCTGTCCTGACCTCTGAACTCCGACCTCTTCTCATAAGGCCTTGTTCTTGGGGAGGGTCACTCAACACTCACTAGTGACAACTACAGGGTGGGTAAAATTCTTCAAACTCAAAGAGTAAGTTAAATATATACATGTAGAGGTAAAACCTCAACTACTAATATTGTTACAAAACTTGTAACTCGAGTAAACACTTAATAACCAACAGGTATAGCAAGGATAAAACATGCCTAAAAAAGGAAGAACTTGTTAACAAAATCTCAAACATAATTATATACACTGAATATCTTACTGGTATCCACAAACAAACTCAAATGAGAATCATTTGAGGGTGAGAATCAAGGGCTTGGGATACTGACAAATACACTCACTTGAGTTACTGGGTGGGAATTGATTCTCACCTCCAGAGGACTTGTATAATCACGATTATACTTCAGGTAATTACCCTTGCATAATCATTAATTATACTGCGTCCTCTTACGGCTCGAATCAATAGGCGACTTTGAAGTCACCCCACGTAGCACAGTCTTTGCAACCACTGAGGTTGCTGTAGGCCTATGGTAAAATTGACTGAATGTTGAATTAGAAGCCCAACCAGCCGTTTCTAAAATATCCCTTAAGGCTACACCCAAATTGTGAGAACACGATGCTGCTGCACCTCTTCTTGAATGTGCCTTAAATCGATCTGTATCTATGCCCGTTACGCTAAGCATTTCAACCATCCACCGACTAATCGTTGAAGAAACCACTTTCTTATGGGGTTTCATGTGGCTGATAAACAATTGAGTCTCAGTACCTCGTAATGCCCTAGTTCGTGCCAAATATTTCGAGATGGCATACACTGGGCAAATCTGTTTCTCTTCATGTGATTCTATGATCACACTCTTAATATTATTACCTGGCCTGTTTTGCTTATGTAACTTTGTTGGAATGAACCTCAATCCACTTTGAGAAACACACAAATCCCTGATGTCAATGTGTACCAAAGATGACACTCTTCCCAGTGTTACTAGTCCCAAAAGCAACACAGATTTGAGAGAAAGCAACTTCAACGACAGACTGTCATTTGGTGGTAGATTCTTGATGTATTGCAACACTTGGTCCACCTCCCAAGTCAAAGCATACTTTGGCCTCGGTGGATTTCGATTATAAAAACCTTTCATCAATTTGCAAACATCAGCTGACTGCCCTACCGGTCTACCCTCTATAGGTTGGTGATACAGGGAAATAGCCGATCTGTAGACCCCAAGAGATCTGTAACTTAAACCTTTGTCCTTCTCACATGTTACTAAGAACTCCACAATTTCAGTTATAGGTGCTGAAACTGGATCACAAAGTCCCCTTCTATCACACCAGCTACACCAAGCTGTCCATGCTGATTGATACTGTTTGTGAGTTGATGCTCTACAACTGTCGAGCATGACTTGCGAAACTTCTTGCGAAAAACCTTTCGCTGTGAACTGTTTCCGCAAAGCAGCCACGCCGCTAGATGAAGGGAACTGCTCAATGGGTGGGGCTGGCCTGAATGGGGTTGAGTTAGACTGTCCTCCCACTGAGGAAGCAGGATTGGTTGTGTTATGGCTAATGCTAGTAACATGGGGTACCATATCTGTGTTGTCCATGTTGGCGCTACTACCAGAATTGTTGTTTTGTCCATCTCTACCTTTCTCAACACCGGTGCCAAGAGACAAAAGGGCGGAAATGCATATGCTTGTTCGTTCGTCCAACTCATTGAGAAAGCGTCTACCGCTACTGCCCCTGGATCTGGCTTCCACGCCACATTACGAGGAATCTGATGGTTTAGTCTGAAGGCAAAAAGGTCTATTGTTGGATGGTACTGTAGATGTCGGCACAGCTGTGCGAAAATCTGGGGATGTAACATCCACTCCAGCCTGTCTACAAACACTCGTGACTGGTAATCTGCTATGCAATTGTCTATCCCTGGGACATGGTATGCAGTAAGTATGATCTCCCGTTTCATGCACCATTTCCATATTTTGATCGCTATAGGTGAGAGAGGCTGGAGGTATGGGTCCCTCCTTTGTGCTTGATGTATGCTATTGCTGTAGAATTGTCTAGACGCATCATTATATGGCAATTCTTCCTTTCCACTGCAAAGGTTTGAAGGGCGAGGAAAGCTGCCAGTAATTCCAGATAATTTATGTGGTGCTCTTTTTCGGTTAGAGACCACCGTCCCCCTGTCTCGATCAACCCACAGTGGGCACCCCACCCCTGGGTTGATGCATCTGATGTTATTGTTATTTCTGGATTTGGTAACCTCACTGGTTTCCCGTTCCACTGATGGAGGCATTGAGCCCACCACTGAAGTTCCTGAATGCTCGTTTCTGACAAGGTAACCAGACTCTGGTAGGTAGGGTCCTTTTGGACAATAGGAATTAAATCTGTCTGTAACGCCCTGAAAAATATCGGTGCTGGAACTACATCTTCTGCTGTTGCATTCATCTTCCCCAGTATGCTGGCCAACGCCTCTGCAGTTATTTGGGGCTTCTTTAACGTTTGTTTGCACAGAAGTTCTAACCGTTTTACCTTTTCCTCCGGGAGACTCAGTGTCATACTGCATGAGTCTATCATGTGTCCTAGAAAACACATCTTGTGGCATGGTATCAATTGAGATTTCTCCCAATTCACTAACAGACCCAGTTTCTCGAACAACTGTTGAATGTATTGTTTCTGGGACTGACAATCTTCTTTGGACTGAGACATCAAGAGAAGGTCGTCTAGATAAATAATCACTTTCATTGATCTCTATCGTAAATGAGAAATTATTGGTTTCATCATTTTCGTGAATAGTCGAGGAGCCGATTTCAACCCGAATGGGAGTACTTGAAACTCCATTATTTTGTCCTCCCATTCGAACCTCAGAAATTTC